AAATTCCCATTCCTCCCTTTCGGAATTCATTTATGGTTTTTAATTTTATTTAAAAATTTAAATTGCCTGCAAAAAGCAGGAAGATCCTTCGTGATATTTTTCTAGATGAATGATCTTTAAGATCACTTTTTCTTCCAGCAAAAAGTCCTCCGGAGGACTTCTTTTCGTAAAAACAAAAAAAATTGGTTTCAAATGATGATTTTGAGCCAATCGGTGACCCGTTACTAATTTTTTTGGCTGGAAAATGATCAGCTCGTCAAGGCGCGTTTAACTAGCCCACTTATGACTCTTGAGCTTGCTTCGCTCAAAAAATAGTTTTTCTGTACTTTTCGACTGCCTCTAAAATCGCCCGGGGCTTTTTAAAACGATTTTTACAAATATGATTTTTCTTGGATATGAAGAATATATCCTGCAAAAATCAGCCTCTAACTCTCACTTAAACAAGATTTGATTTTTGTACGTTCACCCTATATACCGCGGTTTCATTTTGAGTGTTTGCGGCTCTCTTTTGGGTTGCAAAAATCAAGCCTTTTTGCAACCCAAGAAAGTCAACCTTTCTCCAGCAACTTTTTCTAGCACCTCTTTTAACTTTCCGCGCCGCCTAAGAAAATCGACGGAGTTGGCGCCGCGCGAGTTTTCACGCGACCATCGCGCGTTTTGAGCTTTTTCATCTGGCGGCAACGTTAATCCCCCTCACCCATTTGTATTTACCTATAAAAACCATTAATCGGAGATCAATTATTACGAAGTATAGATATCATAACAGGACTCAGTGGAAAAGCAGCTTTAAAATGATACCAATTACACGATGGCTATCTTTAGCCGAAAAACTGGGGTATGATCTCCCGCCGCGAAACTTCCGAAATGCCAGAATTAGATCTAGATAAACAAAAATGGGTTGAACTTGGCTCTCTTGCTCGTACATAAATATGTTATCCTGCAATTTTTTTACAGGCCTGTTTCAATTTTACAGGGCTGTCCCTGCAAACAGGCGTGTTTTCCTGTATTTCCTGTTAACAGGCCTGTTTACAGGTTTATTTTGGTCTCGAAATGCAAGACAGGAAAAAGGACAGGGTCCAAAAACAGGAAACAGGATCTGTTTCAGGATTTTAGACAGGTCAGAATTCCGAGGCCAGGTCTAGAAAGTCCGGCGCTTTTAACACTCTGCCCTACTCTCGCCAAGAGAAGCAAATAAAACCGGGTGATCGCAAAAAGAACAACCATCATCGTTTTTAGATATCGAACCATTAAATGGGGCGGAGGTATTTGCATGATACCCAGCTGGAAAGAGTGAATCTGGGCGTGGCAAAAGCGGAAAGATATTATTTTGAATGAAGAAATTTATATATTAATTGGTATCATATAACTCGAAATTTTATGAATCGACAGATTCTTCCAATAAATATCTGAAACTTTTTAATATTTGTAAATTTCTTTATCTTATATTAACTAAGCTTTGAAGAAGGAGCGGGAAGTTTCTTTGAGAGGATTAGCGCCCTAGGTTGGAGCCACTTTCCGCCCGGAGCGAGAGTTCGAAAGTCCGAAAACGAAATTTCCCCTCGGCCTTGCTCTTGTGCGCCCTCAAATCGCTCGCAAAATATCAAATCGCGGTATAGGGTAACCAATATATAATCACCCTACCAATATATTTTTCCGGGAAAATAACGATTTTTAAAATTTTTCGATTTTGAACAAAATCTGCTAATTTGACCGCTGCTAAATTGACCATACCCACTTTTTTAAAAATGAGCAACTCAATGAAATTTGGCGATTGATGAATAAAAAGTGGGCACTAATTGGATATCTCTTGAGAGTAAATATAGTTTTAATTATAATGAAAAGATTAAAGTCATTCGAAAATTAACCATTTTTAAACGGAAATTTAAGAACTTATTTTGGACATCCTCAATTTTATACGAAAACTCTATCTACGTATTTCCAGGCTTGGTTTATGAAGATGACTATCCGATTCAAAAGATTCAACTAGGTTAAGGCTTTTAATCATTTGAAGGAAGAAATAATAGCGCTTTAACCTGACGCCGAGGGTAAATCATCATTTTTACCTTCAGGTCGCTGTTTCCCCTTATTTCGCAGAGCTTAGGGAAATAACGACCGGAGAAAATCGTGAATAGTTCCTTTGATGGAGCAGGCATTCTTACATTTAAAAAGCTTAAAAAGGCTCAAGCGAAGAGAATATTACCACACAAATTATTGGAGAACAAAAAGGAGAAGCTATGTATCCGGTTATATTTCTGTCTACTGTCGATTTCTGCACCGTCTAGTGTAAAATTGATTCGATTTTTATCAGTGTTACTTTTGCTGTACTCTTTTTCTCTTTGCAGTTATAGAATCAGATTAATAATCCGATTCTAGAGAGTCATCTATCTAGAGAGTAGATAATCTATTGAAGCGAAAATATTGGGAGGTGTCTGGAATCGACAAAAATTCCGACAAATGTTTCATTTTTTCAAGTAAATTTCAATGGCGCACCATTATCTGTAGGTGTAATGGTAGAAAAATCGACCCCATGATCGTCCTCTTAAAACTCAAATAATGATGCAGATTTTGACTCGCTCGCTCGCTCGCTTGATACCAAGATCATCGGAATCGAACTAGATTTTGACCGATAATGGGGCGTCGGGGACTCGCAGTACCAAAGCTTTTTCGGCTTTTCGAGTGATATTTTATCGAAATAGTTCAGTTGGAACAATAGTAGGCGGGTAAATAGAACTATATCCTGGCCGAATCAGTAAGTTTCTTATCACAGAACCCGCAGAGTGGGCGTTCCTGGCTGACTAAAATTTTGCCTTGCCAAAATTGGTACTGGGAGTACCAAATTGGTACTGGCAGTACCAATTGGTACTAGGAGTCCCCGGTGGCCCGATAATGAGCATGAAGTCCCAAAATCTTGGCTAACGAAAATTTCTCGAAATTGCCTAGAAATTTCAATTGTGGCCTGAAAAAGCCATTTCTGCATAGTTTTAAGAAAAAAATTCCCAAAAAATTTTAGAGTTTATTTTCTTAAGTGTCTTTTTTCGAAAATTTTGTCGGAAATTTGTCGATTCCAGACACCATCCCTTAAATATTTATATATAAATATTTAAATATTAAATATTTAAGTTAAATATTGAATAAATATTTAAATATTAAATATTCAAGTTAAATATTGAATAAATATTTAAATATTTAATATTTAATATTTAAATATTTATTCAATTAGATGGTTAGATTGAGAGTTGTTGTTTTCGGCTTGTTTAAGGTATCGGAGACCCTTAATTTTGGCATCAGGAGGAAGAAAGCAAGTCAATGTTCATTTCTTGAAAATCGAGAAACCGCTTCGCGGTGAATCTTTCCTCTGATTTTTTCATTATTTGCGCCTTGAATACAAAGCCGGGGAGATGGTGCTTGAAGAGTATTATCAGGGCGCTACTATAGAATAAATACGCGCCGTTTCGCGCTTCGTCTGAATTTCTCGTTGTTATGAATGAAACTGGCTATTTACACAAATCGACAATTGGAGAGCAGCTCCGAACTTGTGCACCACTCACTCTCAGAAACCAAAATCCCAAAAATCTGAGCGCTAGAAAAAAATAAAAGAGAAAAAAGCTCGAGAGCCGGGATTGAAAACGTTTGAAACGGACAAAAGCGTGGGAAAAAGTCGAGAGGTAGAAGGTCACCTGAAATTTAATAATGGCGAGTTTGGAAGTTGATCTCAATGGAATGAGGTGAGCACAAATTCTAGAGAGCTTTCGACTGACTTTTTGAAATAGCGAAGATGTACCATGGAGTTGAGCTCTAAGTGGAGATAGGAGAATCTGAGCGTCTTAGGCCCCGTAAGACGCTCGACCTGGAGCGCGCAATTTTGCGGCAAGAGCACCTAGTCATCGCAAAAACCCTTGTCGGCCCTGTGATTGGCCGAAACACATAAAATCTCTAGATTCACTTCTTCGGAATCTTCAGATTCTTCTGAAGCGCCAACCAGGTGCTAATGAAAATTTCTAGACTTTCCCGCCAGTGATCTGCGCGGGAAACGGGAAAGGGGACCCGGAGGCTTTCTCCACTTAGAGCTCAACTCTGTGGTAGAATTGTTCAAGCAAATGGAGGATGAACTGTTTGGACGAAAAAAGGTACAGTAACTCCACTACAAGAAGAATTATTTGCCCTTTTTTCCTTCTGAAAATGACGATCAAGCTTCATTACAGTTAGCCCGCGGAATAATACCGCTAAGTACAGTAAAAACATAATGTCTCGGTAAATTTGCCCAGCGTCGCCAGGAGTCAATCTTTCGAACTATTAGAAATGAAAATTCCTCCACCGCAAATGCCAATTTTATTTCTTAATTTCGCCCGGAAAACATCCTTGTTACAGTAACTTTTAAAACGAAGCAGAAATTTATTATGAAAACAAAAGGTTCTTGAGTCTTCTGAAGACCCTTTTGATCGGGAAAGAATTCTTTTCAATTCCACCTGACAAGTGTGATCTTTTTCAACCACCGTGACAAAAAATAAAACGGTTTTTATAGTCATAGCATTTCAAAAGTTCATTTATAAAAAAGCTGCGCTCGGCAACCTGTGTCAAGGGCTTTCCCAGGGTTCTGAAAGAGTATCAACGAAAAGCCGCGTAGCGGCTTTCCCAGAATTTTTAACCTGGTCTGTTTGAAAATCTGGTGAATTCGCTTCGCGGCTTTCTTTTTAAAAAAGCCGCTACGCGGCTTTTCGTTGAAACTCTTTCAGAACCATGAGTAAGGTTTTGGCACAGGTTGCCGAGCCCAGATTTCATAATTTTTTTTTTGAAATCGTTGAAAATCGGGGCGAGAACGGAGAATCACGTGGCGCGGCTCTAGGATCAGGAGGGCCCGGGATTAGCTTCTTCCTACAAAAGAAGGCCTGCGCCCGATCCTTCTCATTTAGCGTCAGCGATTTTTCAACTCATTACCGATAATCGCCCGGAATTTCTCAAAACACAATTTTTTTTCTCTGAGAAAGAAAAGGAGAGAATAAATGTACTACAGTTTGGGAAGAAATGGGAAAATCTATTGCCCGAAACCTTTTGATGAAAGAACTTATGTTTCGACTTGGAAATCAATGACTCTTCCGGTAAAAAAAAAACATTTTGAATGGCTCAAATTTGAGAGAAAAAAAAAAGGATTTTCAAAAAAAAAAAAATTTCATAAAATTTTTCTTTTCGAAAATTTTTATGAAAAATTGATAAAAAAAAGTCTGGCGCAGCTCCAAACCTCAAAAACAAAAATTCTAGCGCCTTTTTTGAGAAATAGGTTTTATTCAATTTCCGCCTGTGTCACGTGACAGTGTAAGTGTCACTTATGATAATGGCATGGATCCTGCCGCCTGCCACGAGCCTACTTTCAACTTTGAAAAGCGCTAGAAATTATCAAAAGAAAAAATCTTTATTTATCGATAATTTCAAGATGAAATTTTCAAAAATCAAAAATTGAGATTCCTTTTCGATTTCTTTTCTCAAGAGCAATTATCAAAAGAAAAGTTCCGGGTCTTCAAGTCTTCAAGTCGCAATTGAATTTCAATTTTGATTTTTCAAAGATCGAAAAAATAAAAATTGATAGAGCAAAATAAGAAAGCAGTTCGATGGGCCCAGGATAGATTTATTGTGACGAAGGATTTATGGTAATGACTTTTCTTTCATCCAAAAAATGAGTTTTTTCATCATTTTCTTCAAATAAATATGAAAGGTCTGATTCTGGACTCGGCAACCTGTGTAGAAAACCTGAGTCAGGGTCTGAAAGATTGAATTGCAAATTGAATCAAAGATTCTATCTTTCGCGGCTTTTCATGAAATATCTCTCAGACCCTGACTCAGGTTTTCTATTCAGGTTGCTGAGCAAAGATATGCTTTTTAATTTCTTGTGAGAAAATAAAGCATGATTATTTTCTATCAATTTTCATTAAATGATCCATTTTGTGACGCGGACTTTGAATCAGGCCGGTCTTACCGTCTGGGATACCTGGTAATCGAAGTTTATCAAAGAGACCAAAATTGATCCCAAGATTCTGAGTCTTGAAAAGGGTCTTCAGAGAAGAGAGATTTTGAATGATTTTGGAGATTTTACAGCTTTTAACGATTTTCTTTGGGATTTTTCTGATGGTTGATACGATTAAACGAAATTATTACGTAAGAATAGTCCTTTTCTCGGTAACCTGTGTAGAAACCTAGGTCAGGGTGTTGATGAAATATATATAAAGATAAATTTTGGTGAAGCCGCTTCGCGGCTTCGTTTTTTAATAAAGCCGCTTTGCGGCTTTTCATTTAACTCTTTCAGAACCCTGACTCAGGTTTTCTACACAGGTTGCCGAGCGGCTCGGGCCCGAGCCCACTCCTAACCCTAACACTAGCCAAAACAATATTTTTAATTGAAATCGTTCAATTTTTACTCCCCTCCGAATTGAGGAGATCAAAGGCCATTTGATTCATAAAACTTGCTCAGAGTAAAAACTTTACGACGGCGTCAAATACTTTGAAGAAGCATATTTGCGTTTCAAAAAATGCAAAATTGCATCTTGACTTTGACGGACATCTTCGCTGCGCTTTTTGAATTATTCAGAGAGGCTTTGATTTTGGCGATTTTCGGGGCTTCATTTTCGGTTTTAATAATTTTATTTTTTTTTTCTAAAAGAAGGATTTTAGATGCCGAAGAAAAACAAGGAAGAAAATCCCTCGGTAAGTCAAATTTTGTGAAAAAATTAAAATATCTTCTTTATTAAAAAAACTTGTTTGCACACAAAAAGAGAAGGAAATAAGCTTGAAAAACTGGGAAGGGTAATTAGCTCGGTGCGCAATCTCATTTAGCGCCGAGTCCGACTCAGGCCCTTAGGGCTGATTCGGACGGGAATGTCCGATGTTGCTATCTCTCGATGATCCTATCTATCTCCTGCCTTCTGAAAATTACAGAGACAAGAGAGAAAAGGAGAGACCCCAAAAAGCTTCGAAAACAAGCAAAATCTTTGATTTCCAAATCACTCCCTTCCGTCTCACCTAGCGCCTGTCTTTTTATTAATCTCTTCCCATCGTAAAAAGCTCCCTTTCCGTAACCTTGACTTTTAGCCTGCCTCCGCCGCTCCTGCTAGTGGATTGATTAGGGTCAAAAATAATTTTTTCTTCATTTTTGTTTTTCCACTTTCTGATCCTTGAAGACCGCGAAGGATATTTATGCGAGCACGACTACTTCGACCATGCCGAGCTTTAAACTTTACAGGTAAATTTGAATGAAATTGAAAAGGAGCTTTAGAAATATTCTGAAAAATGGGCAAATATTTGCGCATTCCGTCGTCCCATTTATAGAATTTCCAACACCTGATTTAGCTTTACGAGCTGTAAACTCGCTTTTTAATATAAAAATTATGGGTTTTTATAAAGATTGGTATAGGGAACAGACCTTTGGAAAAAGTATTGTTTTTAGGGTCGGAATTCGGGCGAATTTCAAAGAGTAATTTGAAAAGAGATTTTCTGATATTGAATTTTTTTTAAGACATGAGCCGCAGAACAAAGAACTGGCAGAAAAAGTCCGGAAGATTGTAAAACAGAGCCCGTAAGTTTTAAAATGATTTTATGTTGAAATATATGAATATGAATCTTATAAATTTTTAAATAAGAAAGATTAAATATTCAACATTAATATATAAACTAATTAAATATAAAAAACATAATTATTAATTAACGTATCTCTTTTGAAATTATTGAATAGACCAGTGAGCCAATTCTTTGGTCGCTATGTATAAATGGGTTAATTATATTTTAAAAATTAAAATTTTATAATTATTTTAAATAAATTAATTATTTATTATAGAATCAATTTAATTATAACATTATTAATTAAATAATAAATTAAGAATTATTATTTAATTTCTCTTTTTAAAATATAAAATTAACCCGTTTATACAAAGCGTCGCTTTGAAAGCGACCAAAGAATTGGCTCACTTGTCAATTCAATAATTGCAAAAGAGAGACGATATTTTATATATTCTGGAGAAAGTTTTTAAAATGCAGAAATTCAATTTACTACTGAATTATTTTCCGAATTGTTATATGCTGTCATAAAGTTATTTTCGGGAAGCCTAAATCGGATCCGCATGAATAGCTGCTTTCGCCATTGAGAGGATCTTCTTGGGCACACAAAGCCGATTAGAAAACGCTAGAGATCAAGTGGTCTGACCCTGCTCTTTCTTTTATTGTGAAAAAATATAACAAGCTGAATCTTAATCTCACTCAAGATTTGATTTTCCGAAATATATTTTTTGATTGAATGAATTAGGATGGGCGCTGGAGGCAGTAAAGAGAGAGCTGGAAGAAGTCAAAGATCAGGAAAAGGTTCAAAAATTATTTTGAGGCGAAAAAAGTCGGTGTGATTTTTGGGCAAAAAATTTTAATTTTGGTCAATTTTGGTGTTTTTTTACAAAATTGGCAAAAATGCGCGCCATTTTCGCGACAGTTTCGATCAAATTTTTGGTCGAATTTGAGACCAATCAGATCTCCGCATTCGCTTCTTAGGTCTACCAGATTTCGTAAAAAAAATCTCGCAAAAAATCAAAATTTTTGTCGCAATTTTTTGTCGAAAATGCATTTTGGTCAAAAAACGAAAATTTATTTTGGTTAAAAATTGTCCGAGACAAGTTTTAATCCTTTTCAAAAGCGGCTCAGCGTCTGCTAGACCAACGCCGATCAACTGGCCAAGGTCAAAAGTTTCGTCCTCCAAGCCGCTCAAAATCCGTCGGAGATGGAATCGAGAAACAATCGCCATTTCAAGCTCTTCCTCCAGCAGCGGAATTCAAGAGCGTCGAGAACCTGCCCAAGGAGATTCGAGACAAGTTCGATCCTACTTTCGCCAAGGAGTTGCACACGATTGTTCGTCAGAAATCACAGCGGCGCGAGCTTTTCGGCTTTTCCGATCCAACAGGTAAAGACAATAAGAGCCACTTTGAAAAAATGAAGAAATGAGGTAAAGAAAGGGGGTCTTGATGATTTTCCCACGCTCTTGAATTTTGTTCATTTGGGGTGATTTCTTAATTACTGAGCTCGGAAACCTGTGTAGAAAACCTGAGTCAGGGTCTGAAAGATCTCTAATGAAAAGCCGCATAGCGGCTTTTTTAGGACGAAGCCGCGAATTTGAAATTTCTACGCGGCTTTTCATTGGTGATCTTTCAGAGCCTGACTCAGGTTTTCCGCACAGGTTTCTGAGCCAAGCTCAATCATTTCTTCCTTTCGATCTGAAAATCAAAAACTTCATTCATTTGAAATTCTAGCGCAGAAAAACGCGAATGCCAGCAACCCCGACCTTTTTTCCGAAATCGAAAACTCCTTCAAATCTTCAACTCCTCGATCGCCCCGCCGCTCCGACTCTGAAATAATCGAGCGCGCAACGATGAGATCCAAAACCTCCCAAAAACCATCTCCCGAAAATCGCAAAAGCGCACACGAAGCACTCTTTCCTGGCTACAGAACTCTTCCCTCGACGAGTGCTCCAAAGAGTGATCCATTGTTCGCGAATGGCAATTTCAATGGAACGAATAATTCGGCAAAGGGAGCGAATTATTCGAGCCTTGGGAATTTGAAGAAGTCGAATTTTAGTTCAAAGACGAGTTTGGTCAGCTCAGAGTACGATAATGTCAAGAAATCACCAAGACAAGGTAATTAACCTTAGGGGGAAGATTAGGGTTAAGAAGTGGGTACTGCTGGAGGGGGTATCCGGGGGGCGCGTTTTGGCCTTAGGGGCCCCTGTGGTCCAGGGGTAGGGGCAGGTCTAGGGAGAACCCCCAACTACCGTTCACAGAGGTCGTCAGATTGTAAAAAATCGATCAAAATCATCTTTAGCGATGAAAACAACCGAGCCAAAGACCTCAAATCGTCCTACTCACCGTTCGGACCAGCCACCTCCTCGAACCTCAAACGACAATGTCACCCTTCTTGCTCAATCCTCCCTGATGAAGCTTCTCAACAGAAGTCAAGGTATGCTCCTCTCAAAGAAACGAACATACAGTATTCTCATCGACTAGGAAACACAGACAAATCGTCAACAGGTGGCCACTCGCATCAATCTTCGAAGAGCGATTTAGAAAACTCGACACCGCCGAGCTCGAATCCAATTTCTCGACGGCCGAAAAGTGGCGCCGATTACTCCACGCCAGCTGTGATGAGGACAAATGTCCGACCATCGCAAAAAGCTGAAAATACTGATAATCGCGTGTCGACTATTTCGAGCAATGGGGGAGCCGGGAGAATGTTTTGCGTTTCCAGCAGAGAGCCAATGCTCATTTGTCGAAACTCTGCTTGCTCGAATCAAGGTTATTGAGATTCTAAGGAGGGGATTTTGAAATTGAAATTCTAGCGACGCTGAAACAAGCAAAAGCGCAATACAAGTCTTGTCGCTATTGTGTGACGTTCTATTGTACAAAGGTAGGCCAATTGACGTCGATGCTCTTTTGTCTCGAAAGACCATAATTCTGAGTTTTATCATAAGAACAGCTTTATTTTCTCCCTCGATCAACTTTCGGGCTACACTCTGAGCAAAATTTTCTATGGAAATCTTAAGGGGATCAATCCAAAATCGCTGTCTGAAAAAGTCATTCCCTCTTGAGGGGGGATCCTTAATGAAAATTGACAATTATTATAATAATCTTCAAGATATTTCTGAAAATCATTCTGATGTGATCGTATATACTTGGATAACTGTAATTACAGGAATGCCGAGCCGAACACTGGCACAAACACAAGGACAAATGCGTTTACGCCAAAGCAGCTTCTCTCGCAAAACTGATCCTTCACCAAATCAACCATTCCCAGCTCATGATGCACTCACTCTCCAAAATCGGTAAGCTTCCCCTTCCGTAAGCATACAGTAACTTTTCAAACAGTGGCGAAAGAAGAGCGGTCAAAAGGACGCGGCGCCGTCAGAGTAGTCGTGAGCAGCATCAAAGAAGCTGAAGAATTTGTTTTGGTAAGGGCGATATTTTTGGATTAGCGCCAAAAATACATGTTCTAGCGCGGGTTTGCTGCTCTTTCAATGACGCCACAGTATTTGCCGCAGTCTGAGCTCGATCCGGAGATGTCGGCAATTGCGGATAAATATTCGCTCGATGGTTAGGAAATTTCAATTGATAAAAAAGCCAATATTTTTAAGATGAAATCCTTGTTGATGTCATGCTGAGAATAACGAATATGGAAAAACTCGCGCATAGCCGACCTTACAGGTAAAATTTTCAACCTACAAGCAGTCTGGTAGACCAGAGCCGTCTGCCAGACAAAGTCGAGACTTCTCATGTCTACCACACAAAAATTCCTTTTTAGAACAAACTCGGATTTCGTCTCAACTGGCTCTCGAATGAAAAGACCTCAAGACCGCTTCGTCGAAATCCGAAAAGGTCACACTTCCTCAACTCTTCAAAAAGTCGTTCAAGTATAGTTCAAAGGTATCTCCATCTTTTCCTTATTAACGCTGTTTCCAGCCAATACCAGTACTAACCGAAAATTACAAGTCCGAGAAATCCGATAGAAACGTAGCTTTCGGAAGGGTTCACTAAAATCTTTACAATCTTCAAAATTTTGCACATTTTTTAATCGAAATTTTTGTTTTTGAACCCGAGTTTTGCGAGTATACAGATGAAATTGCGAGAAAAAGGGGTTGAGTTGCGCAGAGTCTACCCGACGCAATATGAAAGTCTGATAGACTGGGTCGAGGGTGGCGGCGAATGTCCGGTAAAATATCGCTCGCTTTTTCGCTTTTTGAATACGAAAGTTTTGATGCTCTTCGTACTCTTGCTTGTACTGAAGTTACTGTAGTTTGTAGAAAAGCATATCTGTAGCAGACTCTCACTTAGAATCATCCTTGATTTCATGCACACTCTCATTTCATTTTCTTCTTTTTTGACATGATTTTAGCCGATGATTCTGTCCCCAAAAGATCAAGAAGGAAAACCATTCATGTGTCTAATATCCGGCGGAAAAATCACAATCTGGCGAGAGAACGAGCCTTGATTCTTTCTTTCTGTACATTCTTTCTGATGTTTCAATAAATTTTTAAAAGCTATAATTTGACTTTAGTTAGGAATAAGGACTTCTTTGGAAATCTTCCTTGATTTCAGCAAGACTTAAAATCGATCTGACTCAGACAATCAAAATCAAAAATAATGTCAGTATTGTCAATACTGTAAATTAAGTATTCAAGTGCAAGAATTCGTTTTCGGAAAAATTTAAAATGATGAAATCAGAAAAATGAAAAAAAATTTTTAACGAAATATTTTAATAAAATTTAATTAATAATAAAAGGCGATTCCATCATTCTGCCCAACTACCTGTACTTTTACCCGTACACTGTAGTTAGGGTTAGCTCGTGGTCGAAAAATATTGACCGTTTTTTTCAGTCAGCTTCGATTGGTCGCTTTTTTCGCGCCCAGTGGAGCGCGCCAAGGAATTTATTTTCAAGACTCATTTTTTTATTTTTTGCAATTTTTCTATTTCAGAGATTTTTAAAGAAGACGAAAGGGAAATACTATATTCAAGAGAAGATTCTAGATTTCCTCGCGAAAATATATTTCGAGAACAATTTTCTGAACCGTTTTATTTTCTTCTTTTTTTGCTATTACGAAAATTTGAAATTTCAGAAATTGAGACAAAAATGGAGAGATCGAGGCGAAATCGGACAAAAGATAAACGAAGCGAAGCCTTGGCGAAGCTAAAACGAGGCGGTGGAATTCACGATTATGAAGTCGACGACGTCCAGAATGTCTATGAAGAAGTCGACGAGGGAACTTATCAGGTAAAATGGGAAAGCAGAAGAATCCTTCTTCATATCATCTCTTTCAGAAAGTTCGGGACGAACGAGCATCAGATTTCGTCGTCGGGGCCGATGCAGAAGACTGGATGGACGACGGACGCGACATCTTCGACGACGACGAGGAAGAGCAATTCCAAGAAGATGGAAAATCCAAAAAGAGTCACAAAAAGAAGATGGCGAAATTCGCGTCTGGAAGTGGCAACATCGCAGCGATGATTTTGAAACAGGCGAAAAATAAAAGCAAATCTAAGACGCAAGGTAGAAATTCAATTTTGTTCTATGGAATGAAAACCTTTTTCTTTCAGCGAAAGACATCAAAATGCACGAAGATGACGATCTGAACGCGCTGATGGACGAGGTCGACGACGGAAATACATCTATGAAAATGACTCCCAAAGCGAAAAAGTCTAAAAAGGTGAGAAAAAGTCGACTTTCTTATTCTACCTGTTTCAGAACCTGAGTCAGGTCTTCTACTCAGGTTTCGGAGCCGAATTCCAATATCTTACCCTCACTTCTACCCTTATTTCTAGCTGAAAAAGCCGCAAGCTCCGACAATTTCCTTCAACAAAACTCCCGAGCGACCGTCAACGAAAAAACGAGTGCTGCAGCAGCGCGTGCAAAATCCGACAAAACGGGCGAAGCTGGATGAAAGTGTGGCGCAGAAGGATAAAGAGCCGAAAGAAGAGTACATTTCGGATAACGACGATAATGGCGAGTACATGGATCCTGCGGCTGTTTTTGGAGATGACGATGATTTCGGCGCGGATGATGCTGCTTTCCACGAGGATATGCCAGAAGATGAAAATACGGCGCCAAAAAGAGAGCCGAGTCTGACTTCACAGCTTCAAAATATCAGGTACTTTTGGCCGATTTGTTTTCATCCAATTAAAAAGGAGCGTTAAAAAGACACTTATTGACTTTCTTATCCTTTTTCTTCACTTCTTCCTTTTAGTATGGAAGAAGAACGAAGTCCAACATCGCGAAAACCCGCAGTTGAGCAAATCAAAGAAGAGCCAGAAAGCCAGCATATCGACTGGAACTCGACAAAAACCGGTGTGGATTTCGACAAGGATGAAGAAATTCAGTACCCAGTCGACGAAAAGTGCTTGAATCTCTACTGGCTCGATGCGTACGAAAACTACTTCCAAAAGAATGGCAAGCTGTATCTTACCGGCCGCGCAAACGTCGCCGGCGAGCTCAAGAGTTGCTGCTTGATCGTTTCGAATATTCCTCACGTGGTCTACATTCTCCCACGAGGAGATTCAGACACAGGCGATGTTTACGAGGAAATAAGCGAGTGGATGGACAAGAACAAGGTCGATTCCTGGAAAGCAAAGCCGGTAATGAAAAAGAACTTCTTCGGCGGCGCTGGAGTCCCTCCCGAAGCCGAATACTTGCGAGTAGAGTACGGGCCGAAGAATCCTCTGATGCATTCCAATATGAAAGGCACCCATTTCTCCCAGATCTTCAACGTCAACCAGCCGATGTTCGAGTTCTTCGCGTTGGAAAGAAACATCATGGGCCCATGCTGGTTGTCCGTCGCCAACGGCTCTTATTCACCAATCACAGGCGGCGCAATCAGCTGGTGCTCCGTCGAATTCGACTGCAACGACTACAAAGCCATCCAAGTTCACCCAGACAGCGACAAAATGCACGAACCTCAGCTTACGCTTCTCTCTCTTTCCTTCAAAACCATTCCAATGAAAAAGACCAACGAGCTCGCCGCCTTCACAATGGTCGTCAACAGTAACTTCCGCCTCTCCAGCACTAAGAAAATGCCCGAACACGACTACATCATGACTGCTCTTTCCAAGCCCGCAACGATGACGCTTCCTTATGACTGGAACGGGGAAGTGAACAAAAGCGAAAAAGTCCAATCCTGTCTCGGCGAAAAGCACCTATTGAACTACTTCCTCAAAGAACTCCGTCAAATCGACCCAGACATCATCCTTGGTCACGATTTACTCGACTTCGGGCTCGAATACCTCCTGCAACGTATGAAGGTTCACAACATCAATGGCTGGTCAAGACTTGGGCGGATTAAACGAAAAGAAATGCCGAGAATGACTTCCCAAATCGGGCAAATGCGAGCTGGATCGGAGGCCTGTTGCGGTCGATTGGTGGCTGACACGAAGACTTCAGCCATGGAGCTGGTAAAAATGCGCGATTATAACCTGACGAGTTTGTGCGAAGAACAAATCCCCGCAAAACTGGAAGGGTTGAAGTCTGTCTTCCTAGAAACCTGCAGAAACAGGAAGGAATACTTGCCGGAAAACATCGTCGAAGCGTTCGGCAGCTCCAATACCCTGCGAATGCTCTTGCAGGAAAATGTAAACGACTGCTTTCGCAACATGCTGATTTCTTCCAACATTCAAAGTCTCCCCCTCGCCGTCCAAATCACCAACATCTGCGGAAACATCCTTTCCCGAACTCTCTCCCGCGGCCGAGCTGAAAGAAACGCTTATTTGCTTCTTCATGCGTTTCACAAAAAGACCATCTTCCCCCTCCACAATTCAGAAAGAAAAACACAGAAGATGGGGGCGATAAAAAGGGGCCAAAGTACGCTGGAGGAATGGTTCTTGAGCCGAAGAAAGGTCTCTACACGAACTACATCCTCCTCCTTGATTTCAACAGTCTCTACCCAAGTATCATCCAAGAATACAACATCTGTTTCACGACGACAGCGATGCAAGCTCCACCCGGCGAGGACGTTTCCACCTGGCTTCCCGATGTGCCCAAAACGATGGAAGAAGGAATCCTTCCTTCCGAAATCAAGAAGCTCGTCAATCGCCGAAAAGAAGTCAAAAAGCTCATCAAAACCGAAAAGAACGCTGACGAGCTCGCCCGACTCAACATTCGCCAACTTGGTTTGAAATTGACCGCAAACTCGATGTACGGCTGTTTGGGATTCTCTGCTTCGAGATTTTATGCCCAACCTTTGGCGGCGCTGATCACAGCGAAGGGAAGAGAGATCTTGGAAGCGACAAAGGTGTTTGTTGAAAAGATGAATTTGGAGGTTGTCTATGGCGATACTGATTCGATCATGATCAACTCAAACTCGACGAATATTTCGGAAGTGATGAAGCTTGGAAATATGGTCAAAAAGGAAGTCAACAAGCACTACAGGTAACGTCTAATGCAAGACGTAACAGCCAATCAAAAGCGCTCTTTTGCTACCAGAACCAATCAAAATCCCACTTTCAGGTTGCTAGAAATCGACATCGACGGCGCTTACAAATCCATGCTTCTTTTGAAAAAGAAAAAATACGCTGCACTTGATCAAAATGGCAAAGAAGAACTGAAAGGTCTCGATATCGTCCGACGAGATTGGTCCGAAATCGCCCGAAACGAAGGTCGAACCATCATCAAACTTCTCCTCCACGAGCAAGACGAGGAAGAAGGCGTGCGGAAGATTCATGAGCATTTGGAGCAGATAGCGGCGAAGCTGGACAAAAAGCACTACAGAACTGTTGATTTTAGAATCCAGAAAGCGTTGACAAAAGCGCCCGAGCAGTATCCAAAGGGTGGAGAGCAGGGATGTACATTCGCAGAAATTTTTGCTTTGCGCTGCGCTGCGATTGCGGATTTTTTTGTGGGCGATTTTGCGCTGTTTTGCGCTGCGGAATCCGAAAATCGCGCAAATTGCAAAATTTTGCGCTGTTTTGCGGAAAATGGTAATTTCTTGATTTTGCGGAAATTTTGCGGATTTTGCGCTTTTTGTGGAATTGCGGATTGCGCAAAAACACGCAATTTGCGTAATTTTGCGAATTTTGCTGGATTTTAAAATTTAGAAATCAAGGAACGAGGCTGAAACGGCCCGAAGGGCCGTCAAGCCCCTTAAATTTAGAAATCAAGGAACGAGGCTGAAACGGCCCGAAGGGCCGTCAAGCCCCATAAATTTAGAAATCAAGGAACGAGGCTGAAACGGCCCGAAGGGCCGTCAAGCCCCTTAAATTTAGAAATCAAGGAACGAGGCTGAAACGGCCCGAAGGGCCGTCAAGCCCCTTAAATTTAGAAATCAAGGAACGAGGCTGAAACGGCCCGAAGGGCCGTCAAGCCCTTAAATTTAGAAATCAAGGAACGAGGCTGAAACGGCCCGAAGGGCCGTCAAGCCCCTTAAATTTAGAAATCAAGGAACGAGGCTGAAACGGCCCGAAGGGCCGTCAAGCCCTTAAATTTAGAAATCAAGGAACGAGGCTGAAACGGCCCGAAGGGCCGTCAAGCCCCATAAATTTAGAAATCAAGGAACGAGGCTGAAACGGCCCGAAGGGCCGTCAAGCCCTTAAATTTAGAAATCAAGGAACGAGGCTGAAACGGCCCGAAGGGCCGTCAAGCCCTTAAATTTAGAAATCAAGGAACGAGGCTGAAACGGCCCGAAGGGCCGTCAAGCCCTTAAATTTAGAAATCAAGGAACGAGGCTGAAACGGCCCGAAGGGCCGTCAAGCCCTTAAATTTAGAAATCAAGGAACGAGGCTGAAACGGCCCTGAAATGACTGGTCGGGTAACTACGATATCGGACGGTTTTATGTCGGGTGATTATTCAGTTTTTCTTCCGCAAATTACCGCCAAAGTTGTGAATGCGATGATGAATGAGGATTTGATTCGGAAATCTTCACAATTAACATAAAAAAATGTAGAAATTCTACGCAAAATCCCGCAAAATTGCATTTTGCGGACTGCAAATGTATTGAGATTTTGTGGAATTTTCGCGCAAAATGCGCTTTTGCGCGCAATTTTGCGGAAATTTTGCGGAAATTTTTGGGGCTGATTTTGCGCTGTTTTGCGCTGCAGAATGAAAAATCCCGCATTTTGCGCTGTTTTGCGGATTTTGCGCTGCGAATGTACATCCCTGGTGGAGAGGGACAGCCTCATGTCAAGGTCGCCCTGAGAATGAACAAAAAGCAGCCGGGCAAGTTCAAGTCTGGAGACACTGTAAGTTCCCTCCCTTCACTTCTTTTCTTCACAAAACTCTTCAGGTTCCGTATATAATCTGCACTGGAGACGAAAAACTAAAGCCAGCCGATCGAGCCTATCATCCGAGCGAAGTGGCGCGAGAAAAGAAAGAAATCGACACTGAGTACTACCTCCGAAATCAGCTCGTTCCCGTCTTCGGCCGTTTGCTCGACCCGATCGAGGCGACTGATGAGCAGCAGATTGCCACTCGCCTTGGAATGGATCCCTCGGCCTTCAAATCTAGAGCTGCTACTTTAGCACGAAGGGAAAGAGAAGAAGAATTGGTGAGTTACTCAATAATATCGGTCAATAGCGGCCTAAATCTTAGAAAAGGAGGTCTTAGGGGTTATATGGGGATTACCAGCCAATCATAGGTCAGCACTCTAGGCGTTAGCCAATCAGCGGCCGATATAGCTGTCAAGAATCCCATAGATCACATTGAAAGAGCTTACAGTAAAGAAAATCGAACAACCTGAGTTAGGCAACCACGGCAACAACGGCAACAAAGGCAACAACGGCAACAGGGCCGAATAAAAAGAATCCATATTTTCGCATAACCTGAGTTAGGCAACAACGGCAACATTCTAGAAGCAAACTTGTTTGCTTTTGCAAATTAGATTCCAAGCGGTAGAGAAGGGTGACGGCGGGTTCCATTCTTTGTAAAGAATGGTTCTTTTTCACTCCTTGAGTTTCCTAAAATCAGGCGCGAAGCGCATACTCGCTCTTTGATTTCTTACTTTTCTTTTAAAATATTGTAGTTACACAGATATTGAGCCTCATAATGAGTTCCATACTTTTGCGAAATTCATAACATTTGTTAAGTCTGAGGATCAAAAAGGGAGAAAAACCTTTTTGATCTTTGTATGGTATGCTGCGCTCTAGAGAAAAAATTCAAAAAAAAAGAACAAGAAAAACATCGCGCAAAATTCATCAGAACCTGAGAATGGCAACATGTTGCCGTTGTTGCCTTTGTTGCCTTTGTTGCCGTTGTTGCCATTCTCAGGTCGAACCAAGAAAATGAAGTGAAATCTTGAATTTCTTATTCATATAAGCAAATTCTAGAGCTATTTTCAAGTTTCCGTAGTGTAGTGGTTATCACGTTCGCCTAACACGCGAAAGGTCCCCGGTTCGAGCCCGGGCGGAAGCAATCTTTTTCAGCTTTTCATTTTTCAGGCCCGAATCGCCAGTCAAAAAGAAGAAGAAAAACTGGCCAATTGTGACCCGCTGGAACTAACCGTCGGAGAGGAAAAGATCACATGCGACTTGTTCGTTCCTCCTTTTAGCCAAAGCATGAGCGACGGAAAAGGGTTGAGAGAAAAGATGAGCGAGATCGAATGCGCGCTGAGAAAAGCCATCAAGTTTCATATGAAACGAGTTTACAGCAACTGGCAAGTCGGAGAATCGGACGGTTATCGGACAAGATTCATCACTCCCAATTACACGTAAGAGATAATTTCATGATTTTTGGTTCATTGAAATTTTTAGGTCGAAGGGTTACTTTGCTTCTCCAAGCTGCGAAGATGACATTTTGAAGGTCGAATATTCCATCTCGGACTTTTACCTCCAGCTCCAGTTTTTCCAGCGCATCTTTGACGCACCAGCTTGGCTGAAGAAGATGAATGCAGATTTGCCAAAAGAAAAGGTACGCTTTTGGAGGGGGCATCTCTTTGATATGCAATAATCGTTCAGGAGCCGAGGGACAAAGCTCTGCAAGAAATAAATCGCGTGCAAGAAGACTTCGCTTACTACGCCGAAGTGAAAAAAATTGCTGACGAAGCGGCAAGCCGGTGCAACTTCGGAAAAGTGAATTACCCCTTGCTCTGGAGCTCTCACTTCGACAATTTTTAGTTCAATTTTACTCAACCTCACAGTTTTTTTAAATATGCACTGCCAGTTATTCCACAATTAAAATTCACATTGCCTTATCAAAAAATATCAGCCCTTTTCGTTTCGTAGAATGAACAGTGATCAGCCAGGGTCAAGTCAGCTGTTTCGCAGATCCAGCGAGCTTGGAAGCTCGGAGCTTTCCTATGGAAGGCGAAATAATCAGCCCAGCTCAAATTTGGGGGTTTCGGAGTTTGACATGTCTTCCCCGCTCAATTATGGTACTCCAGGAAGTTCTACGGCTCCTGGATCTAATGCTACGCCCATGAAGTAAGTTTTTACACCCATTTTTATGTGGTAGAATGGATATCCTTTCCCGCAACTCACATTATTTGAGTAGAAAATTTTACAGTAGGGGACAAGTAAATGCTTCTTTAATATCAACGCCTTCGTAAAAAGTCGAGACCGGAAATTTTTTTCCTTGTAGGTCAACACTCTCTTAAAAATTTAATGATCTCTATAAAATTCGCGCAGATTGATTTTCCGCACATTGATTTAAATTCAGACAACGGCCAGATGTTGGCCACCTCACAAACGTCCGACAATTGGAAGTTAACAGCGATCAAGGAACCCGAATGGACAGTGAATATGATGGAGGTAAGACTCATTTCTAGCCAAAAGTAGCTTGATTAATCTAGATTGATTTTTTTGAAATTCTTACAAACATAGAAGATATAGAAAGTAACCACTCGGGTATGCTCTGGGCTGACTCCCCTAGCTCGGGTAAGGCAGGTGTTTTATTAGAAAATATACTCAAGAAAACGAGTTATTAAAAGGAAAAAAGAATGCTCCGCTGGTGGCTACCGTATCTGTCATTTTTTGCGCTTTGCTTTTCTGTCGTCAGGAATTTAGCGAAAAACGATCGTAAAATATATTCTCCTAGGCCAAGCTTCAACAAACGAAAACAGACTGGTCATTTGGGGCACTGACGTTTGTCTGGAAGACTCTCGGTAATTCCAAGCCCTTTACTTCATGTAATTACAGTATTTTTTCAGCGAGCGCTTTAAAAAATTCCTCCTCACCTTCAAATTGGAAAATATGTGTCCGGAAGATCACCCAGGAATGAACCCGGATGAGCCTTTTTACTTCCAAAAACTCATCGCCATCGAATACGTCCGAAACAACCTCTTCTTCAATCTTGACTCGGCGCACTTGAAAGAATTTGATGCTCAACTTTACAGACAGCTGGTCAATTATCCGTCAGAGTTGATTCCCATTTTGGACATGGCAACAAATGAAGGAACGGGATTTCAGAGAACACTTTGTCTTCTATGATTTCAAAAAAGATGTGTTGATTCCCCGATAAAAGTCTTTTATGAAAAAGTAGCATCACCAGACGCGGTTTTGGAACATCAAATTCAAGTGCGACCCTTTAACGTGGATAGAACAAAGTCTCTTCGTTCACTGGATCCAAATGATATTGATCAGTTGGTTACTATTCGTGGAATGGTCATTAGGAACAGTTTGCTCAGATTTACAATTAAACTGCGTTTAGTGTCTCTTTATATACCACGGGCCGTGGTCCACGGCGTGCAAATATTGGTTTTTAGTTTGTGTTTACGTAGACTCGAGATCGCGGTATTTCAAACCCTGTTTGGAAAGTGCAACACAATCCTCTCACGGAATAAGTGACTCCTGTTAAATTAAATACTTCAATTATTAATCTTAAAGATTAAACCGTCCCCAATAATAAAAAAATCGCCATCGCGAAAAATTTCTTTTCACTTGCCAACTGTACGAAAGAGCAACATCGCTTGTACCAGAAATGTCCCTTGCTTTTTTCAAATGCGCTGTTTGCCACAATGAAGAAGAAATTGAAATCGTCAAAGGAAGAATTAACGAACCCGGAGTTTGTAGTAGATGCCAAACTACAAAAGTAAAAGCTTCTGTCTATCTCATTCATTTACTTTTTTTCAAAGTCGATGCGATTGATTCATAACAGATGCAAGTACATCGGCAAGCAGATCATCAAACTTCAAGAAGCTCCGGAAGAAATGCCAGCTGGTGAAACTCCTCATTCGATCCCTCTTCATGCTTATGGAAATTTGGTGGATGCAATTCAACCTGGTGATCGAGTTAATGTCACTGGAATTTTCAGAGCAGGTATGAGTTTTTGGATTGATTTATTGAACAAGGTCTATCGAAGTTAGTACAGGGGGAAATTGAACTGAAGGAGAAGGCACTGAATGATAGTAGAGAGAATTTGAAATGCGCGTGTGTTGAAGAATTTTTGAGCCACTATTACCTAAATTATTGATCTTGGAGTGGAGATATATGTTTTATCATATTATATGATTCATATAGCTCTCATCGGGTGTTGTCAAATCCATGATGGAGCTGCAGGAAGCCTGATCGTCCTTCTGTTGGGGCTCGTATAGATTGTGGCTCCGATGTGTTCGAAACATACACTGGGTAACCATTTTCATCAACGCCAACCTGGCCGTGAATTTCTTGCATCATAAGAATTGGGAGAGCGTTCTCTTGATCTTTTTGAAAAGGTTAAAATATGATGGCAATTCGAAACTCACTTATAAGCTGAAGATTTCTAATGTGTTCTTGAGTTTGTTCGGTAGCCATCGTAGAATTCTCTTTTGATTCGGGAAAAAATCCGAGTACTCAGAATTGTTTTAGTATAGTAATTGTAAGAGTGTCTAAGCCGTAGGTCAGTCGACGGCTGCGGTTTTTTACGCGATAGCGCCATCTATTTCTGCGGCGCACTTATGGGAAAATTTTTATGACCACTCGTAACCTCTTCTTTCATCGACGACCGTTCTGACTTCATTTTTAAGGTTCAATTCGAGTAAACCCTCGCCACCGGAACGTCAAATCAGTCTATCGCACCCACATCGACACAATTCACTTCGACAAAAAGTCTGACGAGTTGCTCAAGCGCGACGAAGAAGGATCTGCTCTTGACATCTCTCCGCAAAGAATCGAGGAAATCGTCGCTCTCGGAGAACGAATGGACATATACGATACTCTTGCGAATTCCATCGCTCCTTCAATTTTCGGAAATGAAGATATTAAAAAGGGAATTCTCTTGCAGCTAGTTGGAGCTTGCGAAAAGAATTTGACAGAAGCTGGTCGAGGAAAAGTACGATCGGAAATTCATGTCCTTCTTTGTGGTGATCCTGGTACTTCGAAATCTCAGCTTCTCAGCGCTGTGAATAGATTGGTGCCTAGAGGACAGTATACTTCCGGAAAAGGATCATCAGCTGTTGGTTTGACGGCTTATGTTACGAAAGATGTTGATACGAGACAGCTTGTCCTTCAGGGAAGGGATAATTCGCAAGTACGAAAAAATGTTCTTATAAAAAATTTTATTTCATGTATAATAAGGGCAATGTTGAAGCTTACACTTTCCAGATTTGTTTTTACGAGCACGTCATTTTAACGTTATAAAGATCCTATTTTCGAAAGTAATAACAGATCGTACGTCTGCAGTATCCCTCTAAGCCTGGAGCCCTTGTTCTTTCCGACAACGGTATCTGCTGCATTGACGAGTTCGACAAGATGACCGAGTCCACTCGCTCCGTCCTCCACGAAGTAATGGAATCCTGCACCTTATCCGTCGCCAAAGCAGGCATCATCTGTCGCCTCAACGCTCGTACATCTGTCCTAGCCGCTGCCAATCCCGTCGAATCTGCCTGGAACGCAAACAAAACAATCGTCGAAAACATCCAATTGCCGCACACGCTCATGTCGCGTTTCGATCTTATCTTTTTGGTGCTTGATCCAAAGGACGAAGCTTACGACCGAAAACTCGCCGCTCATTTGGTCTCACTGTATCACACAGACAGAGAAGATGTGATGAACGATGATCAACAACATCTCGACCAAAAGTTGCTCAGAGATTACCTCGGCTACGCCCGAGCCATGGTCAAACCAGTGCTGAATGTAGAGGCAAAAACAGAGCTTGTCAATTCTTACATCAAAATGCGACAAGTGGGAGCGAACAGAGGCGCGATTTGCGCTTACCCGCGTCAGCTAGAATCGCTCATTCGACTTTCCGAGGCTCATGCGAAGGTTCGTCTTTCGGATGTCGTCGACAAAATGGACGTAGAAGAAGCTGTTCGGCTCTACCGAGAGGCGCTGAAGCAGTCGATCATGGATCCAAAAACTGGAGCAATCGATATCTCCATTTTGGTAAGAAACTCTTCGTTGATTTCAAAACCTAGAAATTTCATTTCAGACCACTGGAATATCCGCTCACGCGCGTGCCCAACAAGCAGAGCACAAGAACGCGCTCAAGATTGTGATCGAAAGAGAGGTTCAAGGACAGACTATCAAGGCAATCGAGCTTCTTAGCATTTGGAGACGATTTACTGATGAAGCAATTACGACTCAACAGTTTGATCTTGCTGTTCAGGCCTGGTTCAAAATCATTGTTGCTTTTCCAGCTTATCAAAGTTCTGCTAGCGGACTTTACTGTAGCTGAAAACAGCTGAAATAGCTTTTGAACCGAGAAAAGGCGCTAGAATCCGACGATGTCGTCGCCCGACACGGAGATACCATCCGCGTCAATCACAATTAACTAGTTCAACGAATTCAACTCACTCGCCTTAATCCCACCTGACAAATCCATTTTAGAAACATTTATTCTACACTGCCACTTATCGCACAAACACACTCTTGTTTCTCACTGTTTTCTATTCTGCAACATCTGCAAAACAACGAAAAAATGACAATTTCTTGCTCTTTCTAGAGCGTCGCTATTGACGCGCTGAGGCTTGAAAAGTTTTGTTGAATAAAAATTAAATAAGTAAGAGACTGAAAAAAAGACCGGAAAACTGATTTAGTGGATTTAGAATGGCTCCAAAGGGAACTGCAGCTGATAAGAAGGCAAATGATAAAGTTGCAGATAATAAAAAGGACAAGCCAGAGTCGGGAATTCCAGAGGAAAATGAGTTGAATGATGAGGACAGAGAACTCAAGTAAGCTACTTAATGATTTTTTTATAAATTATTAATTTTAAAAAATCTTCCGTGGGAACTATATTCAACATCAAATATCAAATAGCTAATTTTTACGACATCCTTACGCTGCCATCCGGTTTAGGCACTCTTGTATTATAACATGCGTGGCCACATCCGTAGACGGCGTAAAGCACCTCCGCCACATTGTCCGGAATTGTTTGCGCGCTTCTCGCGACTGCATTTTCATACAATGTGGTCAGTCATCTGTGATTATTCAAGAAAATCAAAAGACCCGAAATCTATCCCGGAACTTTCTTCGACTCGCTTCTGGGAATCTCAGTCTGAGATCTAGGAGAGGCCCTCAAGTATACGATAATGCATCAAACAACTGCATGCGATTTGAAACCTTTCAAAACTTTTGAATAAGAAAAACCGTAGATCGCACTTTTTATTGGAATTGGAAAAACAGTCATTGTTTACTTTTTTTTACTAAAACTTTTCAGGGAAGAGCTCAACCTTTGCGTCACCCGACTGACAGAAAATGACGAGACCTTGTACAAAGGCGCCCTCGAAATCCTCCGCTCCAAAATCCGAACTGCCACTTCCTCCCTCACCAGCGTGCCCAAGCCCCTCAAATTCCTTCGCGAACACTACGAAACCATCGTCGCCGCTTATGAAAAAATGAAGGGTGAGGGCAACCGACTCCTTTGCGCTGATGTTCTTTCTTGTTTGGCAATGGTTATGTCCGAGAACCGCGATTGCTTGAAATACAGACTTGTCGGCCCAACAGAAGGTGTTGGCGAATGGGGACACGAATACATCCGCCATCTAGCGGGAGAAGTCGCCGCTGAATGGACAGAACGAACTGCCGAAAACCCCGAAGCAGATGTGGAAGACCTTCTTCGACTCGTTAACATCATCCTCCCCTACGACATGACGCACAACTCCGAAACTGACGCGGCCGACATGCTCATGGAAATCGAACGACTCGATTTGCTCGTCGAAGCGTGCGACACAAAATCCTACAAAAAGGTCACTCTTTATCTCAAGTCCTGCGTTCCCTACACCCCTGATCCAGAAAACACCACTCTTCTCAAGACGGCATTGGCGATTTACCTCAAGTTCGAAAAGTTCACAGAAGCGATGTTCGTCGCCCTTCAACTCAACGACGAAGATGTCATTTTAGACATTTTCGATCGATGCAAGGACAATTCTATTCTCAAGCAATGCTGCTACATTCTCGGCCGACAGCAGCGATTCGTTGATCTTCCAGAGAAACTTCCAGACGTTGATGACCTTGCTGAGACCATGTCCAACTCCCATCTCTCCGGCAACTTCCTCGGGCTCGCCAGAGAACTGGACATCATGGAGCCAAAGAAACCGGAAGACATCTACAAGTCCGACCTAGACAAGTTCACCAGCAACATCGATTCCGCCCGCGCCAACCTCGCCTCTTCCTACGTCAACGGCTTCGTCAACTGTGGATTCGGAACTGACAAGCTTCTGACAACTGACACAGACAGTTCTGGCAGCAACAGTTGGATCTGGAGCAACAAGGATCACGGCATGATTGCTGCGACGGCTTCTCTTGGCTTGATCCTCCTCTGGGATGTCGACAATGGTCTTGTTTCTATTGATAAACATCTTTATTCCGCAGAAGATAAGATCAAGGCTGGAGCTTTGCTGGCATGTGGAATTGTCAATGCTGGAATTAGGTACGTCACAGTATTTGTCTAGCAGACTGTTTACGTATTTAGCGTAAGTTCTTTTTTCTAAAAGCCACTTGGTCAAAACTCACAAGATTATCTTTCAGACGTTAATTTACTCAAAGAACAACCAGTTTTTATTAAACAAATCGTTTCCGCCAGCGAAATAAACATTGAAATTTAGAAACGAGTGCGATCCCGCCCTTGCGCTCTTATCAGATTATGTCACCTCAAGCTCGCTGGTAATCCGCCGCGGATGCGCTCTCGGTCTTGGTATTGCCTACTGCGGCTCCAACAGAGATGATGTTATCCAGATTCTTCTCCAGCAGTTGCATGACCAAAAGTCGAGCATGGAAGAAATTGGCTGTTGTGCTCTTGCACTTGGTATTTCTTCGAAATCCTTTCAGTTTATTACAGTCTTTTTACAGGTCTTATCGCTGTGGGAAGCTGTAATGGCGACGTTACTACAGCCATTCTTCAAATTCTTATCGAAAAGTCCGAGTCCAATCTCAAGGAAACGCACGCTCGTTTCCTCGCCCTTGCACTTGGCCTCTGCTACTTGCAAAAACAGGATCTTGTGGAAACGATTATCGCCGCGTTGGAAGTCGTTCCTGAGCCACTTAGAAGCTTTGCCACGATTCTAGTTGAAGTTTGCGCATATGCGGGCACTGGCAACGTGCTCAAGATTCAGAAGATGCTCCATGTTTGCTCTGAAAAGCCGGAAGAAAAGGAAGAGGACGAGAAGGAGAAAGAGAAAGAAAAGGAGAAGGAAAAAGGTAACTGAAGAAAATACTGTTCAAGAGAAAAAGTAGGGCTTGTTTTCATGTTTTACGAAGCGGCTCTTATTAGATTAAGACCTATCTAAAAACTTAATGAAAGCATTCCTCGGGCCTGTATTTTTACATGAAACAGTTGGTTTTTCGAGCTTTTTAAAAGTCTTTTGGTTTGTTTTCCGAAATGTTTTACCTCAAATATTTGGTCCTATATTTTTAAAAGATGATTGAAAAGATGTTTTCAACGGAAATAATTAACAATTTTAAACTGATGCCTTGGTGAACTTTCTCTTTAGATAAAAAAGAAAAGAAAAAGGAGAAAAAAGAAAAGGATCGAAAAGATGGTCGACTTCACAAGCAAGCTATTGCTGCGATCGGTGTTGCTCTCATCGCCATGGGCGAAGACATTGGATCGTAAGTGATGAAAAGGTGAATCGATGGTCACGTATTTTTCTAGCGAAATGTCCTTCCGAACATTTGGCCACCTCCTACGATACGGAGAACCTCCTCTTCGCCGAGCAGTTCCACTCGCCATCGCCTTGACTTCAATTTCAAATCCACAAATGAACATTATCGACACTCTTTCTAAGTTCTCCCACGACTCTGACGCCGAAGTCGCATACAATTGTAAGACCCTCGTCTTAACCTCCCTTTTTCATTGAAATTTCTAGCGATCTTTGCGATGGGTCTCTGTGGATCGGGAACGAACAACGCTAGATTGGCGCAAATGCTCAGGCAGCTTGCTCTGTTTTACCAAAAAGATGCTAATGCACTTATGATGGTCAGACTTGCCCAAGGACCGGTTTAGAAATTACAACGATGTATCACGCGATGAGCGGGGACTCAATTTCAAGCCAAAGTCATAAATCAGTCCTTGTTTCTGCGAGATACAGTCGACTCTGGCAATTACGAGTAGCAGAATTACGAGTATTTTGACAAAAACCCGCCAATTTTGAAAACAAGGGATCATCGACCGAAAATAATTTTTTTCGAAAAAATTGAGAATGCTTGATTTTAATCATTAACCCGCTAACAGGGTGGTCGATTTTGCCTACGCTTTTGCCTGTCTGTGATTGAGTGAAAACATGGATCCGGGCATGCGATTGGCTACTCATTTCCACGCGTGGCCGTGAGACGGCCACGCGCCTGTAACCGGGTTAAATCTTTGGCTTAAGAGTCTCCGGCTCTTCAGATGGTTTTAAAGCAGCTTCAACAGATTGAAAATTTGCATTTTTTTTTATGAAAGTCTCTGAATATTATTTTAATTTTTCGTTGACAAAAAACTTTCCAAAGGAGTACGGTGGTAGCTAAGAGCCTTAGCTCTCTCCTGAAAAAAATTAAGGGTTTCCCTCAGCTTAAATCCCTGAAAAAGCTTGATCCTATCAACCTGATCTTTAACGGCCTGTATATCATTGAGGAGGTAGAACTAGATTTTTGAACAACCGTGATTTTCGGGATCATCATAAGGGAAGCGGTTGTATTCGAGTGTTAAATTCGAGTTCCAATTAAATTAAGGGTGTAAATAAGATAGCTTCGGAGAAATACTAACTTCAAGGAGGCCCATTTTCGCAATTCTTGATGGGGGGTCCTTAAAAATGAAATCGAGAGAAAATCGAGCCACATTTTCCAACTCGGAGAATTACGAGTATTTCACGAAATTCCCGACAAAAAAAGGCTCGTAATTGCCAGAGTCGACTGTAATTGGCTTTGAAACGAGAAAGTTGTATGAAATATCAGGACATCTACAACAAAAGATCAACCAATCAAAATTGGTATTTCACCCGCTAGAATTAACCGCTGTCCGGGCCAGAGTTGGTAAAAAAGTATACTTCCCCTCGCCCTTCAAAAATCTGCAGGGCGCCCTTCATTCTTGAAGGGCGGTGAAGTGTACTTCACGCGCCCTTCAAAGCCCTGAAGTATACTTCAGCTATCGGTTCATCTGCCACAATCAGCGTGATTTAAATCATGGCGCCTGAGAGCCAATAAGCGCAAAATTTGAAAAAATTCTGGCGGATGGATTCTGATGGCCGACAGAACCAAGTTGAAGTAGAGTGAAGGGCGGAAGGGCGGTTGAAGTAGAGGGTAGGGCGGAAGTACACTTCACGCCCTTCAACGCCCTGCAACGCCCTGAAGTATACTTCATGAAGTATACTTCATTCTGAAGGGCGAGTGAAGTATACTTTTTTACCAACTCTGGTCCGGGCCACAAATCAGTGTTTTCTAGCGTAAAAATTTGTCACATTCTCATGTCAATTAATATCATGTGTTAGACCCGCGAGAATTCGAAATGATCATTAAAATACTTTTTTGATTCTAAAACAAACTTTCTAATTCAATTTGAAACCGATCACAAGGTCTCGTTCACTTGGGAAAAGGAACGATGACGTTGCAGCCCTTCCATTCGGATCGAACTCTTCTCAACGTATCATCCGCTGCTGGTTTAATTTCGACAGTTGTTGCTGCTCTTGATCCAAAGGGACTTCTTCTCGGAAAGCATCATTATCTTTTATATTCCATTGTTCCAGCTATTCAGGTATTTTCATTTTCAAAACCTGATTAATCCCGCGAATTCTAGCCCCGATTATTGGTCTGTCTGGACGAGGATAGCAAACCAATGCAAGTTTCTGTCCGAGTTGGTCAAGCTGTTGACGTCGTTGGTCAGGTAGGAACTAGAACAGTAAAAATACCCCTGTTTCCAAGTAGCCTACTTATGTTTCTTTGTATTTCAGGCCTTGTATTGAATTCCAAGGCTTACAACACTTGAAATTTCAAGTGCTTTTTCAACCCTTTCGCTTTCTCGTATATTTTTGTTAGGGACTAACGAGATTTAAGTTTATATCCGCTTGAGACCCACAGTCAGATTTTTTAACCTCAGCTTATCCCGCGAAAGCGTCTGTACGCCACAAAAGCAATTTGGTGACATGCGCGACGGCTAGTGTTTCTAAGCGGAATTTATTCTTTCAAAAAGACCAACTCGCGGCAGCGCCCACTTTAGAACTCTTTTTCAGGCCGGTAAGCCGAAGACTATCACTGGCTTCCAAACGCGAACGACTCCCGTCCTTCTCAGCTACGGTGAACGAGCGGAACTGGCGACGGACGAATATATTCCCCTCTCGCCTGTTTTAGAAGGCTTTGTGATGCTGAAAAAGAACCCCAACGCTATGGACACTTCCGAAAACAATTAAAAAACCCTTCACTTTCCGACCTTTCCTCAGTTCAGTTTCTAGTTTTAGCGAGTTTTTATATGTATGAGCATCATATATGTATGAAAATGAAAATATACGCCCTGTCTTTTACTGAATATCTTTCTTTATCGAAAATACTGGCAACAGGTTTTTACATGTTCACGACGGCAAAATGAAAATAAATGTGGTTATATAAAAAAATTCTGGAGGAATCATTTAGCTCTCTCGAAAGAAAAGAGGGCTAAATGAGAAGATACAACGGTAGTAACTTTTCAGCCCTCGAGGAAGTTTTTCGAGAGGCGCTCCGGAGCGGTCGTTTCTGCACCGCTTGGCGTTTTCTGTGTTTCTTATATTCGGCGACGAACCGAAAGGATCACACTTATAGAGATAGAAATATGAAACTTTCCACACTTTTTGTACCAGGTTCAAATGAAAATATATATTTCCCAATTCTATATTCGAATATTTCTATTCTCAAACATTTTTATTCAATGATTTGAAGCTATTTTGCTTCAAAATATTCTATCAACCCTATATCTAAGCTTCATCCTTATTGAACTAAAATTATATGTCGTTTATTGTCTATCTTAACCTCTATCTTCGATTCATATCGGTATTTCTCCGCGATTTCCGTTGCGTCTCTCCCCTTTTATGCAGTCCTTTTCAACTCTTTTTCTTTCAGCAGCCTTCGCAGGAAAGTGCGAGAACTGGAAAAATGACGCTGTCGCTGCCAATCCACTCGAGAATGGTTCTTGGAGCTGCGAGAAGCCGGGAAAGAAGCGATTCGTTTGTAAGGCAAGCTGCAACGCCGGAAGCATTGCTGGCTTCAAAAAGTGGAAGATGGACGTGAGCTGCGCCGATGGATCAACTACAATCAAGTCGAGAGCGGCGAATGGCATGACTCCTTCCCTCACTTGCTCAGCTTCCGACCAGTGCGATGGACTCTCCGCTGCTAATGGCGACTTGATCCTCAAGCGAACAGGTTCCATGCGAAAATCCTTCCAGCTTAAATGCAACGGAGCCAAAAAGAACGCTTCCAAATCCCGGGTTAACTGCAATCGAGCCACTGGAGACGTCTCCGCGCCAGGGTAAGTGCCTTATCAGTCCCAAATTCCGTATCAAAACTTCGCGGTGGTAGATAAAGGACAACGTATTAGAAAAGCGCCATGAAATCGTGAAATTGTTCCACCTCGTAAAAAATCTTTTAGAATTCCAGACTTCGCGACCCACTGCCAGAACGACGTCCTCCCAGAAAAATACTACTGCGATTTCAACTCCGGAACCGACGCTTCTTCTGGCTCTCTTGACGGCGCTGTCTACATGGCTCAGACCGACAGCGGAGTTAACTTTTCAGGCTCCATTTCCTCCGCTGATGAGGTCTGGGATGCTGGATACCACGGATTCCATGTTCACGCTAACGCCTCTCCTCTCAACAATGAAGCTGGCCAATGCAAGGGTGCTGGTGGTCATTTTGGCCTCGCTGGACAGATCCACGGTGCTCCAACTGACTCCTATCCCGATCGACACGTTGGAGATATTGCCAACGTCTTCGCCACTGAAAACGGAGATGGCACTCGAACTGCACCCGTCGATGTTACTGACGCAAAGGTCTCGCTCAATCCCGACAGCGTTCTCTTCATTGGAGACAAGTCTATCGTCGTTCACGCCAACATCGACGATCACAACCCAACCGACGACCCTAGCTCCACTGGAGCAGCTGGTAGCCGACCAGGTTGCTGCACTATCAAGCCAGTTAGATACACTTGCGATTTCGTCGGCGCTGGAGCTGACTTGAGCGGACAGATTACATTTAAATACGAGGGCGATCAAGGTATTTCGGTCTTTCCCATTTTCTTCTTTTTATTCTTTCTTCTAGTTCGCGTCACTGGAACCATCTCCGCCTCATCGAACTTCGACGACGGCCTCCACGGATTCCACGTTCACGCCAATGCCGCCACCGCCAACTCTTGCAGCGACGCTGGAGGACATTTCAAATGGAGCGACGATGAAATCCACGGTGCTCCAGAAGACACCCCACCAAACCGACACGCCGGAGATTTGGGCAACATCAACGTCGTCGATGGCGTCGCTGAGGTCAACATCCTTGATCACGTTGTTTCGCTCATCCCCGGCGAGGACTACTTCATCGGTGACCGAGCTATCGTTGTTCACAAGTTCCACGACGATGCCAACCCCACCGATGATCCTTCATCCACTGGCGCTGCTGGAGCTCGACTTGGCTGCTGCATCCTCAACCGTGCTTAAGAATTTAGCCTCATCTTCTATTATCGATATTTCTGTACACTTTCGGAAAAAAATAAGTTTCCCACCCTCCCTTGTTCATATTCTAATAAACCAAATATTTCATTAAAAAATGCTTTTAAAATAATTCATTTATTTTGAAATTATGGCAGTTTATTTCTCTTTGCATCGCTTATTCTCTTCTGAAATGCACGCAATCGCCAGCAGATACATTACTTGTCACAGTCTCTCGGCGGAGGGAAGAGGACTCTCCTTCATCTGGGGAGGATAAAACACTGTAGACGACGATGAGGACGATTATGATTCCAGAAAAAGCGAGAATAGCAGTCAGCGTAATGATGATATGGACAGTTATACTAGCCCAGGTAGCTTTTTTAGGATTATTTTCGGTGATTTCAAGAAAAGAATTATAGAAAGCTGTTTTATATCTAATCCTTTTCCATCGGCGGGAAAGCCATCTCTCAATTTAAAGTGAAACCGTCCCCCATAACTACGACACCTTGTCGATAGTTGATCAAGAATCGATGCATTAATTTTGCAAAAGACTGGACTTTTATTTACAGTCTGGATACTACCCCGCCTCTTAATATTTAATCCCTTCTAATTTCTTTCTTTTTTTTTTATCTTGGCTTCAATAGACTCTCAAAAAGACCTTTTGGACACGCTTTTTAATAGAACCAAGCCGAATTTTAGGCTTTTTTTTCGCCAAAACAAGACATCTGCCCTGAAAAGCAGATTTATGCAAATTTCAATTCGATTAACCTGCTGCCTCTTCTTTTGTATCAGAAGTAAACAGAACACTGTTTACAGTACCATCAGGTTCTGAAAATCTTCGTTTTTTTAATTCAAGTGCCGTTTTGCTCAGCTTGAAAAATTGAACTCTTTCTGGGAAATTCTGCCTAGGGGCCCATTCACAGGGTTGAAAAGGGTTCTTGCTAAAGCGTAGTGAGGAGCGAAAACACAACAAATTTAGTTTTTAACGAAATGCGGTTCTTCTATCACATCGATTCGTCTGATAAAATTCTGCTTGATTTTCTCCAGCAAAAACTGAATCGAGCAATACAGAGGAGCTCTTGGACAATTTGAAGAAATATGGAAAGTCGGTTCGGCTTCCAGTGAGAATTAACAGTCACCAGATAGAAGAAGTGCTTGAAAGGTATGAAATGGACATCGATAAGTTGCAAATTCTCAACGAAGAAGAGAAGAAACTTCAAAAAGAATCATTCATTCAAATTTCTGGACACCTGGAGCTTTTCGATATTTCTCGTTTGCTGGTTATTTTGGGGAAGCTTCGGAACCAGTGCTCGATCGATTCGGCGAACAGGGAGGATGAGCTTGAGGAGGAAAGAAAATTGGCTCACGAAGCACATGTTGAAGAATTGGTCAGTAGAGTCGAAGAAGCGCTAGGAAAAGGATCTAAAAATAGGTGCAGGACGGGCGTTCTTTTAATTGAAAGTTCGTGCGCTTTCATACAAACAAGAGTTACATAACTCCTCGGGGTCATGTCTCAGAGCCAGATAAATTGATACCAAGCTATTTTTTCCGCGTGTGGAAGTCACATGCACGAAGAAAAAGACGGTAAATATTCCTTGCAGAACAATCCTTAAATAAAGAAGCGACGAAAGAGGAACGATTCAAGCTCCAAAACGCGAGAAAAATAACAGAGTCGTTGCAGAAACACCTTTTAGAGGACGACGAAGCTGTTCGAAAACAGTTGAAGGGAATGAGTAGTTGCAGCGACTTTGAAGAGGTCGATATCGAGAGATTTGAAGAAATCATTGAAGAAAGCGGCGGGCGCCATTCTTCCGATTCTTTCGCCGGTAAAATGTCTCAAAAAGAGCCTTTTTCCATCGAGTTTTCTAGTGCTTGGATCAGATGATCCAGACAGCTTCGAAAGAGCAAGTCCAAGCAGCGAGTCAATTGAAGATCTTGGCCATCGAGTTCTTGAGAATATCGACGATTTTCTCAAGAAAGAAATGACTGATCTTCAAGAAGAAAATCTGCGGCTTCGAGATTTTGTAAGCGTTTCAATTGATGAGACGAAGTTGAAAATGATGGACTTGCAAGATCAACTCGAAAATATGACCAAAAGTATGGAAAAATCGCAAGAAACAGTTGTCGAAAAGCCACTTCGAAAATCCAAGCTGAAGAAAACAAGGCCCAAGTCGTTGTTTAAAAAGAAGAAAAGCCATCCCAAGCCACTTTTAAAAAAGAAGCACGAAAAGAAAATTGACTATCAGGATCTTATTGACCAGCTTGATGAAAACGAAGCGATGCTTAAAAGCATCGAAAGAAAATTATCGGCTTCAGAGCTGGAACAAAAGCGAATTCCTCAAGAATCTTCTCACCGTAAGTTCTTTTTCCCTATCCCAGAAAATTCTTCTTTTAAGAACGAGCTTTCATGTGGTTTTCCTCGATTCTTGCGGCTGTGTTCGCATCTCTCGCCGTTTTCTTTGCCCAGTACAATGTTGCTCACTTTTCCAGTCAAAAATTTAACGAAAATCTTATTCCAAAAAATGAATGCTTACACTTCATTTTGAAGCAAAACTTATCAGAACCTCTTCTTTCCTTCCGAAATTCATCAATTCAAGAAACCAAATTCAAACCGACTAAATTTCAAATGGCAAAAATCCCCGAGAAAACAACACAATTTTCTTTCAAAAGAGAAGCAATCAAAGCTGAAATCAAAGAAGAAAATGACGAAGTTGACGAAGAAATTTCAACCGAAATCACTGAATATCTTCTGGTCGAATCGCAGATCTTTGAAGATGAATTGCTTGAATCACCCTGTTTACCTGAAATCAACGAAGACTCTTTCGAAGAAACAGAACTTGACGAGAATCAAAACGGCTTTGAAGTTATTGGCGATACGGCAAATCTTTTTGAAAAAGAAAAAATAATCAAGGAAGACAAAAATTTCGAAACGCCTGTTTTCATCGACAACGATGATGACGATTACAACGAAGATATCTTTTTCAATGACCGAATGCGACTTGAATACATGCAGCGGATGCGACTGGGCAATTTCTATCACAGAGCTTACTGTGAGTCCTCATTTTTGTTATATTTTACAGCTAGCTTTATTCAGTCCATCAACCAGCATTTCCAAATTATTCCCGGGGACCGATGTTTTCTCATCCCATTGGCTTTGCTTTGAATTTTGAGGTGCTTTTTCTTTTATTTTTTTAATATTGATTTTGTATTTCAGAGTTAGTAATCTCAATACAGGTATAGACGAGATTTGATTGTGCCTGGCGAAATGTTCGATTATTGATTTGAAATTTTTTTGATAATTTTTTGAATGATATTTTTCTTTAGCGAATTTCTTTGGCACCATCTTACTACGAATTTCATCCCTGAAAAAATTTTCCTTTCAATTCTGTCCAATAAATTCCTCCTTTTTCAAAAATATGATTCTATGATCGAGTTTATTGCTCGAATGTTTCAATAACAGTATAAATATATAGTCACCTGCTCTTTTGTTCCGTTCCCTGGGAAATTAATAAAGTGACTACCGGTATCAAATTCATAGGGGCTTCCGATCATTGTTCAAATTAACAATTTATAAATTATATTGAAAAATTTAGCATTTTAATTTTTACGACCTCTGAGAATTTGGTCAGAAAAAGAAATTCAGGATGTGCAATGTAGAGACAAGAACTGCCATCTTCAATCCAATCACAAATATTTGAAGGACAATTACAGTTGTGATACACACGGCGCCAATTCCTTCAAAAGAGGAAAAACATCAGAAAAAGCTCGCATTATCAGACGATCAAATGTTACACGCAGATATGATTAATCGGAGCAAATCTGATCTGAGAGCCATGACACCAAGATATTCGCTTGATTTGGGACACGAGGAAAAGGTTTCAATAATACTAAGAGCCTATCGCCGATAGACTACCGACAAAAAGAATTTTTACAGATAGGCAACAGTCTGTATGATCTCTGAGTTAACTTTTTTTTCTAGAGAATTTTTCAGCGGACCGTAAGACTAGTTTTTTGCCATGAAGTAAAGATCTTACTTCATTAGGTTTATCCTGAAGGAATGTAACAATCTATTGTGTTATACGGAAGAACCATATTAGAATATTATAAACTAATATAACTATAAAGTAAAGCTAGTAGTGGCTATCTCATATAGTATTTTTAAAAAATATATATCAAGAATTCAAATCATTCAGATGAATTACCTTTCAAAAGCCTGAATTTATCCGATTCTGGACTGGTGTCGAAGACCTGCCACCCGAAAAAACCCTCCATCGATCCAGGTCCCGAGTAAACCAACGATGAAATTTTCCCATGGACAAAATGATTTTAAATCCCGGATTGTTTCAAGTAGCCCTCCTGGCCCAACGCAGCTTTGCTATCACTTGAATTCCTGGTTTGTTCTGTTTCGCTCAGCACTTTTTGTCTTGTTTGACTGATTTTATATTTGCGGGAGGATAAGTGAGTTTTTCATGCACTTTCGGGAAGATTTTCGGGACTTCTTATCAGATCAAGAGCGAATAGATACAACGATTAGCATGTCAATGGTCACTTGACAGAGGAAGATAAGCTTTTAAAAGACTGTAAATGTACTGACATAAGATTTTGAGGAGCAAAGGATTTCGCGAATTGTTATCCCATTTTTGAAAATACGATTCTTTTAGCTTCTTAGTTACAATTTGACAAGTTGATGTTTTGACGGAAACAATCACCTCCCGTGCAAATAGATTTCTGTCTTGATTAGTCTCTGATTTTCAGCGACCCCAAGTACTGAAAGATATTCAAAGTCAACTTTTCTATCGACCTACGGCTACTTTATCGACTTGATTGAAACTTCTTCTTTTTGAGAAAGCCTTGACCAAGATTTTCCTTGAGAAAAAGGAGCTTTCCGGAAGTCGTAAAAATGCAAATTTCTCTGTTTCAAATCTTGAACGTGGCACTTTATCGACATGCACCTCTTTAAATAGTATACCCAGTGTCAGTACGGCGCCGTAATTGAGCGACAAACTCGATAGACTCAAAAATCCAGCGCAGATTAAAAAGGAGAACAAAAAAGAATATGAGTAGGGCGGGCAGGAGAGATTTCACCAAGCCCCACTGGGTCAGGCTCAGTCGTTTACCCGAGATAAGAACCACTATGCCGCGAAGAAGAAGACAGTCTCAGGTCGTCCTTGGCCAGAAATTGCCGGATAAGCCCGTTCGTGTGCCCCTGTCTTTACGACTCAGGTGAGCTATTTATAATCCTTTTTTTGTCCTTGAAAAAATTAGAAAATGACTAGGGTTAGGGTTAGGGACGACGCCTACAAGCAGGATTAGTACTTGTTGTAGGCTACTAGTAGTACCCCGGTAGTACTTTTGATATTCGTTGATAGAAGCGATTCAGTGTATCTAATGAGAAGCTGATTCGAATTTTTCTCTCATTTTGGATACAGTTTCCCTCCAAACAAAAAATCCCGCCGCACTTCCCATGGAGTCTCTTTCACTCACTTCCCTTTTCAGGATACCCTCATCAATGGAGCCCCCATCGAGCTCGCCTTTACGGGACCTGGCCATCCGTTCTGACCGGAGTTACTCATGTCTTGGCAACTATAACATGGACGCGTCGAACATCGATGAATATAATTATAATCCAAAGAATAGGTCAAAAAACTGTTTTTCCCTTTTTTGGGCAATTTAGACCTTGAAACAAAGATAATTCGAAGTCGCCCTGTCACGAAATATTCTGACCCTGCATCTGACAATTTGAAAACAGAAGCACTTCATCAAAATCAAAAAGAAAGTCAGAAAAATCGCAGAATATCTGCCCGGAAAGAACTTGCCTCGTCTGTCCTCCCCCACATCCGGAGAAACAGAAAACAAACTGATACTGTTCGCCAAGCGGAAAGCCCCTGTAACTCCAACAGAACAAGTCCTACCACGAAAAAGCCAAAGGTGGTAGTGAAAGAGGGACAGAAAATGATTTTTATAAGAATTCCTTGTTTGTAAATAAATATTTGTCACAGTTGCAATTATTTTATTCGAGTCGCTCCCAGAAGTGAACTTCTTCCAAACCGATAGGCAGGGTGTAGAATTGTCCGCCAACGCGAATTTCATCTGTGAAATAATTTCTCCAGAGCAGGCTTCGTCCTTTTCCGGGCTTTCTCAATGAATTTGTCGAAGTCTAGGCTCGGCAACCTGTGTAGAAAACCTGACTCAGGGTCTGAAAGATCTTTAAGGAAAAGCCGCTTAGCGGCTTTCTTTAAAAATGAGCCGCAAAGCGGTTTCGCAAGAATACGCGGCTTTTCCTTAGAGAATCTCTAATTGAGATCTTCTATACCCTCAGTCTGGTTTTCTTCACAGGTTACCGAGCTCAGGTCAAAGTGTCAAGCCCGCTTTCCTGGTAAATAAACGATCATCATTCTCTCTCCCTTCGTTACACTCGGAGCTACAAGATACTTTTCGCCAATAATCCAGCTTTGAGTCAGTTCATAAATCTCCTTCGAGAGCTCGGTTTTCTCAGCGAGGTAAGAGACCGGAGCAATGGGGAGGATTTCGGATCCAGCGATGTAGTCTTCCCAAACTTGTTCGTAAAGAGGGGCGATGATGTCGTGATGGAAATCGGTCCAGTATTTACAGAGTTGACGGGTTGACGGATTTTCGTATTGCCAGGGTGAAAGTGAGAACTTAATTGAACATAAAATATGTTTATACAGAAATTTTGGTAAAGAAATAGGGACAATGGTGAAGCAATTAAGTGAAATGACGATATGTAACCAAGTTAGATTGTATCAAAAAAAAATTCAGAAAGATGAATTGAATACTATTTTTATGGTTCCTTTTATTAAGAAAATTCGAATAAGCAACCTGAATCGAAGGCATGAATGCAGTAACTTCCATCCACCTAATATACAATTCTTCTTCTGGAACATAAGTTCCTTCAAAACCATCCTCATAAGCGTTTCCACCGACCATGTCTGGCAAAATATACTAAATTTTCCCCTCAGACTTTGCCTATTTCAATCATTACCAAACCTGGTACCCGATAAGCGAAGATAGAATCAAATGCGGCACCATAGTCTGCAATCCATTATCACTTCCCCACTTCGAGTCCTTGTCAAACATCCTCATCCAAATCGCCAAATGCTGATTTCCCCAACCCGATCTCACTTCAGAAATGCCCGGGAAATTATCCGCAATGGTTTTGTCATAAGCTCGAGTCCAATCGACAGATCGAAGAACATTTCCTCGCGTTTTAAAATTGCTCGCCATGTAGTTGGTCTCTCCAGCGTCGAATTTGAAACCGTCGAATCCGTGCTTGTCGAGTTTTTCTTGCAAATGATTTGTGAACCAGTTGGCGCAAATGGCATCAGTAAAATCAACCATGCCGCCTGAAAGAAATATCTTCTCTTATTCAACAAAAATTGCTTACCGACTCCATCCCACCAAGGAACAATCTCAAACTCCTCTCCATTCTCTCTTTCTCCTTTGACAAAACATCCCATTTCCGAAACAGTTTCGAAATTCTCAGAAGGGGGGTTGATAAAGGGAGTCACCCAAAGAGTGACGTTCGATCCTGCTTCATGAACTTTTTCAATCCAGCCAGAGATATCGGAGAACTAAACTTTCTGCTAGAATTTTAGCTCAATTACTCATCCCTTGGCTCGACAATTTGTTTGCAAAACCTGAGTCAGGGTTCAAAAAAATCTTTGGTTAAAGCCGCGCAGCGGCTTTTTTTTAACAAAGCCGCGGAGCGGTTTCGCCAAATCAACAACTAAAATTACTTGAAAAGGCGAAAAGCGCTTTGCGGCTTTGTTTAAAAGAAGCCGCTGCGCGGCTTTTCATTTGAGCTTTTTCAGAACCCTGACTCAGGTTTTCCAAACAAGTTGCCAAGCGTTCTTACTTTTGATGGGTCAAAATCATGATCTCCATACGCAATTTCATATCCATCATCAATTTCAACATTCGAAGCAGTGTATCCATTGCTCGTTATTTCGTCAAGAAACTCTTCCAGCTTCTCCTGGTTGATGGTTTTCTTGTAAATCGCCCAAGATGAAAAGATCGGGTTGTAAATAATCGATCGCTCCGGAAGCTCAGTGGGTTTATTGACCGTCTTTTGAAACGAGCGCTGAACGGATCGAGCATCGGCACCGAGTGTTACGTAGTATTCCAGGGGCAGGATGGGCTCAGAGGATCGCTTGTCGAATTCGGAGTCTTGGTAGTCCGAGAAGATGCATAATTCGGTCTTGATTCCATTCTCCCCAGGCCGAACCGAGCTTGAGAGCGGAATAGGCGAGCGATGATCGACGAGAACCGACCAACTTCCCATCTTGCTTTGTCCGATCCAGTACGGCTCGATGAGCCCACCGTTGCCGACGAAAGGGATGAGGAAGGTATCCCGTGGCACAAAGGGAACCGGGCCCATTTCAGGATTCGTATGAACGCCGCCATCCATTCTTTGGCTAAAAGAGCTCCCTCCCCACGCGTAATCGTTCTCAGACAAAAGCATGCAAGAAGAAACAACTTCATTTCGCGCTTCCTCGTCCTTTGGAACATGCGAAACGAGGATGCTGTCTTCGAATCCGTCTTTGTGCTGGAATTTGAATGTGTAAAGCTTGTCCGTCTTGTTCCAGTCCTCGTAGAAGACGTAGTAGTAATCGTCGTTGACGTTTAGGTAGCTCAAATGCGGAGTGTACTCGAAGTTTGTTCGCATTTCCAAAACACAGTGCATCACGTCTAATTCAGGACTTTCAGCAATACAACCAGTGATGTAAACAAATCCATCAGAGCCGAGGGAAATCGAGACGCTTTGATCGAGGGCCTCATCCCTTCGCTTCTGGAAATTATGTTTGAAAATGCCAAAGACGATCTTTACCTTTCGACTTCCTTGACAATCAAAATTCACCCCAATTTCCTTCATCGTTGCCTCATCTACCACACAATCCCCGGTCAGTGGAACCGCATCAATCAGAGCTCTAGCGCTCCCAGCAAGGAACAGGTTCTGCGAGAGCTTCATTATTCTCTGGTTTCTTACGAATCCGACCAGAAGAAAGGGGCGGATAACGAAAAATGAAAAGCAAATAGCGCTAATTTTATAATTCAAATAAGTTTTAATGCTTGGCAAATGTCTTCCTGCCGCGAGCTGTCCAACCTGCAGCAGTCTCTGAAGGGTTAAATGAAAAGCCGCGTAGCGGCTCTTTTTAAACGAAGCCGCAAAACAGTGTCAGTCGATTTCCAAACTCTGGCGAAGCCGCTTGCGGCTTCGTTTTTCAAAAAAGCCGCTACGCGGCTTTTCGTCTAGACTCTTCAGAAGAGCCTGAATTAGCTTTTCTTTACAGTTTACTTTCATTTTTTCCTGCATAAAAAAAAACAAGTAAAATGAGGATATTTGAATTCCTGAGAATCTGATGCTGAGTTTTATTTTTTTTCCATAATTTTTTTCGAGTTAAAACAGCGAGAAACTGCGCAGGCAGTGAGAAAAAAGCAAAATGGGGGTGTAGCTATTGGGGTGGCTGGGGAGGTGCCATGACGCCATCGGTGTTCGGCCGCGATTTCTCCAGCAGCGACTTGTGGATGTGCGGGATCACACCACCTCCAGCGATGGTGGCTTTGATCAGCATGTCTGAAGGATGAGGTTACTTTACTGGCTGATCGATCAATGTTTGGTTGATGATTTCAATTTTGAAATTCAAGCTCAAAGAAGGGATCTGTGCAGAAATCCTGAGTCAGGAACAGGGTCCTGCAATCTTAGCAAAGCTCTGCATCATCGCGGTTTCGTATTTAAAAAAGCCGCTACGCAGCTTTTCATTTGAAAAGTTCCTTCAGGTTTTTCTCACCTAATTCTTCATCTCCTCTGATCGCAAGCTGTAAGTGTCTGGGCGTGATTCGTTTGACCTAAATTGTTTTTATTTGACTTCCGAAATCTGTGAAAATTATCACCTTGAGATCTTTGGAGGCGTTTCCGGCGAGTTCCAATACTTCGGCGGTGAGGTATTCGAGGATCGCCGCCGAGTAGACGGAGGATGTGGCGCCTACACGGCCATGTGCTGGTACCTAGACGGATGTAGAGAGAGTGGGGAGGAGTGGAAGAGATTTACCTTGGATTTGAGGTGTCTGTGGATTCGACCGACTGGGAACTGAAGACCGGCGCGGGCAGATCTCGAGATCGATTTGTTCTTCTTTGACTTTCCCTCGCCTTTGCCGCCAGTACTTCCGGCTCCCTTGCCTTTGCCTTTTCCTGAAGAGAAACATGATTATTATCTGAAAATTTCCTAACAAATCCGACCGAATCGTGAACGCTCCTTTCGAATGAAAATTCTTGTTCAGGGATATTTAATCAAGAAAAATCATTAGAAAAACATTGAGAGTAAATTTTCTACAAGACAATATTGAAAAAGAAATGAGCTAGAATTACTAGAAATTTAATAAAAAAATTTCAATTGCAATTTTTTCCATTTTGATTTTCAAATTTCTTTATTCATATAAGATTTTCCAAATACCTTTAACTTTAGAAAATTAAGAAACGGGCATGATTCTGTACAGTAAGATACTGTAGTTGTGAACAATGATTGGTCACGTATCGAAAATTGTGCCGGGAAAATTCAAATATCCCGCCCCGGGGGTTAAAAATCAATAATCGCGGAAAAAATAATGATTTTTCTCAATAAACTTGGGTTATTTCGCATTATTTGGCGAGAATTTTTCATAGAGAAATTGATAAGTAAAATTAAAATTATGAAAATAAACTGTTACCTTTGCCAGACATGTGTTTGATTTCTCTCAGTTGCGCGCCAAAGTTGTGCTCGGCGAGTTAAAAATTGAGCGATTGAATCGAGGGCAGTGCGCCAGCCACGGCGAGCGAGGAGCGCGGCGAGGTCATTGGCCAAGTGGCGCCCACGCACGAGCCACGCCGCCGCCCCAATTGGTCACGTACGCGCCCGCCGAGCAACTGAAATATTTTTTTCAGCGTGGCGCGCTGCCCAAAAAAGGGGCCACTCGCTCGACGGGTGAATCCTTGGCCAAATCAATAGGGAGTCCACGCCTGGGCGACTCTTAGGGTCGTCAAAAATATCTTTATTTTAAAAAAGCTTTTTGGCTAACAGCCAATTATTTTTCTCGTTCTCTGATAGTGGATAATAGGCATATTTTCCCGAGTTTATTATATTTTTAAATATCTTATTTTTATAGCACATGAAAATAAAATATTTAAAAATAATATAGACTAGGAAAAGCATGCCTATTATCCACAATCTGAGAAAAAAAGAACATAACTGGCTGTTAGTCAAAAAGCGCTTTAAAATTAAAAAATTATTAATTAAATAAATTCTTTGTGAAAATTTCAAATATTTTTTTTACTTAATGAATTTACAACATCGAGGAATTCGACCAGTGCTTTGACCATTTAGGTAGCATTTACTGAGTTGAATTTCATCTCTGAGTTTTTTTCGTTGAATGAAATATTTTATTTATCTAGTAATAAACATGTTTTGTGAGAATAAAAAAAACTGCGGCAGTGTGTGCAAAAATATCTTGATATTCAATTTTATCTAATTTTTGATGCCTATTTTTGGTGCCATTTTTCTTCGGTAAGTGTTGTGCAGTGACAGATGAACAAAAAATTTATCTGGAAGATCTTTTTTTCATGAAGATTCGCGTGGAACTTGCGACTGTGGGAAGTCCACTTTTTCTGAGACGACTGGTTGGCCAGCTGCTGGGTTGTACGTTTCGTTCTTGAAGTCTACTATCACACAGGTCATGTTATCGCACCCTGTTCCATCACTTTTTTCCGAGGATTTCAGATGAGTTTTTCAGGTCTTATTTTTGGCTCTTTTTTGTAAGAGAAGCCATTGATCGTTAATTATTCTTTTTGAAATCCTTGGCCATCAGTATCGGGCGCTAGAATCAAGTCAAACAGCTCTTGAATAATTTCCGACATTTTGACATCCTTTTGGATTCGATCTCTGACGAATTCGACCCCTTCTTGAGAAGTCATCGAGTTCCAAATGCCGTCGCAGGCGATGATCATGAACTCGTCCTCATCGGTCCAGTCATGCACCGTAAAATCTACCAATCAAGCGGTTCAAAGGTAAATTCTAGCGCTTCTTTTTTACCTGGTTTGGCAGTGACCATTTGTTGAAAAAGGGGCAGTTTTCGATTTTGCTTGTATTGGTGATCGCCAAAAGCTCGGGAAAGATTTAACCCGCCTTTGACTCGTCCATCAGCTAAATCAATGAAATCAACGAGGAGTACAACGAATCAAGAACTTACGGGTAAGAAAACCACCAGCAGCTTTTATTCGCGAGAGCTCCTCTTCATCCTCTGGTTTGTGGTCGAAAGAAAGCTCAATAGCTTTCCCGCCGCGAGAAAGAACTCCTCGGGAATCACCGATATTTGCTGTGATGATCTTCTTCGTCTTGTGCTAAAGAAAGAGGGATTCAATAGGGAAATGAAAGGGGTAGAAAAATACATTGACGAGTGTGACCACAGCGGTGCAGCCAGAGTCCTGTCCACAAATTTCTTGGTTCGCCGCGTTTTGATCTATTTCCGGAATGTCCTGGTAGTCTGAGTTTTCAGAGTCGGTCGAGCTTGCGTCGGAATGATCTTCAAAGACGACGCCGCCTTCTCCATCTTCGTTGTTTGCCTCGCTACAAGTTTCATTAAAAACTTCAATATTTCAAAATTGGAAACTTACGCAAGGCGTTTTTGTCGCTCTTCAGCGGATAATTCCGTTCTGGATTTTCTTGCCGGAGGGACGTAGTCAAACTCAACGCTGCTAGAAGATTCCTCCGCTCGTCGTTTTTGTGCTCGTCCGTCGCCGTCCTCAGAGACTTCCTTGACTTCCCCTGCCTCTTTTTCCTCTTCCTTGACATCGAGATTTTCGATTTTCGGATCGCTTTCACTCTTTGCCACAGGGTTTCCACCCGTTTCTCCGTTTTGATCTTCGGCCTCTTCGTCTTCTTCCTCTGATCCATCAGATTCATTCTCGCATGCTTCTTCCCACATCGCCAGGGCAAGTGCTATGGCATCTTTTTTCATACCCTCCGACTGAAGAAAATTATCATTATTTCCTCTATTCTTTCTTTTTACCGATCCCTCTCCAGACGCATCCTCCGGCAATTCAAAGCCAACTGGGGTTCCTGGCCCTCCATACTTCGCAATAAGCTCTTCTCGCGACAATTCCATGTCCAAATTCAGCTCATTAACCTCGTCTTGCATCTCCTCCTCGTCTCGTAGCATTGGGCAATCTTTCTTCGCGATCTCATGGAGCTTTTTGACCACTTCTTTGTCCGTTATTCGCTTGTCTATTTGTCAGAAAAATGCTTTATGAAAAACATCGTCTCTAAAAACCCACCGTGCGCATGGAAGATAATGCTCAATGCCTCCTTTATTTCTTCCACATCATCCGTGTTGATGTCTTTAAACTTCTCGACAATCGACTTTGGGAGATGCTCTCCAGTCCACTCTGCTACTTCATGACCACCGTGGCCATCGTAAACCGCAAACAATGAAATATCCTTCATCAGCTCTAACTAGAACAAATTTTACAAACAGAACTACTCGATCAGTAAGATTTGATCGGGTTTAATACCCGGTGTAAATAGAAAGTCGCGAAGATAAGATTCCCGAGCCCAGAATAGGTTCCCTAATAGGGACTTACAATAGCATTATGCGCATCTTCTTGAGTGATTCTCCATCCTTGCATCGCACCCGCTGAGACTCGGAGGCCACATCCTTCTAGGTCTTCGAGGTCTGTTTCTGTCTTGGGCTTTGGTAGATAACAGCCCATTTCACGATTTCTAAAAAAAATAGTTTATTAAATAGAAAACTATATATCGAAGGGAGAAGATCAGTAAAGTAAGTTTAAAATGGAGCAGCTAGGGTAGATTGTTGATTCTAGCGCTTTTTCACGGGAGATTGAGCGGCATGAAGCTGGCTACGGAGGGATTTGTTGGCTCCTTCGGCGATGGCGACTTTTCTTTTCCACTCGTAGAGTTCTTTTTCAAGCTAGAAAGATAATAAAGAATGAAGGGAGAAAGAAACGCGGGTGTCTTACCGCATCAGTCTCTTGCGACTGCTTGATATAGTCGTAGACTTCCGGCACGGTGTAGGACTTCATCTCAGTCCGGATGCCTCGAAGTCCTTCTCGTTGCTTTTCGATGTCTTTCTTGACGAGTTGAGATTCCTTTTCAACCTTTTCTCGGTCGGAAACGATGCTCAAAACTCGCTGCTGCAGCTTCACTGCAAAAGAAGATCAATTTCTAGCGATTAAGGTCAGTTAATTTACCTTGAAGCTTGAGAGCCGCTGCCAGATCAGTTTTTCTTTTGAGAAGCGAGTCGTTCAGTCGACCAGCTTTCATTTTCGCCTTAGTAAAAGTGTCAAACTTTCTTTTTCAGAAAGATTTTTTTACCTGAATCATTTCTTTATTTTTCTCGTCAAGGGAGATCTGGTACTCGGTATTTTCAATTTCGAGCTGATCAAAGTCGATCTTCGTCATTGTCTCGCCAGATTCCTCCTTTGATTTGAGACTGTGGTTCGCTCGTCGCAAGTTTTCCTGAAAAAAATGATTACTGATTTGATTCTTTGGATTTCGAACTTTGTTTGATTGAAGTTTAAGTTTGAGCTTTCCGATTTGAAGATCTTGTTTTTCAAGACGATCCTGCTCGAAGCGGATGAACTTGTCCCCATTTCGCTTACCTTTGTCATCTTTTCTTGGCTTTTCAAATATAAACTGGCTACCTACTGCCGGAGAAACAATACTGGACTCGTATTCTAGAGATTTTCAATTTTGAAAAGCCAAAAATCCTTTTACACTGGTCACGGCTCGGTCAAATTCGAACTCGTGCTTGTGAATGTCGAGGAGTCTTTCTTCCAGCTGTTTCATTTCGCATTCGATTTGCTCTTTCGCCAAGATATGCGCCTTCTCCACTTTTTGCATTTCCCCGAGGAGGTCGTTTTGCAATCTTATCGTGATCTCAATTTTTTGGGCAAAATTAAGCTTTTCTTTCTTCGGTTCACCACGTTTTTTCTTTCTCGAGCTGGTTCTTTCGACGATTTCTGATGTTGGGAGTATTCCATCCAGGTTAATCTTTTCCGCAAATGTTTCCAAGAAGAGTAGCTCTTTCGAGAGGAAGGCGAGGTCGTCTTTCATCAGCTGCACTTGCTCTAGAATCTCATCTGTCGTGAGGGCGTCCACGTCAACTTCGGTAAAAACAGTCGACGCGTTGGTTTCCAAATCATAGCTGGTTCGGAAGGATTGGCCGGAAATGCTACCGCTGGGCATTTGACTGAAAGAGGAAAATTCTAGCGCGTTTTTGATAGGATGTTATAATTACTACACACAGGTAGATAGAAAAAAAGGAATAGTTGTCATATTGCATCGATATAATTTTGAACAAAAAAACGAAGTTCTCATTTTAACTGGACTCGGAAATCTGTGTAAGAACCTGAGTCAGGGCCTTGAAAGAGCTCCTGAGAACGCCGCGTAGCTGACTCAGGTTTTTAACACAGGTTTGCGAGCCTAGGAGATAGTTAATTACTAAAAGCTTGCTGGATTTCAGTACATAAGGAACCCATTTTTTCCCTGATAAAAATGGAAAATGGCACAGTATCTATTCATTCCTGTATAGTCCCGTACTGTATCTGGTTTGAAACGAAAGAAAAATGATTGAACAGATCAGAACATGAAGAATTTTTTTGGTTTTTTAGAACGAAAAAGTAGTAATATGAATGCGTGGTAGAATAGTGGTATGAATAAGGTTTGAAAAAAATGACGAGGTTGTTGGAGGAACGGAAGGATTTTTTCTTCTTGAAGTTGAGAAAGTGGGGATTCTTTTCAGAGAATATCAGCTTCTGGAAAGGTTTAGCATAACTTGAATTAAAGAAAGGAGGGCCTTACCGTCCGTGGACTGGAGACGCTTTTTGATAGCCAGGAGAATCGCGGTGAGCCAAGTGTCAATTCTCGATACAGAATCGTACCTGTAAAGAAGAATTCGTTATGGAGCGTTTTTTCGCGACTTACTTTTTGACAGCGTCGGTATAATCATCAATGTTGTTCTTTTCCGCTGCTTCAAGAAGTTCCTTCAAGAGCGCTGCTTCTCTTGTATCGATGAAAGTTGGGAAAACACCCTCGTATCTGAAAGAAATGATTGCTGGGAAAACGAAAGATAGCGTACCTTTCGATGGCATTTCTAGCGTCGTCGGTGTTTAGGCAAAATCGGCAAAGGGCGGCTTTGAAGAAATATTCTTTTGCGGAGTATTTTAGCAGGGGCGTTTCACATGCACTCATAGCGACCTGGGAGGGGAGTTTTAAGGGGGTGCTCGATGATAAAGAAGTTTTACCTTTTCGAAGATATGCGTGGCTTCTTCGTACTGTTTGTTCGATGCGTACATGGAAGCAGCTTTTAGGTCGCATTTATTCGCCTAAATTTGAATGAATAGAGGTCTAAAATGAGGCATCAAGGGTTGAAAAATGGCTGTTGATTTTGAGGTAAAGGTTCCAACGGTACCTGACTTTGTTGCTCCTCTCCTCTGAAAATCTGCGCCGCTTTCGTGTAATGTTCAATCGCCGTTTCCGCCATTTCTGCTTCTGCTTCCCAAATTTCCCCGAGCGTTACATGCTGCTTCGCCACCAAATTAACCCGCCCAAGATCAATGTACACTTCGATGGCACGGGAGAGGCAATGAGAAGCGCGCTTGGGCTCTGCTTTTCGCCAACAGTTGCCAGCTTCGACGAGATTTTGCGCGGCTTCGTGGCGGTTTTGCAGCTTTTCGAGCTGGATTGTTGCTGCTTTCTCGTACATTTCCCCAGCGTCACTCCAGCTTTGCGCGATTTTGAAACGAGAACCGGCTGAAAAATGGCGTTAGTTTATCAATCGAGAAGCCGCTTGCGGCTTCGAGTAAAACAGCAAAAAGAGCCGCGACGAGCGCGGCTTCAATTGCATTTTAAAATCACCGCAAGTTTATCTTTTATTTTGGCTCAGCAACCTGTGTAGAAAACCTGAGTCAGGATCCAGAAAACGCATTTTAAGGGTGTCCCCAATGATCGGATTCGACTAATCTTAGTCTGATGACCAAATTTTTTTGAGTTAATTAAAGGAAGCTGATTCTAGAGCTTTTTTCAGATCTGAAATATCTCATCTGATTCTCGAGATATTACTGTTTCTTTGACAGCGCTAATGCATTACGGCTCGATAGAAATGCACTGTAAAAAGTGTCATTTTCAAACTTTCGATTTTATATATCGACCTGTATATTTTCTGAGAGCTTGAAAAATTCTCTATTCAATGATACCTATATCAATACGATAGCACAAATTTTTCACTTTCAAACAGTGCGCCAAAAGTCGCAAACACCTGCACTTTGGCGCCGGAAAAGGGATTAAGGGTCTTATCAACGCAAAATCTGAGCGTACCGGGAGATTGAAAAAAGATCAAACTATTATCCCTGTAAAAATGAGAAAAATTGAATTTCAGGAACAGCGCTAGAATCGAGCTCAAACTTCAGCAAAATCGTTACTTCAAAGAATGCATCGTATCTGATGCATACAGATAAATTTTAAAAATCCGTCAAATTTATGGCATAGAGGAGCGTTCAAGGAATCAGGATCTGGTCGAAATTTAAAAATTGAATTTGTAGAACTCGAGAAAAACGATCTCAAAGATTGGTCAGAATAGAAAAATCAGAACTCTTTGAAGAAGCGGTAGGGGATTAAAAGATTACAATTTCAAAATTCTGCCAAATTTATGGCATAGAAAAGGGTCTAAATAATAATGAATATATTTCTTTTAGCCGAAAAGCCTTCAGGAAGTCCTCTAAAAAATAGCTCAAAGTATAGCCTGTTTTAAAAAAATCGTTGGGGACACCCTTAAGGGATCCCCCCCTGTTTTTTCAAGTATTTGATAAGGGTCTATATTTGGTATTTTCAGATTCCTCGTGTTCTGAGGATCATTTTGATGTATCATTTGACCCCTTTACGAACATCTTTCCTCAAAATATAAGCCTTCAAAGATTTCAAAAATGCATGTAAATTGTACTTAGCGTAAAAATCAGATGTTTTTTCGGTTTTTCAATGTCATCGAAATAAGACATATAAGGGGTCAATCGACAGCTTAGAACGCACTGGAAAAGAATATTATAACCGCACTAGAAATATCAGCCTTATATTGGCGCAAGAGAGCAAAAAAACACTAAAAATCGCCATAAATGGGTACATTTGGTTGTTCTTAAAGAAATTTTTTTATTACTTGACCAAATAAATTCTCTGTACTAGAAATCAAAGATTAGGCTTCATCCTATCTGTATCTGTTTTTAGATCGTGTTTATCTAAGCCCAAGTCGGCTGAATTTCGAGTCAAAAATAGCCTAAAATGGCCCTTTTTCGAAATTTTCGAACTTTGACGCCTCCTAGTGGAAGGTTTGCCTTGAGCAAAAAACTTATCTGTACTAGAGAATAGCGGATAGCAGATGAATTACCATAAGAATTTTTTGGCCGAAAATTTTTTTTGCGAGTTATCACTTTATTCTGAAAGCCCATATCAGAATAAGTGGATTCCCAAAATTCTAGCGCCCGATGACGTCATTATGACGTCAGAAAAGATGATTTTATCATCAAGATAGGCAAAACTTTTTAACCGTTTTTGAGAGGGTTCTTGTTTGAAATTCGTGTTTTTCTTTTCAGAATATTGTTCAGCATGAAAAACTGAATAATCACCCGACATTAAACCGTCCGATATCGTAGTTAACCGACCGGTAATTTCGCCGGTTAAAAATAAAACCGGTCGGTTCGATGAAATATTGCTGGGTGATTGTTCAGTATTTCGTGCTGAACAAGATTCTAAAAAGAAAAAAATGAATTTCAAACAAAATCCATGTCAAAAACGGTTAAAAAGTTTCATCATTTGGGGCCTTTTTTTAACCTTAAATCATCATTAATGACGTCATAATGACGTCATTAGGCGCTAGAAATTTGGGAATCCACTAATTCTGATGCGGGCTTTCAGAATATAGTGATAACTCGAAAAGAAATTTTCTGCCCAAAAAATTCTTATGGTAATTCATCAGCACCTGGGCTATCCGTAGAGCTATTATACGCCCCAATTCATCTGCCCAAATCGGCTGAATTTCCAGTTGAAAATGGCCAAAACGGGGGCCCTCACTTAGGTTTTCTACAGAAGTTGCTGAACTCATACTGAAAAATAAAATTCCGGTTTTCTTTTTTGCAATTTTGTAAAAAATTCACCTTGAGTATAAAGTTCGCATGCTTCTTCCAATTTGTTTCCGCCCCCAAAGATCTTCGAAAGAAATCCGCCAGAGGAAGATGCTAATTTGTCTGCTTCTTCTTTTAATTTCTGTGGATCGCTCATTTCTGCACTTTTTCTGAATAAAAAGTGATGAAGAGGGAGAAAAAGGAGGTGTTGAAAAATTTAGAAACAGGCGAATAGGGAGTTGACTACTCGTAGTTAATCAGAAAATATTGATTTTCGATTTATGATGGCTCGTATACAAGAAAGAAGGGATTGAAAAGACAAGTTCAAGGGACGCTTCAAGCTAATAGCGGAGATATTTTATAAATATCGATTATAAATTATAATTTTTCTATTTGTCAATTCTTTATTTTTTCTTCTCTCGGTATTTGTTTAATATTTTTCCTGTACTTAAAATTCTCATGAAAGAAGAAATTCTAGTGCTACTGAATTCTAATTTTAGAATTTTTCATTAAATTTTGCGAAAGTGATTTCTCTTTTGCGTGCGCTGCGCTCCTCCGACTGCGTGGGAAAGAAGCGTGAGTCCTCCGAAATGATGGAAGAAAGAAGAATACTGGAAAATATGAAGGATAAAAAAGAGTGATTTAGTCTTTCTGAACTTCAGCGCTTCTGAGTTCTTTACTGGCACTGACACTTTCCGATTCACAATGAACCGGGTTTATCGGAGATATAAATCAAGATTTTAATGAGCAATGCTTATGTTCATAAGTTGATAATTAGCGAATCAGTTAGCTAATTAGGGCTAAATTTCGTTCAAAAAAGACCTTTAATCGTTGTATAAGCAGAAAAATGATATGCAAATGACGCAGAAAATGATCGGTAAAGACGCTACGCGTGCATTAATTTCTCGAAAAAAATTATCGAAGGCCGGAAAGAACAATGTTCATGATGGGCCATGTAACATGGCTTCAATTCAAAGCGTGAAATTCAAGCAGCGCCATCATTAAATTTTACATCTTCGCGATCTATAAATAGCCCACTGTCTGAAAACGTGGAAAATTATTGTTAAGAAAAAACTTGACAAAAAAAGCATGAAAATAATTTGTGTTTTCGGAGCAGGCCTCTCGTTTGCCTCCTCAATCAAAAACCTCCTCGCCGACCACAATGCAACCTGCGATTTTGCCTTCGACACAAGCATTCACCAACAACCGTCCAACTTTGAAAACGCTCGTTTTTATTCTTTCGCGCTGGTTCAAAATTCGAATATTGTGGTGAACTTCATGAACGAAGAAATGCGATCGACAGTTTGCGCTGGCGCCTTTGACCAGATGAATGAGGAGCTTTCTTCGCGATCAGGAGAGGTAACAAGGGCGGAGATTCCAGACTGGTTCGAGTCGAAAGATTTGGGCAATGGGCAGCATCAGATTCGATATTGCTGCGAGCCAAGGTATTGAATCAAAACTCAAGAGGGACCAGTAAGAAAAGCCATCTTTTAGCGCTCTGAAAGACCCAATTGATGAGTTGGATAGACTGACTTCTTCTTGGGCTGAATCCCTCTGGGCTGATGATGAGTTTATCGTCGACAACGTCAATTACATCAAAAAACGACTCCTTCGTGATTACAACAAGAAAATCAAAAAAGGCTTTGCTCTTACTGAAGCACTTGAATTGTAAGTCTTTTCGAAAAGCACAGACTTTTAACCATTTCTAGCCCAATCATGGAAGCTTCAAACAACTGCGAAAAAGCCCTGGTATTCACGAATGTCTTGAAAAATTGGTCCAGCGTGCACAACTTTAACTACCACAGAAAACTCGACAAGAAGCATCAAAAACTGGTTGTCGAAATTGACAATCTTTTTGACGAACTTGAATTTGCCTACTGCATGTAAATAAAAAGACGCTACTATATTGCTGATTATTCTTTGTGTTTATTGACGGAGAAATCAGGGCTGGGCTTGGTCACCTGTGTAAAAAGCCTGAGTCAGGGTCTGAAAGATCTTTCATGAAAAGCCGGAGACCCTGACTCAGGTTTTCTACACAGGTTGCCGACCCCAAAACCAGGAATCAACTAGAAGAGAGTTTTCATGACAATTTTGTCCGGTCTATGCTCTAAGAATCGATTAGTCTCAGAATTGACAAGATTACTTACTGATATGGATATCTGCCAAATGAGACAAGGCTTCGAAAAAATCTTCCTGGTTCTTTAAAATTTCCTATCTGTTTCTGAAATTGCTTCTTTCTTACCTTGATTGGGTGGGGTTCAAAAGCTCGAAACTTTCCAAAAGCACTGGCAAAAATGCTCAGAAAAATGCTGATCTTCATCCTTTCTGTCTCAATTTTAGACTGCTCTGGATCGAAAAAGATGATACCGCTCGTATGCCAAGAAGAATGTCAGTAAAATGCCATAAATAACGGATTTATCTGTGGATTTCTCTGTCTAATGCCCCGGATTGTCAAATATTTTATGTATAAAATGTGCGTTTATTGAGTGAGAAGAAATGAATTGAGAATAAAAGGTTTTCGTCCTAGAAAAGTGTCGGGATGACAATTCTTCGCGGCTTCTTTTCTATTGAATGTTTTATGCTTTTATACTCGATCGCGATTCTCCTATCTGCCCGACTGATTTTCGCTGGAATTCCGGTTCTTTTCGAAAAAACTACGGAAATTCGAGAAGCCGCCTGCGGCTTCAAGTAAAATATTTAAGCCGCGCTTCGCGCGGCTTTTCCGTTATATTTTACTGAGAGCCGCAGGCAGCTTTTCGACTTTCTGAACTTCAGACTGAAATGAATTTCAATTCTGAAGTCATTTCGGGAAGAATTTCAATTCCAGCGAAATTCGGTCGGGCAGCTTTGAGAATCGCGGTAATTAGACTTACCCATTCGCATATCCGCCAGTTTAGACAACGCTTGGAAAAAATCTTCCTCGCTCTAAATTGTATATGAATTCAGATCATATTTTACCATTGAATTTTCTCTCAAGTTTACCTCGATAGATCGCGGCTCAAAGCCCGAAAACTGGCCAAGAGAGTTTGCAGAGCTCAAAGCAAAAAGAAAGAAGCTCAAATTCATGTTTTTTCACTTTCAGGTTTTCGACTGCACTGGATGGAGAAAAAACTTGTTATATAGGTCGACAGTAATGCCAGTGGAATGACATTCCCATGCGGTTTACCTGTTTAAATCATTAGAGCATCATTTAAAATTCTTTCCCGCATATTACTTCGGTAAAAAACAGCATGAAAACAGGCTGGTCGCTAATTATTAATTCATAATTATTAAAGTAAAAATGGCTGTGAAATGATTTTGAACGTTCCATTTATTTATTATTAATAAGAATAAAACATTTGAAAATATTTTATATGTTACATATAATATGTACAGTGATTGAGCTTGAAAATAGTAAGTTTGAGCAAGTTGAAATTTGGCATCATTCATTTCGAAGATTTATCTGTTGATTATTGATCATCTCCGAAACCCGCTCGATGTTTTGCAAGCATCATTGCGTCCTGAAGAGGGTTAGGAAGGTTTGAGGGAATCTCTTACGTTTTGAAAGTCTTGAGGATACTGTAGGTCGGTGTTGTCGTGGCTTTCGAAGCCTCCTCGAACCCCGAGAGTTTGGTCGCGAGGTAGTGTGCTGAAATCCCGCCCGTACGGGTCCATGTCCATTCCATAAGGATCTCCTCTCATATCTACAACGAAAGATCAAAAAAGAAGGACTTAGAATGGGGAGGGGTATGGAACCGACAAAAAATTTCGACAAATTTTGCATGGAAATTTTCAACCAATCAGATGCTCGGATTCGACTCATCGGCCAATCAGAGGCCAAGTAGCCACCCGTGCAAAATTTGTCGAAATTTTTTGGCGGTTCCTGTCGCAACTCCCTTTGAAATCATAGAAGATAATCATAAAACTCACCATCCTGCTGAAATCCCCGTTGAAGACCGTCATTTCGATGGCTGAGCGTGGCAAGAGGCTGCGGATTATCCATAATCTGTGGGTGCGACCCTTCGTACGGCTCGTTGTATTGCATTTGACCGCGGTATCCAATGCGCTCACCGTAATCCAGTTCGCGCGAATTCATCTGAGAGCGGTGAGCAAGTGTGTTGAAATCACCCTCCTTGGAAAAAATATTTTCAAGGAGATTTCAATTCAAACGAAAAGATGACCATCTTTTCGATAATCCAATCAAATCAATTTCATATGTTTCTGTATGAAAAACCAACTCATACCATGTGTTGTTGTCCATGAAGATCAGAAAAGTCATTTCCGGAAATCGTATTCGGCTTCGTAGTTCGATCGATTGGAGGACCCTCTGCTTCCTTTTCTGCCTTCGTTTTTGAGTCAGAGTTTTTCTGGGCTAGAAAAGAGGTTGAAAAAGAAAATGGTGGAAAACCTGAGTCAGGCTCTGAAAGATCACCAAGGAAAAGCCGCGCAGCGGCTTTTTTAAAAACGAAGTCGCATAGCGGCTTTGCCAAATTGCTTTTTCAATCAACTTTCAAATTCTAGCGTAGCCGCTTCGCGGCTTCATTAAAAAAAACCGCTGAGCGATTTTTCCTTGGTGATATTTCAGAGCCTGTCTCAGGTTTTCAACAAATGTTGCGGAACAGAGATTTGAGGACAAACCTTCAGCTTCTCGCTCTGCTTCGGCAGACATATACTCGCTGTGAGCTTGATAAGCGAAGAATGCAGAGATGCCAAACGAGATTCCAGCAAGGGTACCGATTGCGCCAGCTGCTTGGAGAGCCCCGATGCCTCCGTTGTTTCCCCAGGCGGCGAGGGAAGTGATGACGGTGATGAGAAAGAGGAGGAAATAAGCGAGCATTCGGACGAAGGTGAATTTGAAGGCTGAGAGAATTTTTAGAATAAAGCGAGGGAAATTGAGCTGTTTTCCCGAGAAATCGTTGAATAAACTTACATCCAAGTTGATCCGGCGCGCCGCTGGTACTAAAATCATTCACCAAGAAAAACGCATTCGCTGCAGTTCCAGCGAGCCAGAGGAAGATCTGAAACTTAAACGGAGCTCCGGGTGATCCACCGGCGACGGCGGCAATCATCATTATCAGAAGCAGGGCAAAATGGGACAATCGGACAAGGCCGGCGATGCTTTTGAGGTCGTCGAGGTAGAGTTCATATTTCCAGAAATTGAAGGTCGGTCGCATCGGTTCGCCCGTTTCCGGGTCTTGTTTGTCTTGTTCTGGGTCGGAATGGTCGCCCACGATTGGTTCCCGGGAATTAATGCTGTCAAAGCGACCGAAATCAGTCGGAACAGCAGAAAGTTCTAGCGCCGTTTTGGCCTCCTGTTCGTACTGGGTTGATAGAGGTGGAAATAAAGCTCGAGCAAATGAAAAATAGAAGCAACCCGAATCTATTGCGCTGGACTGCCGAGGATTTGAGCATTTCAATATCGATAAGTTGCTGGTTCAAATCTGCAAGCTCGTTTTGGAGCGCGGTTACGTCGGCGGTCACGATGCCCTTTTAGAATTTGAGGTTAAACTTGGTCTTTAGATTTATTCGAGAGAAATTGAGACTTTCTAACAATTATGTCTTTTCTAAAATGGAACATCATTATTATGCAATAATCCTAGGACAAACCCCTTTTTACAAGAAAATATAAATGACTTTCAGTTCATATTTTGTGGTTGGTTATTAATTTTCTGGCAATTTAAAATTAAAAAAAAAAAAAAAAAAATTAAAAAAAAAAAAGTTTTACCCTGTTTTCTCTGGCAATTTCAACCGATTCTTCATTAAATTTCCTCTCCTCTTCCATTTCACTTCACAAGCTCTATCTCAAATTTCTCAAGAAAAATGCTGAAAAAAATCTAGCCCGGAAAGAATGTTCTCACATTCTTCATAATCGCATTCCAAAATCTCCTTTTTCCGGCACTTCCCAGTCAATTGAACCCTTATCAGCGCCATAAAAAGCGCGCTGGCGGTGTAGTAAACATGGCGCTATTTTTTAAACCCCTTTTTAGTACTATTCCTTGCGGATTTTTCGGACAAAAATGATGATCTTTCCGACCCGTTCCTTGAAGACGATCCATGGTTTGTCCAGTCATTTGGCCTTCTGCGGCCATTTATGGCCGTCTTCCTTTTCTCTGCTCTTTTTTCTTGAAAAATGAAAGATTTGAAAAAATTATGTTGATTGTGATGTCTTGAAGAGGTTGGTGGGTACTCAGCAGAAAGGATTCTAGCGCTCGAAGAATGATGGAACGCGCGGCGTAGTGCGCGCGGATTGGCGCAATCGCCGACCGGTCAGAAAAGGGACGCGCCACCGCCACCGGCAAATAGTTCTTTTGCAAGAGTGAGTTACGTGCACCTCCCGCCTGTACTCCAAAATTACGATTGGGTGTGGTCAGCTTTTGACAGTGGAAGTAACAGACTTTCTAAATCAGAAAAAGGGCCACTTTTGCTTTGTCTTTCCGGCATTAGGCGGTATTTTGTGGCTCAAGACGGCAATAAGCGGCAGCAGGCGGCAGTCTTTCGTGAGCTTTAATCGATTGTTAATTATAATTTAAATAATTTTTATAAATTAAAAAAATAATATATTTTGAATTAAATAAATAATAATTTATTATTTTAATCTATTTTCAAAGATATTTCTGACCCGGACTCAGGTTTTCTACACAGGTTGCCGAGCAAAGCTTAAAATAAAATATTCATTCGAAAAATTGCGCGGCTGTATCTTGAACTTGATGCTACTGAAAAGCTCATGGTAACAAAGCGCAGAGGCTTAGTTTTCCAGCAAGTGCGGTTGAGCTGGGCGGGGCGAATGAAAGAAATCTGTCTCAGTCGTCAGAAGTTTTGTTGGGAGAGCTCTCGAGTTTGTTCCGTTTTTTGGGCAGCGCAACAATCTCTTATTTTTATTTGAAGAGCTTACTATCGCTTCATTACGGGAGCCAGAGCGGAGGAAATTAGAGCAGAGATAAAGAGAGGAGATGGCTGCTAATGCAGGTAAAACGAGTTCTTTTGCATGTTTGAGGACGTTTTTCCAAGCGCTTGGGATTCTGAGACGGACAGAGAATGTGGCAAAAGTGTGGAAAGAGCTTGATGTGGATGCGAACAGATTTGTCAATATCAAAGAATACAGGGATAGAACTGAAGGTGTTTAAAATCTTGGGCCTAGATTCTCGGCTCGCCAACCTGTGTAGAAAACCTGAGTCAGTATCAAACGACCTCAAATAAAAGCCGCGTCGCAGATTTTTTGAATGAAGCTGCGATGAGGCTTTTCCAGGAGTTCAAATTTGACGTAAATAGTGATGTTGCAAAGCGGCTTCCTTTTTGAAAAAGCCGCTACGCGACTTTTCATTTAAGCTTTTCGGAACCTGAGTCAAGTCTCCTACACAGGATGCCGAGCTCAAAAACGAAATCGATTTTTCATGATTTTTTAGCTTTTCAATCAGCATCAGCACTTCATCTTCCACATTTGCACCTGAAATCAACAAGGAAAATTTTCAAAGAAAAAAATCTTCAAAGTGAACTTGAGCTTATCTTCTTGAAACTTTCGAAAGTGAGGAGCGCCAAAGAAATAAATCGAGAAGAGCCCTTCAGTCTTCTTACAGTTTAAGGTCAGCTTTGAAGCTTTTTGCACTTGAGTTTGAATTTTTTTCAGAGCAAAGAGTGGCTTCAAATATTGGCAAGGAACTAACAATAAGGATTATTGTCCGAAAGATCCTGTCAAGTCCAGATTCAGGTAACTTTTCCAGAGCTTTTGTGATGAAGAAAAATTTTAGTTTCGGAGAGCGCTTTAATTCTGGAAGATTTGGTTGCACAAATGATCGATATTACACAAACGGAGCGCAGAATTTGCATTACTGGTCCTCTGTTGAAAGTAAAATGACTCCGATCGGGTCGGGAGCGAGTCTGGCTGAAATTCGACGAAAATATTGAAAAATGCCAAATATACTTACTATAAATAATTGTTTATTAAAGATAGAATATAGATAATCAGGAACATGCTAAGGCAAAAATAATAACAGAAAATCGCTTATCATTATCTAAACAAGTAAAGGACAGGTTGTCTTCCTCAAGATACGGTTGAAGAGATCTTTAGCTTGGTCGAGTTAATTGTCAACGTTTTTCGTGATTCCTCTGTTTCTGATTCTGTCAAGGCAGACGAAATCATCGTAGAAGCCAAGGAGAGCATTGTAGAAAGTTTCAGCGGCAAGGCAAGGATCGTTTATTGAAATCGTTGGTTCAACAAAGTCTGGCGCGATTCCTTTTATAATGGTCTTTGATTTTTGCTCAGAAAAAGTAATGTTTGTCTGTAAGTGACCTTTTCCTGGACCAGCACCGGCGGGATTGACGCAGGGAGTTTCTACGTAATCGTTGAACCAGCCAAAACGAGCCTTGATTTTATAGAAATTTTTCAGTTTGTTGTTTGGGTGATCGGCCACGGCATCAGATAAAACCAATTCAAGAGCGTCTTGTGTCGAGATTTTACTGTACAAGTTATCAAAGATGATAATTATTATTGAAATAAATCAGATGCTCTGATTAAAATCCCCAGTCATAAAGACTTCCTAGTTGAGGAATCGTCCCAGTAGAGTTTGAACTTACGGTAGTTGTGCTCGCTGTTGTCGTTGTTGATGAACTTGTAGTAGTTGAAGACGTAGAAGTTGTCGTTCTTGTCGTCGTAGTTGTAATTGTCGAGGTGGTTGTTGATGTTGTTGTGGTCGTAGAAGTAGTGGTAGTTGCTGTGGTCGTGGTAGTTGTAGTTGTAGTTGTCGAGGTGGTGGTAGTGCTCGTTGTTGTTGAAGCAAGTGTTGATGTTGGATCCAATGGATCAATCACTGGCTCGACTTCTTCAACTTCAACAGTTGTGTTTGTTGTAACAGCTACAGTAGCGTTTCCGGCATCGATGGACGATTGGAACTCAGTGGTTGCGTTGGCAGCGACATCTTGAATGACGCTGTCAACTTCAACCTCAGGGATGGCAAATCGGCGCTTTCTGGAGAAATTAAAATTTTCGAATCGTATATGAAGTTCGCCAACGAATGCGATCCAAATCCGATTTGGCCCAGCTGGCTGAAGCCAAGGTACGTTTGTAGCCAATTCGAATTCGAACTCGTAAGAATAGGCAAAACCAATAGATGTGTAAGTAACCCATCCAGGTGGATTATAGCTATTCAGCATAGCGAGAAAATCCTCGGGAGTTTGGGAGGTCGAGAAAAGGCAATAAAACTCGAGATTCACAGCGTAGTCTATCCACTCATAGCCGGATTCGCAAGATTTCCCAGAAACCGCATAGTCATTTCCGTCTCCTGAGAAAGTAATTTCGTCACCACGAAGCTCGCAAATATTGTTGTCAAAATCGTGATGGAGCTTTTATTGGACTCATTCATGGTGCTTCCGGCTTATAATTTTTAAGATCAGAAAGTAACGATGTATTTTCGAGAGTCCTTTCCTTGTAACAGCCGGCGAAACTTGCACACTCTCGCTGACAATCTTGAGTGTCTCCGGCAAAGTTTGCGATTTCATACTCGAAATTTGAATAAGGAGATGGCTTGTCCATTCCAGGTGCAATTTCCCAGACGAAAATGTCACCGAACGCCGTGTTTTGAAGACAAGTGGGTGGTGGTCGTGTTGAAGCAACGGTTGAAAATGCTGTCGATGATTTTGAAGTTTCCGTCAAGGTACTAAATGTAGAAGATGATGTCTCTTCTGAAGTAGAGGTGAAATCCTCAAGTGAGTCAGTTGTATAGTCTCCCGAGGCAAAATAGGAATAGTCAGTGGTAAAATCGCCCGGAGAACTTTCAGTAGTTGATGTCATTGTTGTTCTTGTTGTTGATCCTGCTGTTCAAGGACATTTCAAGAAGAAGAGACATTTCAAGAAAGCAGACATTTCAAGAAAGCAGACATTTCAAGAAATGATTGAAATGTATATTTTTCTTGAAATGTCCATCGCCTTGAAATTTCTTTTATTCGTGGAATGTCCGATATCATTGAAATGTCTGCTCTCCTTGAAATGTCTACTTTCTTGAAATGTTCTTTTTTCTTGAAATGTTCTTTTTTCTTGAAATGTTCCGTTTTCTTGAAATGTACGTTTTTTTTCAAAAATTATCCTATTGCACAAAGAAAAAATACGAATATCTGCCCCCAAACTCTGGGCAAAAATTTTTCATTGAAGAAAAATTTTTTTAATCTTTATTGATACAATAAAAACTGTTTTAAAGGTTGATTGCACGATTTGGTATACCTAAACTGATGCAGAAATAATGCGAAAATCGATGTTGACACCTTTAAATAAAGATAAATAAAGAAATATAAATAGTAAACGGTCATATGCGAAGCTAATTTTTGACGTTCGAGAAAAAATATTTCTTGATTTTATTCTATTATAGCAACGAATTCGTGTTTGATACGAAAAGGATTGATATTTCTAGAAATATTTTTGAAATTTTTTCTGAAATACTAAAAAAATCGAATAGGAGCTTCATTGGCCCAAGAGCTTCATCTCCCCAAGAGCTTCATCTGCCCAGGCTGGGGAAACGAAGCTTTTAGAGAAATGAAGCTCTGGGAGAATAAAGCTCTTGGGGAGATGAAGCCTACCCAGGATAGACGGAGGGATTCCTTCTTATGATGATATTTTCCAGCAATTATGTTTTATCTGTAAGCTCATGCATTTACGGTCGAAGCAAATATCACTTGAACAAGCTCGAGAGACTAAAGTCGAGTTGTTTAATAATTATTCAATTGAATTTGACTTGATGAAGCAATAAGACTTCTTTTCAATTGAAAAAAATGATATTTCTTCAATTCCTCCATTTTTATGGCTTATGTATAGCAAAACAACTCAATGATCGACCTCGAGCAAAAAGCCTTCAAAAATTGCTAGATAAAGAGACAAGACTTTTTGAAGAAAATTTAGCAAGTATTTCGACGGAAACTTGTGTGTGAGTCTACTAATGCAGAATTTCAATTTCATATAAATAGAAATCTTTCATTGCAAATCTTCATGAAAGGGGTGTAGGGCGCCCAGATTCACAATTGTGAACCTTGTTCACAATTTTGTGAACCCGGTTCAACTCATTTTTGACGTTATAAGCTTTCTCTGCAATTGCGCCTTCAGTCTATTTGAGTCACTTTTTCGACGTAATATGAACCTTGTTCACAAAATTTTGAACCGACCGATTATGAACCTGGGCGCCCGCCACCCCACGAAAGAACCAATTATGGAAAATCAAAACATTCACATTCTCTGTTTAAGTGACGAAGATCTGTTCAATGAATGTTACAGTCTTTGCAGAATTGATTTTCTGCAGTGCCGCGAGAGCTGTGAAAATGCTCTTTGTGAAAATGAATGTGTAAATAAGTTCGGAGGTATCGCAGTGAAAAATTAAAAAAATATATGAATTATTCTTTCAACACCTTATCAAGAATGCTCTTCATATTGTCCTTGTGGAACAAATTGTCCGAACGGATGTCTAAACTGCGCAAGTCCAGTTTGTTCGGACGCATGCGATTCGGCAGCGACAGAAAACCATCATTTTATTGAATGTAGAGAAGAGTCATTAGAAAATCAGGTAGTTATATAATAAAAAGAACAAATGTCTATTTATCAGGCCATCTGCATTCGTGCCTGCCCTCCAGACCGCGATTGCTTTGAACAATGTAATGATCGACTGTTACAAGATTTGGATAGCTGCCCTTGCGTAGAGGTAAAGAGATAATTTCTATAATGTGCTTATTTTTTTAAGAATATAATTACGACAACAACATCTTCACCTACAACAACAAAAACGTCGACTTATGTGCCAACAACATCATCAACTATCATGCAGGTAAATTCTAAACACGAATCATCGCAGACTTATGAAAATAATATATATTTTTCTTTCATTTGTATATTAAATAAAAAATTTAAGCACATCCTTGTTATGACCGACAGTCTGAAAGAATCATTTACAATTTCAATTGATGGATTAACAAAGACGTTTCCATCAATAAATGCTACGCGAGATTCATATCTAAGCCAGTGTCCTTATGCTCTCTTCAAAGACGAGTTATTTGTATTTGGTGGGGGATGGGATTATCAAAGAGTAATAAAGATTTGATTTCCTTGAAAAAACTTCATTAGATATCAAAATTAGAAGGTTGCGAGTGGCAAGAACAATCCGCACGCTTGAAGGTCGGGGTTGACTTTCATAGTGCTGCTCTGACTATCGATAACGGAGACCGTGTTCTTGTTTGCTTTCATTGGTATAAGCCGTACAACTATTGTGAAATCTTTAATGGTACATCATCTGTCGGAACTTATGGAACTAAGTTTGATCATGCGATGGGCAAACTTGGATTCTATCATCAGCAGCCAACGACTGTTGGCAATCAATCAGGCGAGAGTCGGATAAAAGTGGAAACCTTAACTTCCTCGGGATGGTCAACTTTATCGGATTTTCCGTTGAAGTAATGTGATAAGTTATCATCAGCTTTTAAATAATTTCAAGCGGGATCTACAGTCACATTTTAATTGGGCTTCCAAGTGGTAATCTTTTGCTCGCTGGTGGAAATAGTATTGTTAATGAGAGTTGGACAAGTCAAACAGGAATTTGGCTTCTTCAAAACAACAACTGGACAAGAATCGGTGAACTTCAAATCGTAAGCTCATGAGTTACAGTCTTATTAAATTATAAATCAAGGCTGACTCATATGGATCTGCAATGATTATCGACAATTTAATTATTACTGTCGCCGGATATGGAAGAGGGAATCCTATTCAAAGAATTGACATTGCTAACGATCAAGTAGTGAATACTGGAATAATTGGAAACAGTACTTCGTATCGGAACCCTATTCTTTTTCGTACTTTTTCTGACTATTGCATTTAAACTTTGATGTATTACAAGAGATCTTTATGAATAAAACGAAAGAATAAATAATAGAATTTCATTTATGAAGAATAGCAATATTCGGATATACAGTTTGTACTAATACGGGGTCCCCTATATTCCAATTCTTTCGAAATTTGTCTGATAACTTATCAGTGATAAGTCATCTTTTTGATTTTCTGAAAAAAAACAAACTTTGTTTTTAATGAATATATTTTGCAGCAAGTGGTTTTTTGTCAATTTTTCCATTCACAAGCAGGTTCACGGACATAAATGACGGTTGAATAAACATAAAATAAACGGAAAATATACGTGTTCTAGAGAGTTTTTCGAAAATACGTAAAAATAAAAATAAGCTAAAAATAATGTTAGATACTGTGAAAATGATTTTCTTTTGAAAATCCGCTAGAATTAAGCGCTCCGCGCAATTTGTGGTAGAAAACTCATTGATCGGGGAGGTAACATTTTCATTTACACGTCTCCTATCGTCCGGACAAAATTCGGATATTCGTAGTTTCTAGAACATTTTTGTTATTTTTGGAGACATTCGGAGACAGGGCGCCCTGTTTTTTCGGCGAATTCATCGGTTTCTAAGAGGCCAGTTCTAGAATTTCTTGAAAGAAGACATCAAAAAAGAAAATAAACCGGAAAAGTTGTGATCCAATTTCGGTTGACTCATAAATCTCCAAAACATGACATTTTCGCCAATTTTGGGCCGCGGCGAAATTCGCCCTGATTCTGCGCATACGCAGCATATGATATGCTCCCCTGTCATTTCTGCCACACCCGCGATGAAAAGAGAGACGGAAGGAAGCGCGATTTCTTTCAATTCTTGAGACTCCGAAATTCGTATTATTTTCGGCGTGTATCCCCAAACTCCTCCGCATTTTTCAGCAGCAATAGCGGCGAGAGAAGATTTGAGATCATTTTGATCGCAGAGGAGAAGATTTCTTCGTAAATGAGGGCTTTCCATCAGCAGGCCAAGAAAGAGAACCATGATCTGGCCGACGATATTGACGAAAACAGCGACATTGTTGATGTGAGCCATGATATTTGGAAGATCAGCGCCGAATTTTTCAGCGAGCTTTGGTACATCTTCTGGTCCCTTAGAGGAAGGATCGATATACCGCGATTATCATTCCTGACTGACGGAATTTCGTGTTCGACTCCGATATGTCGGGGGACATATATTTGCAATCAATAATTGTTCGCCAATAAATTTAAAAGAAGGAAATCTCAAGAAAAAGGAACTTTTGAAGAAAAAGAGACATTTCAAGAAAGCGGACATTTCATAAAAAAACAGACAATTCAAGAACGAGAGACATTTGAAGAAAATAGACATCTCAATCAAAAGAGCCATTTCAAGAAACCGGATATTTCAAGAAATTTTTTTTTCTTGAAATCTTCTTTTTTCTTGAAATGTCCGATTTCTTGAAATGTCGCCTTTTCTTGAAATGTCCACTAATCAATAGTGATGTTGCAAAGCGGCTTCGTTTTTGAAAAAGCAGCTACGCGACTTTTCGGAACCTGAGTCAGGTCTCCTACACAGGATGTTGAGCCCAAAAACTAAATCGATTTTTCATCATTATTTAGCTTTTCAATCAGCATCAGCTCTTCACCTCCCACACTTGTATTTGAAATCAACAAGGAAAATTTCTCAAAGAAAAAAATCTTCAAAGTGAACTTGAGCTTATGTTTTTGAAATTTTCGAAAGTGAGGAGCGCCAAAGAAATAAATCGATTAGAGCCCTTCAGTCTTCTTACAGTTTAAGGTCAGCTTTGAATCAGAATCATTAAACTTGAGTTTGAATTTTTCAGAGCAAAGAGTGGCTTCAAATATTGGCAAGGAACTAACAATAAGGATTATTGTCCGAAAGATCCCGTCAAGTCCAGATTCAGGTAACTTTTGCAGAGCTGTTGAGATAAGCAAATTTTAAGTTTTGGAGAACGCTTCAATACTGGAAGATTTGGCTGCACAAATGATCGATATTACACAAATGGAGCGCAGAATTTGCACTACTGGTCCTCTGTTGAAAGTAAAATGACTCCGATCGGGTCGGTAGCGAGTCTGGCTGAAATTCGTCGAAAATATTGAAATCTTAAAACAAACTTCGAAAAATGCCGAATACACTTATTATAAATTATAATTTATTATAGATAGTGTCAGGGTTCGGTAATTTGAGCTCACGCTAAAACTCAAGGAAACAAAGCTTGAGACTCACGTTTTTTAATTTGAGTTTTGAGAACTCAGAGATGAGAGCTCGCGTTAGAAATCAATTCTGGCGATCCATGAGCCAATCAAGGAAGTGCTCGCTTAATTTGAGTTTTGAAAACTCAAAACTCTCAAATCTCCCAAAAACTCAAAACTCTCAAAACTCTCAAATCTTCTCAAAATGATTTCTCAAGTCACTTTGAGTTCTCAATTTGAGGAAATTTGAGCGTCTAGCCAAAATGAGTTTTAGCTTGAGCTCAAATTACCGAACCCTGGATAGTGTAAAGATGAAAGAAACATGCTACAGCAAAATAGTAAAAGAAAATCTCTTATTGTTATCTAAACAAGAAGAGGACAGGTTGTCTTTCTCAAGATTCGGTTGAAAAGATCTTTTGCTTGGTCGAGTTTGTTGTCAACGTTTTTCGTGATTCCTCTGTTTCTGATTCTGTCAAGGCAGACGAAATCATCGTAGAAGCCAAGGAGAGCATTGTAGAAAGTTTTGGCGGCAAGACAAGGATCGTTTATTGAAATCGTCGGGTCAACAAAGTCTGGTGCGATTCCTTTTATAAAGGTCTTTGAGTTTTGCTCAAGAGAGTAATGTTTGGCTGTAAGTGACCTTTTCCTGGACCAGCACCGGCGGGATTCACGCAGGGAGTTTCGACGTAATCGTTGAACCAGCCGAAACGAGCCTTGATTTTATAGAAATTTTTCAGTTTGTTGTTTGGGTGATCGGCCACGGCATCAGATAAAACCAATTCAAGGGTGTCTTTTGTCGGGATTTTTCTGTACAAGTTATAAAAGATGATAATTATTATTGAAATAAATCAGATGCTTTGATTAAAATCCCAAGTCATAAAGACTTCCTAGTTGAGGAATCGTCCCAGTAGAGTTTGAACTAATGGTAGTTGTGCTCGCTGTTGTCGTTGTTGATGAACTTGTAGTAGTTGATGACGTAGAAGTTGTCGTTCTTGTCGTCGTAGTTGTAATTGTCGTGGTGGTTGTTGATGTTGCTGTGGTCGTAGAAGTAGTGGTAGTTGCTGTTGTCGTGGTAGTTGTAGTTGTAGTTGTCGAGGTGGTTGTAGTGCTTGTTGTTGTTGGAGCAAGTGTAGATGTCGGATCTAAAGGATCAATAACTGGCGCGACTTCTTCAACTTCCACGGTTGTATTTGTTGTAATAGCTACAGTAGCGTTCCCAGCATCGATGGACGATTGGAACTCAGTGGTTGCGTTGGCAGCGACATCTTGAATGACGCTGTCAACTTCAACCTCAGGGATGGCAAATCGGCGCTTTCGGGAGAAATTAAAGTTTTCGAATCGTATATGAAGTTCGCCAACGAATGCGATCCAAATCTGATTTGGTCCAGCTGGCTGAATCCAAGGTACGTTTGTAGCCAATTCGAATGCAAACTCGTACGAATAGGCAAAACCAAGAGATGTGTAAGTAACCCAGCCAGGTGGATTATAGCTATTCAGCATAGCGAGAAAATCCTCAGGAGTTTGCGAAGTCGAAAAAAGACAATAAAACTCGAGATTCACCGCGTAATCTATCCACTCATAGCTGGATTCGCAGGATTTACCAGAAACCGCATAGTCATTTCCGTCTTCTGAGAAAGTAATTTCATCACCACGAAGCTCGCAAATATTGTTGTCAACATCATGATGGAGCTTTTATTGGACTCATTCATGGTACTTCCGGCTTATGATTTTTAAGATCAGAAATTTACGACGTTTTTTCGAGAGTCCGCTCCTTGTAACAGCCGGCGAAACTTGCACACTCTCGCTGACAATCTTGAGTGTCTCCGGCAAAGTTTGCGATTTCATGCTCGAAATTTGAATAAGGAGATGGCTTGTCCATGCCAGGCGCGATTTCCCAGACGAAAATGTCACCAAAGGCCGTGTTTTGAAGACAAGTGGGTGGTGATCGTGTTGAAGCAAGGGTTGAAGATGCTGTCGATGATGTTGAAGTTTCCGTCAACGTACTAAATGTAGAAGATGATGGCTCTTCTGAAGTAGAGGTGAAATCCTCAAGGGAATCAGTTGTATAATCTCCTGAGCCAAAGTATGGATAGTCAGTAGTAAAATCGCCCGAAGAGTTTTCAGTTGTTGATGTCATTGTTGTTCTTGTTGTTGACGTTGCTGTTGAGCTTGTGGACGTATGAAAGTTTTCGGAAGTAGAAGTGTAATCCGCGGTGGAGACTGTTCCTTGATACTCTGTCGTTGACTCCGTTGAAGATTCTTTTGTCGTGGTTTTAGTTTGGGGCTCAGTTGTCGAGCTTGCTGTCGATCTTGTTGTGGATGTTGAAGTTGACATCAAGGTACTTAGTGTTGAAGACGAAAGCTCTTCTGAAGGGGAGGTGAAATCCACGAGTAAGTCAGTTGTAAAGTCTTCTGTGTCAAAGTATGGATACTCAGTGGTAAAGTCATCCGAAGAATCACCCGAAGAACCTTCAGAAGAGGTCGTTGTAGAAATTGTACTTCTGGTCGAAGATTCGGATGTCGATGTAGCTGTGGTTCTTGTTGTTGATGTTGCTGTTGAGCTTGTGGAAGTAGGAATAGTTGTTGAGGATATTGGCGCTTCAAAAGAAGAGGTGATGTTTGCGGGATAGTCAGTAGTAAAGCCTTCTTGCTCTAAGTCTTCATCGGTTTGGGAATCAGTGCTAGAATCAGCTGCGAAATAAGTCACTAAATCACCCGGTAGCTCGGTCGTGTAATCCGTGATCAAGTCGAATGGGAAGTCAGTGGTGAATTCAGCTCTAGAAGATTCTCTCTTTGCAAGAATTCCGGTAAAAAGAAGGTAAAGCTTCATTTTCACGGAAAATCTCTATGAAAGTTTTTTGTCACACTAAGCTTATCCGACTCAGAAGACACTGTCGTATAAAAATGGTTTTTCTCATTAATTTAACGATATTTTATTTTTATGGCAGCAGAAGATAAAAGCTTAGTCGACGTAGAAAATAAGTAATCATGCAAAAGTCGCCGTTAATTTTTATTTGACACTAAGAATAATGATTACGTACGCGAAGCTGTGATACTTCTCGCGAGTCGTATAATTCAAATTATATCACTTAACAAAAGTTTCTCGCACTTTCTCTTCTTTTATGCTTATTTTATTATGTAGAAAAGAACTTTAGGAAGTAAAACTGAACTTTTTATAAGAACTCAAGTTTTTTGTTCAACTTGATGTCTTCGAAGATCTTCCTTGATCGCAAAAAGTAAGCACAGTCCAATTACAAGCATTCCAATCATAATTCCGCATGTCGGAAATATACCCTTAATTTATCTAGGAGAAATAATTCAGTCGATTTTTACCAATTTTACAATGACGATTTGGCAGATTTGCGTCGTTACAAGTCCAAAAGTCATTCCTGCCCAATTTAAAAGACCTGAAGAAATTGCTTCTGGCTCTGGGTACGTCAACTCCGCAGCGAATTCGAAGCTAAAAATGGAAAAAAATCCTTCTTTGAAACTTACCCAATCGGTAAATATCCAGTCATGAAGAAGCCAAGTACTCCAATAAGAACGAAATCAGTCACTTTGTTTCCAAGCATCAGAACTCCGGTGAAAATCGAGCAGCAAATCAAGGTGAAGACATAGAAGACGAGCGAAATTTTCTTGAATGCTTTCGTCTTGTCCAATAAGATTCCGCCAAGGACGGATCCGAAGAGTCCTGTTATGACCATGAGCGCGCCCATCAGTCCTACTGTAGCTGCTTCGTGCGACAGAAGCTGGCTCAGAAGGGTTGAAACGGCGTAGTAGACCCCGACGATCAAGCCGTAATTTACCAAAAGAAGCATGTAAGATTTGTGAATGAGAAGCCGTTTGAGAATGGAAAGAAAGCCTGATAAGGGGCCTTCTTTTTCTTTTGAATTCTGAGCTTTTTCGAAAGAGCTCTTATTTGCGAAGAACTGCGGCTTCGAAGGGAAGAGAAAGATGACCAGTAAAAACTCGAGGATGCAGACCCCGGCCACGGACGCAAGAAAAATTTGGATTTCTTTTCCCGTTTCGTCAAAGTTTAGGGTGGATGAGTTTTGAATTAAAGTTGAGTTCTGGTCAAAATAGAAGTCTTGCTCCAAAAACACGCCTTTTTAACCGATGCTGAAAATGTCACGAAATAAAAAATAATTAGTTTTCTTATTTTTTCTGTTTGAATAGAAATTTTATTTTTAGAAACAAAAAATTCTTTTTCATGAATTTCATCTTCTGATCACACTCTCAGATTCGCCAGTGCTTTGACCCGCCTGAATTATCATTGATTTTCAACTGTCCAACTCAAAATTTTTTTACCATCTTCGCGATAGAATCATTAACACTCAATCGGATTTGCTCAGCCGTTGCAGGTGAATTCCAGCTCATAATTTCTTCATTATTAACTTGCCTTACTGCATCTCGAATTGCATAAAGCACGCTAGAAGCCATCAACAGCGGCGGCTCTCCACAGCCCTATGTTTTGATTATATTTTGCGTCGAAGAGATCTAACTTTTGAATGAAAAAGGCCGTGTCTGTTACTCGTTTTGTCAAAAAGCGACACTTTGAACTTCTCTGGAATATCCCCAAAAGCAGGGATTTTATAACTTCCGGGTCCTTTAGTCAGTTGCTCGCCCTCAGGCTTGAATAGTTCTTCTTCAAGAGTCATGAGCCCAACTCCTTGGATAAAAGCGCCTTCGATTTGGCCGATATCGACAGCAGGGTTGAGCGATTTTCCAATGTCCATGAGAATTTCAACTTCCCGGATCTACGGAAATATATGAAAAAGACAAAAACAAATGGATTACGATATGGTCTCCAGTGAGCAAATCAACTTCGACTTCTGAGCCACAGACTCCGTAGCAGTAGTAATTATATTTCCTCCCTATTCTAGTCACTGGATCCCACTCGATTCTTGAAGACTGGCCAAATGCTGAGGCGGATAAGCTGATTCGCTGGAGATACGCTTTCTTGATTTTTTCCTCCCAGGTTATAAATGGATCCGTTTCATCAATAACCTGAAATCTTTATCATCGATTTTGGTTTTTCTTTACCGAGAGGCGTTCCCTTAATTCTTCACAAGCTTTTTTCACCGCGAAACCGATATGATCTGAAGACACAGAAGCAGCAGTTGGCGCTGCGTTTGGAACAGTCGTTGAGCAGGTTTCTAGAGTATGAATCTTTTCCATCGGCACTCCCAGCTCTTTTGAAGCGATTTGAATCATTTTCGTATACAAGCCCTGTCCCATTTCGATGCCACCATGAGCGACAAGCACGCTGCCATCTAAAATGATGCCGAGCAGAGATTTCAAGATTGATTTTACCTGTGTAAATTTGGACCAAAGCTCCTCCAGAATTAAGATGTTTGAGTCCGAAGCCAAGTCCAAACATGATCGGAACCAGGGCGACTCCTTTCTTCGTGAATTGATGCTTTTCATTAAATTTTTTGATGATTTTTCGGCGCTCATCGATTTTGAACGACTCATTGGCTTTTTCGTAGATTTCTTCCAAAATGTGATCCTCGTCCAAAAGCTGTTTATCACACGGCCCGTATGGGAGTCGATCGCCTCTCTTCAACATGTTTATTTTTCGAACATCATCAACTGGCATTTTCAGGTAATCCGCGACTTTATGCACGATATCCTCCGCGACCAGCATTCCCGGTGGCCCTCCTGTTCCTCTGAAAGCAGTATTCGATCTTGTGTTTGTCATCATGCAGTGACCAACGACCCTGTAGTTCGGAAAGTGATAGCAGTTAAAGCAGTGGTCGATGTAGCGGGAAAGCATGCCGATGGAGACATCTTCCGAGTAGCCAGCGTTCGCGTAGCCATCGATGGAGACGGAGGTGATTTTACCACTGCTTTCAAATCCAACTTTGTACTTGGACAAGCATGAGTGGCGACCTCCAGAGTAGAGCATGTCTTCCTCTCTGTCCAAAGCACATCTAACCGGTCGGTTGAATTTCTGCGCCGCGACGGCGACGCCCCCGCAAAGCAGCCTGAACCGCATTTCTTTTCCTCCGAAACCTCCACCAAGCCGTTTTACTGAGAATTTCACGTGATTCATCGGCACATTAAGAACTCGTGCAACGGAAGATTGACCTTCCAGGATATTTTGGCAGCTTGAAATGACGTGAAATTCATCCGAATTGTCGATCGGAATGCAATAACTGCCCTGTGTCTCGAGGTAAAAATGCTCCTGGCTCCCGAATCGCACGGATGATTCAATCCTGTGCTCTGCTTTTTCATAAGCGGCATCTGGGTCTCCTCGATCGTGGCGGATCGAAGGAGCGTTGGGAAGATATTTATCGAATTTAATCGCGTCTTCGATCGTCACAACTACCGGCTCGATCACTTCGTATTCAATTTTGACTAGTTTTGCTGCTCTTCGAGCAGTTTTTTCATCGTCCGCAAGAATTCCTGCAATGATTTGACCAGTGGAAGTTACAGTCTCTTTTCTGAAATACTCTTCGTCATTGATTTCATTGCCACCTCTTACATCTTCCCATGTCACGTGACCCACCACGCCTTGGAGAGCATCTGCCTCGGTGAAATCAACGAAGAGAATTTTAGCATGCGCTTTGGGCGATAAAACCGGGGCAAAATACAACTCTCTATCGAGTTTTGGCATGTCGTCCAGAAACTGTGCTTCTCCAGTGGCTTGTTTTGCTGCGGAAATTATTCGAGTAGATTTTCCAACTGGTGCGAGAGAGTGATCAACATCAGCACACCTGATGCTCGAAAAAGAACCGCGCTCGAGTCCAATTTGGTTCTTTTCGCCACCAAGCTCATGATTAACAGTGATGAAAAACTTGAAGAAGAAAGATGTAATCAGACATTTTCTGTAAGCAACATATCCAACTGGAAAGTCGGAAACATCAAATTCTGCCTGCAACGCTTCACTGACGTCTTTCAATAATTTTTCGTCCCAGGATCGACCAACAAAAGAATCGGCACATTTTGCGAGTCGAACAGTTTTCGCAACGCCGCCAAATGCCATCCGTAGCGTTTTTATAGTGCTTGAATTTTCGTTGAAATCAAGGAAGAAAGCAGCATTGACAATGGCTGTATCATTTTCTTTTCTTTTAGACTGCTTGTAAGATCGAAAAAACGCTGTTTTCGGGCATAATGAAAGATTGACTTCATAAAGAACGGAGTCTTTTGGAATCGCGGCTATTCTTTCCCCAGGAAAGAAATTATTATCAAGATCAATATCGTGGAAATAGACAGTGCCATGGTCTGTCAATTCACATGTCGTATATTTCGCTTGAGCGCCAGCAGCCATAAGAATGGTAGTCAAATCAGAAGTAGCCCTAGCGCTCATGATATTGCCACCAATTGTTGCGACATTTCGAACTTGTTCCCCACCAAACCACTTTGCGCTTTCCAGAATCGAGTCAAGGATTTGATTCTTTTCCTTCGCTCCTTGGATGAATTCGCTTATCTCTGTTATTGTTGCCCCAGCGCCGATTCTAAGTGAAAATTCGTCCATTGAGATTGTTTTTAATTCCTCAACAGCGGCGGTAGAAATCTGAATTGGTCGAAATTTTTGCTCAAATTTCGATTCTAGCGCGCAAATCGTGCCGCCAGAGATGATTCGCACTTCTTGATTTTCCTTCAAATACCGGATTAGGGGAACAAATTCGGTGGGAGCAAACCAGGTTGTTCTTGGGCCATTGATGGTAAATGAAGTGGTCGTCTTGAGAAGCTTGAGTTCTGGAGGAAAAATTGGCTCCTGAGTGGGATCTTCTGGGATGAAGTCGTTGTTGATTTCGACCGCTTTTTCGGGCGATGATGATGATTGTGGTTTGTTCTTGCAGCAGCTTTCTCCAAGCGCACAGGGACCATTCTCTCTTTTTTCTTCCTGATTTTTTGCGGCGAATTCAAAATTGAAGCCTTGTAGAATCGGCCTGTATCCTGTACATCTGCACAAATTTCCTTGGAGCGCGCGTTTTATCATCTCTTCTGTCGGCAATTTCTCGTTTCTCAAAAGAGCATACATAGACATGACAATTCCAGGAGTGCAAAAGCCGCATTGAGTTCCGTGATTGTCGATCAGGACTTGTTGGATTCGGTGAAGCTTGGTTTTTGTCGACCCGATTCCTTCAATTGTTGTGATGGCAGAGAGATGAATGAAGGGAAGGGGGGTTAAACAGGCATTTATAGCGCGGTGGATGACTTTGCCGTTTCGATAGTTGGAAATCATGGCAGTACATGCGCCACAACCCCCTTCTCCGCACCCAGACTAAAGGAATTGTTCAAGGCTTTTTTGATAACAGAAAGAAACCTTGGTTCCGCATAGTCGCAATCGATTTCTCAAGTAATACAAAAGAGTTTCTTCAGGATCAGCATCGAAATCTTCAATTCTCTTTCCATTTACAAAAAATATCAAAGCTTGTTTATCTGAGTCAGCCATTTTGAATTCTGAAAAACCAGCAGTTCAAAAAAAAAACTGCACAAATACGATCCCGCCCACGATTTTTCTTGACGTATTTACACGACTTCGGGCGTTCAAAATAAAAAAAATCGTGACATTTTCAGCACCGGTTTCCTTTGATAAACAAAGTGGGGATGAAAAACCCCAGCGCTATCCCCAATTGATTGCCAAAGACCCCCAAGCTCGTGGCAGTCGAAATTTCATTCGCCGGAAACCACAATCCGGCAATTTTCGGCGGCAACTGCAAAACAAGCGTTTCGGCAACGGCGTTGAAGAATTGAGCGAGGATGACGAGCCAAAATAAATCGGGCTTCGCAGCGAAGATTTTTAGACCGGCGCCTAGAGCGTTGAAAAAAGAGTCCAAAAGAGCGGATTTCCGGAGACCAAGATTTTCAATGATCGCCATTGATGGAAAAACTAACGGGAGGAATACTGCCATGTAGATCATCGATGTCCAGGCGAGGGTTGTCTTCGGTCTGAGCTCGGCAAGCTGTGAAGAAAACCTGAGTCAGGGTCTGAAAGATCGTAAGTAAATAGTCGGCTCGCGCTTTTCTGACCCTGACTCAGGTTTTCTACACAGGTTGGCAAGCCCAGTCTCGGGTATTCCGTAGAACTCAGTGAAGATATCCGGTAAAATCATAAACTTGGAAAATTGAAAAAAAATCGCCAAAAAATAAAAAAAAACGGGCCGATTATTCAATTTCCTGAATCCACTGAAACGCGGACATGAGCGAATAACTCGCAAAAATGCTCAAAACCAGCCATCTTTTCCAGCTCGTTTTGATTTCAACTTCCTGGTCGTCTAAAAATTTAGCCGAGTCGGATTCCATTTCTCTTCAAGCCTCACTTCCTCTTTCAGAAAACGCAAAATATTAGCATTGGGCAAATAGACAAGACCAAAAAAACATGAGGAGAAACAAAAAAGCTTTTCTACTGATTGAGAAGTTTCAAGATCTATTGACTAGGGGCCCCAGGGGTATGACTTTTTGGCAGGTTTACCACTGCTGCGCTCAGCAATCTCTATGAGAAACCTGAATCAGGGTCTGAAAGATCTCAATTGAAAAGCTGCGTAGCGTATTGATGCTTTTCGAGCAAAATTTCGAGGTTGTATTTGTCTTCGTTGATTTCAGAAAAGTGGTCGAAGAAATAAAACATCGACGAAATCGGAAATTTTACGGAAGTAAAGTGGCCAAATTTTCTTCTAATGAAATGAACAGGCTGCCATTTGGTCTATTCTTTATGAGAAGCTATCATCTGGATATTTTGTGAATAAAGATCATTATAATAAGTTTCAGTTCGAAAATGGATGTTTCATTTTTCAACAATTTTAGGTTCCGAGAAAATCCACTATTGAGAGTAAATGAAAACTGCGTTGACCTCGATCTTGGAGAGATTTGCTCGTCAAACTGCGCTGAAAAAACTGTAGCATGCTTGAGCTACTGTAACTCCGACGATGTCTCTTGTCAAAACAGCTGCGTTCGACAGGGGTTTGATTGTATCGATGGCTGTCCTTGCCACACCGACTGTTTCGAAGGGTGCGAAGGTTGTGCCGCGGAAATTTGTAGCGTTTGCGCTGAGCCAGGAGAAAATCCTGATTATAACCGCTGCTTGAACGAGGTCGAGTTGGATCTGTATCAGTGCCTCGACAGATGCGGCGGGGATTCTGCATGTGTTAATCAGTGCACTTTGCAGTTTTTGGAAGACTTTGAGAATTGCCCCTGCGAGTCGGGCTGCCCAAATGGCTGCCCTTGCCCAAACTACGACTGTGGAGATGTCAACCCGACATTGCCGCCACAAGAACTCGGCTCGGTCTTGATCCTAGACAGAAACTACAATCATCTTCCAGCTCTCGCGAATTTTAACAGCTTCAATGAAGACATCAAGGTTTCCTTCTACAACAACGGCCCTGACAACTTGGAATACAACTTTAACGACGGCTGCTCTTTTGTTTATCGTGGCAAAAACTATCTCTTTGGCGGCTGGTACGAAAATGAAGATGGATCTAAGGCGCCTGGGCCTCATATTCTGAATGAATGCGACATAGAAAAAGTTGAAGGCGAAACATTTTTCTTCGACTGCTACAGTGGTGCTGTTGGTTTTCTGCCGACAGATGATGATCCAGAAGCTTACGTAATGCTCTACGATGGCAAGCATAAAGTCCAAACGTAAGTCTAGGTTTTTCGAATATCTATAAAATTTTTAAAGCTACGACGGATCGAAAGTTTGGGACAACTCGTTGCCAGAGCCGAAAGTCTCGCACACAGGGACCGGTGGACATATTCCGGTTTATGAAGGCTACCCGATTCTTATTTCAGGATACAATGAAGATACAGGAATCGGCACAAATGCTGTTGAGCGATATAAGTATTCTCCCTTTCGACGATTTTTCCATTTCATATTTTTGTAGCAAATATTACGGCTGGTCAATTCGGGAAGGAATCGAGTTCCCCGAGCAATACATTCAAGAATACACTTCAGTTTGGGGAGATTTTGGCGTAATCGTTTTTCCTGGCTTTCCTGGGTAAAAATCTCTAAAGATCTTCTAGTAAAGCCTTTCAAGGGAATCGAGCAAAATCTGGCGACTGTACGAAGACCAGTGGACGAATATCAGCACTGTTCCTTGGGATGGACCGAGAAGATTTGCAAGAGCCGTGCTTTTTCCTAATAATGAGGCAAAGATCAACGAATTGTCTTTTAGTAAGTGTTTTCAGGTCATGATACTCGGTGGTTCAGGATCCCAAAACTTTCATAAGTTTGTTTTTAATGACGACTTCACCTCAATCGTTGGAGAAACTCTTGAAAATCTACCAGCAATTGCAAACTACGATGACCCTCATGCTATTCTTGTTCCAAATGGCCACTGTACTGTTTGATTATATACGAGTAAGAACAAAAATTGAAGAAATAAAACATCATCAAAATCGTAAAAACGATGGTTTTTTGTCCGTAATAATCATATATTTTTGTTGATGAAGCATTTTTCTTAGTTTGAGGAGCAAAAAGAACCATTATCGTATTATTGTTTGGGCGGGAAAGGTCATTGTATAAAGTCGATTTTTAATGGAGCAGTTCTTTATATTTTTGCGATAAACAAAGATCGATCGAGAACGAGAGAATGATATTACGGAGCCTCCTGCTGATAAGTGGGATAAAAGCAGAATCACCAGAACCAGTAGATGACCGACCGAATATCATTTTTGTAATCACCGACGACCTGGGGTGGTCGGATGTAAGTTGGAACAATAAAGCGCTGAATTCGACGCCGTTTATGGCGAATTTGGTCGAAACGGGTCAGGCATCATCGTTAAGAAACTCTTACGCAACGCACAGGACCGGCTCTAACGATCAATAGAAAAAAGTACCTGACAAAAATGCGTCCCTGGGTGGGCTCGAACCACCAACCTTTCGATTAACAGTCGAACGCGCTAACCGATTGCGCCACAGAGACTTGACGCCCTACACTACTCATTTACAGTTTGAAATACAGTAGGAGTCCAAGAAAGATGCAGTCCCTCCCGCGCTCAATTTCTAACAGGTCGATATGCTTTCCGATATGGACTTGGATCGGACCCGATTTCCTTTGAAAACCCGATCGGAATGAGCACCAAAGAAAAGCTCTTGCCTCAGTATTTGAAGGAAATTGGATACAATACTCATGCTGTTGGAAAATGGCATCTTGGATATTGCAATGATTCGTTCGTCCCGCATAATCGAGGATTTGACACTTTTCTTGGGTAAGTAAAAGATCATGTCAAAAAAAAATTATGACTAAATTAAAATTTAATTTCAGTCATTATGGCGGTGGAGTCGATTATCATACTCACGCTACTCAAGGTAAAGCGACTTCTTTTGTCTTCCTTGATTTCGATTAAAAATTTCAGGTGCTTTGGGAAGCTACCTCAATCACTTCCTCAACGGAGAGCCGCATATTCCTGAAGGTGGTTTCGACTTTGCATCGTACGCTTGGAGCAACAGAACGAATAAGGTCTTGAGGGAGAACACTGACAAGCCGAATTTTGTCTATTTGGCCTTCAATGCTCCGCATGAAAAAGTCGCTGCTCCTGCTGATCTCAAGGTAAAGACGAAAGCATATTATTGAATTATTTTATCAATCAAAAGATTAAGCAGCGTTAAAGATCAGTTTTATCAGTAAACACGGCTCAGATCGTTCACACTTGCATGTTGATTGCAAACAGGACATCTTTGGTAATGCATCAGAGACCTTCGAATGCAGCTTTCACCAAACGCGTGCCCGCATTTCAGCGTAGTTTGAAAATGCGCGTTTGTGTCATAAATTTCATGACAAATTTTGCACGATGGTGACAATCCTTAAATTTTTTCATCATATTAATTAAAACCTTACCTTTTCTCTCCATCCATTCGAGGCTAAATCTGCCAAACATGTTGTTCATATTTTCATAATCATCTTTCATTTTTTCTAAGCCCCGATTAACTTCTATTTGATCAGCAAGGGAATTTTTCAGAGACTCATTTGCAATTTTTATAATATCTATGTTTATATTCTGGTTCGAAATTATCCCTTTTTGAGAATTGACTGTCGCTTCGAGTTCTTTAATTCTTATGTTTTGCTGTTCGAGTTTTTCAATTAAATTTTTCTCTTCAATTTCAATCTTGTCGCCGGTTTCCGAGGTGCAATCGTGTTTGAAAAAATCATCATAACTAAAAGACTTGTCGCATGATTTCAGCCGGCAGCTTAGTCTCAAAGATTTGATGTGACCATTATATGGAGTCAAGTAATTCTTATTGAAAAAACTTCCGCATGCATTTTCAGGTACTTTAATAGTTTTGTAAGGTGAATAGGGAGGGTACCAAAAAACTTCTCCAGAGAAATTATCAGGTCTTCGATTACATTGAGGCATCGTAGATCCTGTCGGTAAACAGTTCCAGCATAAGAAATTTTTGCAAATTTCTGGCTCGTTCATGCTCGAGTCGGAATTTTTTGTTGAAGTTATATGATTTTTATATGCGTCACGCATTAATCTGTGGTCCCTTATGCGTCCACGGTAATGAAAGAATAGTATCTTCGGAATTTTTCTAAATTATTTAAATAATTACTAATCGATAATTCATTTATCGGCAAAGTGATGAATATTGATTCAATAAATTGCAGATAAAAAACTCATTTTCATAATTTTTGTGATTATTAGTAAAAATGAAGATGACAAAAGTACTAACCGACAGCGCGTGCATGAATTTTTAACTATTGGATTTTCACTCGAAAGCAAAAACTCACGTGGGATACCCCTGAAAAACTCTGATAACGTATTCTGTCTTGTCTCGGACATCATGGCAAATGCTGAATGAGATAAATGCTTTTTCACAAGTTTCTTATATGCGTCCAGTGACGTTTTCTTTGTTTAGTTTAAGCACAATTCAACGATTTTTAAGGAGGAGATGAATGCTTTGTATCCCGACATTCCTGCAACTCGCCGGCTTCAACTCGCTTCAGTAAAATCAATCGACGTCGCGATGCAAAGTGTCATCGAAGAAGCCTCAAAACTCGATCGCGAAACCATCGTTATCTTCCACACTGACAACGGCGGCGCTATCCAAGCTTACGCAGGCAATATTGATGGCCCTCGAGGATGCAGTTTCCCTTACAAGGGATACAAAAGTGTCTTGGCTGAGGGAGGTACTTTGAGTCCAACTTGGGTTTACTCAACGAAAAGGCAATTTCATTCGCGATACATTGATGGAATGGTTCACATCATGGACTTTTTCCCGACTATTCTTCACTGGGCAGGTAAGGGGCTCTAGAAAGTGAAATATAATCAGTTGAAACAATATCTGAAAAAGCCCTTCTAAGGTTACGATAAGCCAATGCCAAGAAATCTCGATGGAATCGACCAGTATGATCTTTTCGAAGATGCTTCTATCACCCAAATTCGAGATCGATTCATTTACGGACTTCTCCACGACTGGGATGATGAAAATCTCGAGTGGAAGACAACCTATGCCGTGCGTTATGGGGACTACAAGTTTTTGAACTATCAATCTGAATTGATCGGAAACACTCAGTGCCCAGAAGGGTGGTTTAATAATCGTCATGCAAAGTATCTTTTCCCATTCAAGAAAACAAGAGACGCAAGAATGAACAAAGGTCAGTTTTTTCTCCGAGAACACAGTCGACGGGTAAGTTTAAGTCTGGGCAATGTCCGATGCTGAGCCAAACAAAGAAGCTGGTGAAACCAACCGCAACCCTGGATTCTCTTTGTATAACCTGAAAAAAGATCCATTCGAGACACGAAATATGGGTGTAGGAAGAGTCGGCAAGAAATACACAAAAATCTACATGGATCTCGTCAACGATATCCAATCCTATGTTGCGGAAGAGATTCAGAAGGGAATCCAATATCCAGTCACTGGAAAGTTCAAAGGAAAACTTGTCTCTAGAATCATGAAGAAGATTCCTTTCGATGAGAAGTTGCAGCATTATTACGATACTGGGCGGGTTCTATCTTTTGACAGGTAAAATTTGGCCTCGCTTATCTCCTTTTTGAAGCTAAATTCTAGCGAGACTCAAAACTCATCTGGCTTTGATGGGTACCTTGGAAGCAACTGGTGTCCAAACGATCTTGATGAGGCTTTATTTATTCAAATGTACCACGAGGCTGTGGCGAACAATCAAGAGGTAGAGTCCCGAAATTTCGAACCGCATGGTTATTTGCTTTTCTAGAGCCTCGCTTACATGATCAATCTGTATCTGTGGGACGGCTACGGTCCAGAAGGAACAACTCGATCTTCTCCGCCGCAGACATTGTTCTTCAGCTCTAGAACTGGTCAATCGGGCAGCAGTTGGTTCTGGGACGACGAAGATAATTTTGAAAGTGACTGGTGGTTTACTGATGAAGATGAATAAAAATATCTCAGATATTATATCTTTTTTGTCGCTTCTTTTTGTCAAGTTTCCTTTTTTTTCCTGCAGATTTTCTTGAAGATCAAGTGCAAAGTTCATCTTCTATTCGGTCAATAAAGAATATGATTGAAAAGAAGGCCATGTCCTTGAAACGGACCAATTATGTAATTTCTATTTGCCTCTGTCCATGAAAGCAGCGAAGAAACAAGGAATAAGAAAAATATCGCAGCAATGGAGCTGTTGACATTTTTACAGATTTTGGGCGGTTTCGTCGTAGCGAAGTTTTTGTACAATCAATGGAAGATTTTCTCGTTGTATTTTTTCGCCAGAGATTTCGATTTCAAAGGCGTCGCCGAGGATGGATATGCGTTGATTACCGGCGGTGCGGAGGGAATCGGAAAACAGTGTGCTCTGTACTTTGCTAAAAAGGGCGTCAACTTGGTCCTTGTTGATTTCAACGAGAGGAAATTAGACGAAACGGCAAAAGAGATCAAAGAAAATGTAAGTTTCTCGCCTCGAAAAATGCGAAATCCTTTCTGCTTTCAAATGAAATCGATATGTTTTAGTACTCGATTTCCCTTATCACCAAGGTCATGGACCTAACCACCCTCCACGACCCAGAAGTATACGCTTCTTTCGAAAAAGAAATGCTCAAGCAAAAAATCAGCATTCTCTTCAATAACGCGGGAATGACAGAAGAAAAGATAGCCTTCTGGAACTACGCTGGATCGACTCCTTCGAAAGTTTCAAAGATTATGACTTTGAATGCTGAGGTTCCTGTGTTGATGACCCGAATGGTTTTGCCCGGTACGTCAATATCAATATTTTTACAATTGATTTTAAAGGAATGCTTGAGAGAAAAAAGGGCGTCTTGATGCATATGGGCTCTGCAGCTGGCCTGGCTCCTATGGATGCAAATCCTGTTTATGCTGCGACCAAATCTCATGTGGTACGTTTAAAAGCTTGGTAACCTGTGCAAGAAATCTGAGTCAGGTTCTGAAAAGCGAAAATATAAAGACCTGTTATTCTGATCAATTTCTCGAGATCGATTGAACAACTCTACCCAACATCGAAAACGGGGATCGTCCATCATGTCTTCTACCCGGCCTTTATCAGGACTAGCTTGACAACTTTCCTCACAAACGGTGCGTCAATTGAAAGTATTCTTTTGGCTTCAAAAATTTTTTCAAGGGATCAAGAAGAAGGTATACGAAAACACGATGGAGAGACTGAAAGATATCGCCTTCCCGAAAGTTGAGACCTGGTTCGCTTCCGCAATCAAAACGGTTGGAACTGGGCAGAATGAATCTGGAGGATCATGGCTTTTTGAACTGTTTTCAAATTATCTTATCATGCATTTTGATTTTAAAAGATTGAAGACGATTATTGATCTGTCTGAATAGTCTTTCCATATTTTTTAAGGAATAATTTTTTCAACTGAACAAAAATCGCAAACCTTTGTCTTCAATTGAATATGTCTTATTAAAATATACAGTGAAGAAAAAAGAGCGAAGTAGAGAGCGAAATAAGTAGAGTTAAAGGCTTCAAATGTGCGAGCATTTCTAGTGCTTCCCTGTATTCTCTGCGCCCTGCTTATCCCCTGCCCTTCCTTTCTCCCGGCACAAAGCGGTAAAAATACCGCGGTATCGCCCTCTCTATCAGGATTCGCCTCGCGATGGTCATTTTCATGGCTCAATGGAGTTGCAAGACTCCTCGAAACCCAAATACGCTTCCAGGTATCGGCCAGTATCTCGTCTCATCCAGCTACTTGAACAGCAACTCGATGGCATGAATTGTAATAAGTCTGAAATTCTATCATAAAAAGAGAAGAACAGGAATGGGGAGAAATTTCCGGTTCATTTTCTGCACGAAATTGGTCAAAACAAAAACTTTTTAATGAAAAATGCTCCAATACCAACCATAAAATGAGCCGGTACATAACAACATGGAACCCTTGTTGATGGCTGACGAGCTGGTTTTACTATCTGTTCGTTATTCTCACCCCTTTTCTTTTGAAATGAAAAAGAGACCGGCATCCTTTCTTTACCGAGAAATCCATGTCATCGCGAATAAAATCAGAAAACGAGACATGGCCCTGAAGTACGAGAACGAGTGAAAATATGCTTCCGTCGTTATCGACCGGTAATACTGTAGAAAAGACTCTCGAAAACTTCTTTCTAGCCTTTCCGCGACTGGACTTGTCCTGGCCTTCTTCTTTACTGTCTTTTCTGCTTCTCAAAGATTAGATTATTGTCGAAAAGAATACAACGAAAGGGCGCTGAAAATGTTACCTTATTTATTCGTTCTTGGAACTGCAGAGAGCATCTTAAAAAAGGTCTTGAACACACAGGGTTTTAAAGGTTTTTCAAAAGAAGAAGATTTTGAAATTCATGAAAAGAGCAATTTTGAACTTGAAAGAAATTTGAAGTTGGTACGGTTTAAGATTTTAAAATAGTTTTAAAAAGTTGAGGACTCCGCAACAGTGGAGGAAATCGCTAGTTGTTGCCTTGGAGGGCGAGTTTGTTGATGATTTTAGAGCACATTTCGAAGAACTCCATCGTCGAGTGGGTGGATCCCCAGTCCGGATTGTCGTTATTTTCCCGTTCGTTTTCCATCTGACAGGATGAGAAGTCAAGCAGATAGTCTTAATAGAGCCTTTTAGGGCGATAAAGAGCTATTTTTCTTACCTGGGCTGCGCTCAGAGCACCTAGGACTTCTGTAAAGTGTAATATTCATCTTTTCATGCCTTCCAGGATTTCTTTTCGAGTCCATTTTCACTCGGATTCGGAAGAACGAGATATTTCTCCAAAGAAAACCGAGTTCGTGGAGCGCGCGGTACACTTCTTTCATTACATGCATCGAGTTCGACTGACTCCTGAAGAAGGATATGAGGAAAAGCAAGGGACGGAGCGCTTACCTGATACCCAAATGCCACTTCGACCGAGGTCGCTGTCTACTTGACGGCGTCTTCGAAAGCTGTTGCCCTGCGCCAACCATATCGGCCGGTCCGGAGTCAAGAAGCTCGTGCATTCTTTCTGGATGCGCCTGAATCATGTTAGTCCTGAGAGAGGTCTTCTTTAGGGCTTCACCTTTTTCGGGACATTCAAGTTGATCAAGGACGTCTTGTTCGGAGCCAGGTAAAAGTCTGGCTCTTGCGACTGAAGGATCTTCCCATCGATAATCAATCTGTACGCGACGAGATATCGGCTCGGGTCTTCGTTTCCATTCAGTTCTGGGTTCTCCAGATGTTCCTAATTCAAGAAAGCAATAGAAAGAGAAAAGAGAGCGAATTTACCTCGACAATCTTTCTGACTTGATCTGGGCAGACGCCAAACTTGGACGCTACTTCTTGACACGCTTCCACGTCAATGCCCATTTGCAGCTGCTGTCCAGGAGCTGGGAAGAGGTAGTCTTTGAGGTTCACTCTGAACCAAGGGTGATCCAAGATATCCTGAAAAAATGAATTTTAAGATATCTTCTACCTAGCTAAAAGAAGGGGAAATCCCTCTCTTCTCTAGCGCAATTGGGTAATTTACTTTGATAGTAGCGCGTTCCATAGAATTCGTCTTGAGCATATGCGCGATAAGACTTTCCACGGGCGAGTTTTTGATATTCGCTGGCGTCTCATAGTGCCCACGCTTGATTTTCGCAAAGAGTCGGGTGTGATTGTCGTCGTCGAAGGGAAGGGTTCCACAGAGAAGGGCGTAGAGAATCACTCCGCAGCTCCAAATGTCGACTTCTGGACCGGCGTAGAGCTTTCCGGAGATCACTTCTGGCGCGGCGTAGTTTGGAGAACCACAAGAAGTTCTAAAGAAAGGTGTATGAAAGAGGTCGATGAGGAAAAGAGAGTACTGTACCTCAGAAACTCGCCGTCGGTCAAAATATTCGAGAGGCCGAAATCCGCAATCCGCACATTTAGGTTTTTGTCCAGCAAAAGATTCTCGGGCTTCAAATCTCGATGCACCACTTTCTGTCGATGGCAACAGTCGACTCCCGAAATGATCTGCTGGAAGAAACGTCTTGATTCGTCCTCTGGAAGTCGCCCATTCGCGCAGATATAGTCGAACAATTCGCCTCCTGGGACGTATTCCATCACCAGGAATAAATCGGTCGGGCTGGAATGAACCTGGTACATTTTGATGATGTGAGGATGCCTAAAGCACGATCGTTAAACTTTTTTATTCTGACTTGTGAGATGGATTGAAATCTATTGGCAAGTTGCCAAATTGACGGATCTGGTGGTCAGAATAACGCCCATAAAGTGAACCAGAATATTCTTACTTTTATTTCTGTCATGAATCCAAATCGAGAAGTCGCTTGCGGCTTCGAGTGTTAGAATTTCTAACTTAGAAAGAAATTAGCCGCACGACTTATTTGATTGCTCGAAGCCGCGAGCGTCTTCTCGATTCGGATTTACAACATTTTTACCTGAAACGAAGAGCATTTTCAATCTCCCGCCTCGTTTTGTTCACAACTTCCATCGACTTGATCTTCTTTCTGTTGAGAATTTTGATCGCCACTGAATGAATCGTTGGCATTTAAGTACAGGAAGGTACAGTATTTTTTACCCTCATGACCCGTGATCTTGTGCCTGGCTTTCTTCACCTTTCCAAAGCTGCCTGATCCGATTGTTTCTCCCAGCTCATAGTGATTCACGGCTAATCCCGGTCTTTTCAAAGCTTGTAAATTACTGTATGAAGAAGATGAGAACTCGTTGAAGAGCTTTGCAAACAAATTCTCCTAAGAAAAACGCAAAGAAATGCATTTGGAATCGATCCAGATTCAGAATATTTCGAAATTTGTTGACTGGATTCCTTCCAAATTGGACTCTTCTAGATTTTGCAATGAAAAATCAAGAATTTCGGTACTTTCTCACGCCCAAGGAAAGAAATGACATTGCCAGAGGGCAAGAAAATAAATTATAAAAAGCCATGTGCTGAAGGGTAGGAGCCACTTAGTCAGGAGAGCCATTTGGTCAGCGAGCCATTTAGTCAGAAGAGCCATTTAGTCAGGTCTGTCTTACTGGCTCCCTGACCAAATGGCTCCTTCTTAAGGGTGGGCGATGATTGGTGGAATTTTACGTTGCTATTTTTCTGGCAATGAAGTCTGATAATCAGACTCTGATCCATGGAATTCTAATACCAAGTAGGGTCTACAAAATCTATCTGGTATTTCCTTCTGAAATTATCTTTAAAAAGAATTTCTGCAGTAATTTTCACATTTTCGACTTTTATTTTAGACAAACCTAACCCTAACCATAAATTAGGAGACCAATTTCTTAAGCCTGAAATTGAACACAAAATTATGAGATCGTCATAATAAATGTGAAAAACCGTTTAATTTTTATAATGAGCACTATTTAAACATTGAGCACTATAAAATCATTAAGACGGAAAAAAATCTTTTTAGCTTGCCAGTTGCAAGTTTATTAGATTTGGATGATCTTACTTGGTATCAGAATTCAATTAATCAGACTTCAGTACCAGAAAAAAGCAACGTAAAATTCCACCAATCATCGCCCACGCTAAGGAAGGAGCCATTTGGTCAAGGGAGCCACTAGGTCAGAAGCGCCATTAGGTCAGACCTGACCAAGTGGCTCCCTGACTAGATGGCTCCCTGACCAAATGGCTCTCCTGACTAAATGGCTCCTACCCATGTGCTGAAATGCTTATTTTTTGTCAATTTCAATAAAAAAAAACAAGATTTTCGTCGAATTCAGGGCTGCTGAATTCGGAGCATTTGCGTTTACCCGCGATTTTTTTGGCGGAAAATCCGCAGCTGTTTCACGGAAAATCCGCAGTTTTTTTCACGGAAGATCCGCCGGTTTCAAGCGGAGAAAAGGGAGCGGAGAATCGCGGATAATCCGCCGAAATTTCCGCTGAAAAGACGAATTTAAACGGTGTTCCTCCCTTTTGATTGGCTAGAGAAAAAAGGTAGCGGGTAATCGCGGACGATCCGCGCGGCGGATAAAATCGGACGATCGGACGATCGGAGAATAGCGCGGAGAAACGGCGAAAATCAGCGGATCTTCCGCCAAAAAATCGCGGGCAAACGCAAACGCTCCGAATTCAGCAGCCCTGGTCGAATTGAAAATTTTCTTTTGAAAAAACCCTGTTTATTTTTTTAAAAAGCTTTTCCTTTGATCAGGATCATCCTGCAGCGTCATTTGCTGCTATTTCTGTCGGTTCTTCTTCCTTTTTCTTCTTTTTTTCTGTTATTTTCTCTCTATTTTTATTCCAAAACGAGTCACGTGTTTTGCCCAAACGCGCACTTTTTCCTCTGAGAATTAATTGTCAATTTGTCAGAATGGGCTCCTGGCCCACGAGCCTCAGGGGCGTTTTATCTTTCTTCTCTTCTTTTCGCTTTTTTCCCTCTCGCGTCGTTTTCACTTGTTTTCGCAGCGCGAGTTATTGGCGCGCCCCGCGCCCACGGATGTCGCTCAAAAAAGACTGATATTCTGAGAATCTACAAATGACGCAACTCTTGCGTTTTTTCTTAGAACGCTAGAATTACTGTAGTTTATTTTATCTTGAAGATTCTTCGATATAATTTGTAGTCACAATTTTGAGCATTTTCATAATAAAAATTAAATCAAAATTATCAAAAAATAATTAAATATAAAAAATAAATTTATCTTGTTTATTAAAAAAAGTAAATAAATAATTCTTTTATTCTTAAAATCGTCAAAATTGTATCCACCATTTATATCGGAGAATCTTCAAGATAAAAAAAACTACAGTAATTCTAGCGTTCCGAAAAAACACAAGAATTGCGTCATTTGTACATTCTTTGAATATCAGTCTTTTTCGAGCGTATCTGTAATATACACTGTAATGTGTATAAATTTATTGTTTATCAAAGTTCAATGAACTTTTCCTGTTTTCGTTGAATGCTGTTGAATTTCTAGAATTGGTTGAATTGAACTGTTTTTACGTAAGAAATGTTTCGTAACAATTAGTTCGTAGACAAAAAAATTATAATCCGACTCAATTTTTGTACTTATGGTAAAATTTGATTTCAAAATTCTACAATCAATAATTGTCCATATAAGTTTTCGTTGTCATCATTTCGTTACAAGGAGAGAAAATAAGAGCAATTTTGAGATGGATTTTATAAAGACAAAAATGTGGAACAGGTAATTTTTGCCTTTTAACTAAGATCCGAAAATCCGTTTAGCTCAGAAGCTCAATCAAGGTTCGGGATGAAACCAACATGGAATCAAGAGATTCCTCAGCATTGGGTCGACCAGGGACTGACAATGGACGACCTTAAAGCTGGTTACAAAGTAGTGCATGCTTGTAAGTTGTAAGTTCGCTGGATTGAAGTTTGTTCATGAATATTTTAGACCTCCTCGTTGGCATGATCATCTGCATCATAAATTACGTCATTTGCTGGAAGGTGAGGAAGAATATTCATCCGATGAAACTCATAGGCGAAATTCCAATGACAAAATTCGAAAAGTATGCTTTTGCTTGTCAACTTGGACGCGAACCTGCAATCAATTTCGTCAATTCTACTCTGGTAACAAACGATCGAGCGTATGTCGTTCTTCGTTTGATTCTCGGGCTTACTTCAACTCTTGGTCAAACTTTTGTTGGAGCAAGTACTCCGCTGCGCGGTCTTAATTATCCAATAGGTCGGTTGGTTGTTTTTCAATCGAGAAATAAGGAAGTGTCTTTAGCCTTGATTCTGACAGTCTACACGAATTTCAACAGAAAATTGATAATTCTCGGATTTGGGAGCAAAATGCAGACGCTCAACAAAGTCCATTCCTACTTCTTCAATTGCCAGGTACTTCTGACTTCAAAAAACACCCCTGAACATCTGTTTTTAAAGCTCATTCTTGCTGTTTTCATCACAATCTCAAACTGGACGCAATGGTTTGGATTATTTCCTTTTCGAGACATGTCTCGGAAGCCTGATTTATCCCATAATTTGATGGCGATCAAAGAGTTTTCTCCGTTAATTCTACTGCTCGTTGATTTACTTTGGTTGGAGACAAGAGGTAATCGAAGATGAGGAATAATTTTTTTAACAAAAAATGATAGTTCATTTCGCCGGCGTCTGGCACGCTATGACGACAATGACTTCAATGACTCTCTTGCTGATTGCCGGTCAAAAGCAGCAGCCTCAGGCAGTTCTGTACGTACATCAAGATCTGTAAAGTAATGATGATGATGTTTCAGAGCACCAGTCGACCAACCTGCAAGAACACTACCACAAACCCATATTGCCATGATTGCGATTCCGACAATCCAGTTGGCGATCTCCCTCCTTTGCGATTTAAAAATCTGGGTTCTGAGACAACTCCCTGTCATTGGCGAACGAGTCCGACTGCGAGAAAGCCTCATCGAGAATTTTCGAAAACGACAAGCTTTCACGAAACATTTTCCAGTAACGAGAGCAATGCGACGACAGACGGCGACTACGAATGAAATCTTCAAGAAATTCGGACGCGTCTCGCAAAAACAATCTATTTTACGAAGACTTCAACAGAGAAATCAACAAAGAAACCAAGTTGGTGATAGAAGAATATCACAGACTTATGGAAGAAGACGAATGTCTGTTGCGAATGCGCTGATGACTGTTGAGAGTCTTGATTCATTTGAGTATGACTGACATGCTTTTCTGGTAGTTTAATAAACTTTGTTTTATGTGAAGTTGATAAACTGTACTTTATTGGAAAAAATGGGGATTGATAAGTTACAGATGTTATGAAATCATTCATGGAAGCACAGCTTGTAGAGGTTATTTTATTTCATTTTCGTAAGTCTAAAAAACGCGTCTCTAGAACTTCTGTAATCTTCATTATTATTTGCCAGTACAGTTATCAGTTTGAGCGGTCAAATAAGAACGATCAGGGTGATGAAATAAAAGTGTTTTAGGACTTTAAATTTAGGCTAAAACTTTTAGTACTATGGAAACAAGACTTGGAATGGAGTCCACCTGGAATCATGAAATTCCCCAACATTGGGTCGACAAGGGTGTGACGATCAATTTTCTTCAAATGGGGTACAAAATAACTCATATTTGTAATTTGACATTTGTGTTCGTAAATCATATTGCGCCGTAGATCTTATCGTCTTGGTCATAATTTCATTCATCAATTACGTTATAACATGGCGAGTGAGAAAAAAGATTCATCCGATGAAACTCATCGGCGAAATTCCAATGACAAGATTCGAGAAGTATGCTTTTGCTTGTCAACTTGGACGAGAACCTGCGATCAATTTCGTCAATTCTACTCTGGTGACAAATGATCGAGTTTACGTCCTTCTACGTCTTATTCTTGGGCTTACTTCAATCATGCGTCTTACATGGGTTGGATCAAGTACTCCATTCCGTGGCCTGAACTATCCTATAGGTACAGTTTTAATTTTCTCACTGGTGAAAATTTTTGATAGCTGTGATTTTAACAATATACACGAATTTCAATAGAAAAAAGATCATCCTCGGATTTGGAAGCAAAATGCAGACGCTTAACAAAATTCATTCTCTTTTCTTTAATTGCCAGGTAAACATAACAGTTCAAAGTATTAATTAATTTGTTGACAAGATTATACTCTCGCTTTTCATCGCAATAACCAATGGAACAAAATGGCTTGGATTCTTCCCTTACCGTGACATGTCCCGTAGATGGCCAGATATGACAACAATCATGATGATCGCCAAAGAGTTTGTACCATTAATTTTTCTTCTTGTTGAAATACTTTGGTTCGACACAAAAGGTATACATAATATTACTTTCCTAGTATCTTTTTTTAAGTATCGTTCGCGGGCTGCTGGCATGGGATTATTTCGACAGCAATCGTCGTTCTTGCAGTGTTTGCTGGTGCGAAACAAACTCCACAAAATATCGTGTAGGCTTTATTGAATAAGTATAATGTCTGAGCACAAGATTAAGTGCACCAGTTGACCGCCCTGCAAAAAGCCTGCCTCAGATCCACATTTTCTTCGTTGGAATACCAGTTCTACAATCAGTATTAGCAACACTCTGCCTTTTTAAACTATGGATCCTCAAGAAATTGCCCGTTATCGGTGACAGAATCAGAAATCGAGAAAATCTCATCGAGAATTTTCGAAGACGGCAAGCATTTTCAGCACTGTTTCCCACATCGATAGAAATGGCGAGGCGACGAACGACCACTACGAATGAAATCTTCAAGAAATTCGGGCGTGTTTCGCAAAAATCGTCGGTTTTGCGAAGAATTGCTCAGAAAAGAAATGTTGTTGGTCCAGGAGATAAAAGAATCTCTTATGGGGCGCGGCGAATGTCAATTGGGAATAGGCTGCTGACGGTTGACAGTTCTGATACTTTGACTGATTGTGTCTGAAATTTTTTCCATGAATAAAAAGGTGTATTTATTTGAAGTTTATTTACAGTCATTTATTGAAAAAAAAAATGCGCATTGATCAGAAACAGGTGTGTTGAACAGTGAATGCTTTATCTTAAAATTTTGTGGTCTGTCACAATGGATGCTGAGGTTTTTTTCTTTCGATAGTTTAGTTAAAGTTTGGGCTAAAGTTAAAATTGTCGAGGCTTGATTTTATCAACTGCTGTCGAATTTGTACTCGCTGACGCGTGAAACTTTTGGAATAAAATTTTGAGTCTCGTGGGGTTCGGTTGCGTCGATGGGGTCGAGGGAATCGTCGCGGATGATCTTGAGGTCGGGGTCTTCCGTGTTCATTTGGAGGTAGCCGTTGGTGGCGTTGGAGCTGGAGGATTCAGCTTTGCCGGATTGGAGGGAGGCGTTGAGACTTGCTCGGGAATCTCTGAATGTTCTGGTGAGAAGGCATCAAAAGAAAAATGGTCTTACTTTTGAAGTTTCGATCGTTTCTTGAAGTGAAAGCTAACAACAATCGCTCCTAAAATTCAACATCAATACGATGGTCTTCATTGACCTCTACTTACCGAGAATGACAACAAGGCCAATTACTCCTCCGACAACAATCATATTCATCCCAGCTGCATCAGGGTCAGCTTCGAGCATTTCATTTCTTTCTGTTTCCACACTGGTTGTGAGTTTTTCTGTGGAAAGGATTCTCGGTTCTTTTGTCATTTTCAAAGTTGCTGATGTTTTTTTCTGGGTAGTTGTCGTTGTCGTTGTTGGGGTAGGAGTTTGGGTTGTAGTCGTTGTCGGCTTCGGAGTTGAAGTAGTAGTTCTAGTTGTCGTTGTTGTTGCCGATTTCGTTGATGTTTCAATTTTCTTTGTTGAAATCGGGTTGACCAAATCTGGCTCGAGAACAATAAGCTCATCGGCATCTTCTGCGCCTTGTGATTTCTCGGCAATTACTTCCTCTTCTTTGATTTCAAGAGTTGTTGTCACATCCGAGCTGGCTTTTGGACCATCAGTTGCGACTTCCGTCACAACAATACTTTCAAGTTCGGCAAGGTTTGGCATTGTTTCTGTCGATTCTGATGTGTTTGGCTTATCAGATGATGATTTTTGGCTAATTGGTGATTGCGTTGGAATCACAGGTGCGTTTGAGGAATTTGGCTTTTCCGTGACGATTTCAGGGGAGTCATAAAATGGGACTGCGATGATTCCAGGCACTTGATAATCTGAGTTTGATACAACCACGCTGAAGGACATGTCTTTTTGGTTGAATCTCTTCCGTGCGACACTGTTCGAGACTGCAGTTTTGTCTTTCATTTCCTTTTCGCGAGCTTTTTTTCAGTCGTTTAAGGGGTTGAAGGCATAAAATTGATCGTTGATATTAATTGTTTTTGAGAAAATTGAAGCTCATTCCTGAAGCGAAAGTGATTCTGCTTTGACGATTGCTGCGACATCCCATTTGCCCGAATTCGTTCCAAGTTCCCGGACGGAGACAGATAAAATTTCCTTTTCGACGGATGATCCGAGCGATTTCTTAATTGCGCTTGCGACATCTTCTGTGAATTCGACTTCAGAGCGGCCCGGGGCTTTGTCAGAAATGAGGTAGGAGAGGTGGAAAATCCCCGTCGAGGGCTCACTAAGAAGATGATAGAAATAGGTATGAAAAAGATGAAGAGGGAGTACCTTGTTGTTGCTTTTGACGGTGTTGAGGTTGTTGTCACTGTTGATGAGGTAGTTGTCGTTGTCGTTGGGACAAGAGTTGTTGTTGTTGGCTTTTTGGTTGTCGTCGTCGTTGTCGTACTCGTCGTAGTCGTCGTCGTCGTTGTTGTTGTGGTTGTTGTGCTTGTGGTTGTTGTTGTCGGCTTTTTCGTTGTCGTCGTCGTGGTAGTTGTCGGAGCAAACTTGGCAAACATCTTCTTGTAAGTCTCCGTTCCAACACAATTTTCGTCGACTTTGTCCATATCGGGCTCTCCAGAACACCAAAGTACAACATCGTTCTCATGATCATACAGATTCGCTGGAGTGTAACCCCAGTATTTTGAAAATGGGAAACGAGCGTATTTTCCCCAAGAAAGTCGATCTGATCGCTTCAGCGGAGTCGTCTGGCCGCCGAAAAGGCATTGGCGTAGAGATTGCTCTCTTCCTAGAATTCAAAATAAGGTGAAAGGTTTGATGATTGAATATTACCTCTGCATTTGAGGGACCACATCCAAATATGCATGTATTCAGAATCTTTCTCCGTCAGAGTCATTTCTTGAAGAACATCTTTTTTCGCTTTATACAATTTCGCTCCTTCCGAAAATCCCATCGACCGGCAAGCAATATCTGCGGCAACTTTTGTAAATTCATCAGCAGAAACTGATCCAAATTGACCGGCATGCGAGATTTCCAAGCGGCCCCAGTTAAGCGCATCGTCTCCACCAGTTAGTCGAACTCGACCTAGAAGAAAATTTTTGATGAAAAGCGCGTCAAAAATGTGTGAAGCAAATTGATAAGCTCGAAAGGCCAAGTGCTCGTTGCGGTTTCGGCACTATACATTTTCAGAAGAAAAAATGACGTGGTACAACTTGGCGAGTCAAAATCTGACATTCCAACTTTTGCCGTTTTTTCGTTTTATCATTAAAACAACTTCCGGAACTTGCTGCTGAAAAACATTAAACGCGGTTATAAAACAAGAAATGTTTGAAAAAATAATTTACAGCCGTGTTTAATAGTTTCCACTCTGGCACCGCGCCCAGCCGGCTTATCTCAGAATAAGAGGCGGATATCAATTTAAGCTGCTTCTATATGTGAAAAAATTTAAACTGCTTAGCAATTGACTTTTGATCTTGTCACTGTAATTTGGGGAGAGGAACGCGCTTCCCCCTGTTTCAGAGAGAACTGTGGTGTTACTGTACCTTCTCTGCAGGAGCCACCAGCTTCAGAATTGCTCAAAGTCGTTCTATGAGGACAAACAGTTTCCGGCCCAAATCCAATATCCTTCGCAAATCCACAATGGAGGACAACATCATCGTCATGGTCAAAATTATGGCCAAGTTTGCTCCCCCATCTTTTCTCTCCAGGGCAACAATAACTTAATTCCTCTTTTACAAAAAAAGCGAAGAGAAGAGGTATACTTACCCTAGAGTAGGCTCATCCCCGTGGCAATCGAGGCCAAAGTACCCCGTGGGCAGGTCTTTTTGTTGCACCATAAAGCGGTCTTCGTAGTTCAACTTGTCCTTCCATTGTCCAAGTGTGCCCCAGCCCATCACGCATCCGAAGCTAGAATTTTTCGTTATTTTGGAAATTTATTTTTCATTTTCAAAGTTGATCTTAAGAGGGTCCAGCACGTCACTCAACAGCAAAAAAAAAGCGAGGCCATAATTTGATTGATTACGACGTGCAAATCAGACTTGACGGTTATAAATCGCCAGTTATGAGTTTTGCTTTGTGCTTTGGTGAGCTCGGTGAACTCATCAAAGAGCTCAGGTGGCTCATGAAGCAGGGCAAGAACCAGGTGAACTTACCGCAGAGCTTCCGATTACTTTTCGCTAGATAGATTTTATTATTTACGATTCTAGCGCTTTCGAGCGAAAATTGACAATAATCATTTTTCAATGAATACCAAAAGGACCGTTTTTTCCAGTCTTTAATCATCCTTGATTTCATTTAAAAAATGACTAAAAAGACAAATTTGTGAAAATGATCTGGTCTATCACCTTCTGCCAGGCTTCTGGGCTAATCAGTGATCAATAATGAATTTATCCTTTTTATGTTTTATTTTCATTTAAAGTCAGCTTATTTCCGCCTCGCCGGAACACAAGTCTAAAGCGGTCACTTTGTTCGCTCCTTCCGGCCTTTTTTTATAAACGTCGATAGTGTGGCCCCTTATTTTACGTGAGCCATGCTTTCGCCAATAAGGCGCCAAGCGTCAATTTCACTGAAAGTTTAACTCACCCTAATCCGGTACAAGCGACCATGGCTTCGCTGTAGTCGAATCCGATCTTGCTCAGTGTTCCCCATTCTTGCTCGATTTCGTTAAAAATTTGCAGCGCGCCACGCCCGTATACTTCTGTTTCGCCAGCTAGTCGAAGTTGTCCTGAAGAATAAAAATTTAAAATCTTTGAAAATTTTGAAAATTTGGGGTTCCGATTTTTTTGGCATTTTTCAAAATTTTTTTTTGAAATTTTTGAATTTTTTTTTTATTTTTTTCAAAATGTATAAAAAACAAGATCTAAAATGTTGTTTATTAAAAGCTAGAAACAATTGTTTTTATCTTTTTATTCCTTATTTATGGCTGCATGAAGGGAGCTTGCAAATGGCCGCGGTCTGGCGCAACTCCAGCGCCAGAAATAAGCATACCACCGCGGATTTATTTTATTCCCGCTGACGCCGTATTTACGCGCGTGTCCCTTAACGAATTCAAGAATTATGGTATTTTCAATCCATTCGAAATCGCTTTTTTTTAATTTCGCTTAAAATCTGTCCAAAAAGGTCTTAACTTCTCAAGGCACGTGGTCCAATCATTGGACCACGGCGACTTTTACCTCCTGTATTTCCCGTTCTAGTAATCTGTTTGACCTGAATTTTGTAATGTGAGCTGATAGGACGAAAACGAACCACTTTGTGAAGTTTCGAATGAAAACTCAAAAGTGGTGGCGTTTTGCGCCATATTTCTCTTTCGCTCTCTGGTGGAATATCGAAACGGATTTTTCGACTTACAATTGTAAATTATTATAGAAGAGGGTTCAAGCTCTCTAACAATATATTTATAATCTTTTTTACTTAATGGAAACGTCAATTAGAGCCAAAAGTTCTGAGCGCTATTTTTCACACTATGAATTGGGTGCGCCGCGCGGGGCTGGATAATGCATTGTGGTCCAATTATTGGACCCCGTGTTTTGAGGGTATAGTAGCGCGCCCGTGTTTTGAGAAGTTAAGGTTCTTAACCCCCTTAAGGTCTAATAGACAAAAGCGAAGAGGGATATTTGTGGTTATTCACTCACACGCTCTGACTTATGAAAAAGTATGTTTTGACAAGTGTCCATTTTTATTCTCAACTGCTCGCGCGTGTAAGCCACCGTTTTGTAATCATAAGCAGTTGAAGCTTTCAAAGGCCGGTTTGTGTTGCAAAATATTTAGACTGGACGCCAATAGAGCCTTGTCCTTTTGGCGCACGATTGTTACAGCAGGTTAATCGCGAACCGGTGCGAATGGGGTGTAAATATATAAGCTCGCTTATTTGTAATGGCTAACAATTTAAGCTGGTTGGTTTAACCCACTTGTGCGTATCAATGAAGCCAAAGACCTTCGCCAAGAAATTCGACTCGAAATCAACATTCAATTCTTGAAGGCCCAAGTTCGTCGATAACATTTCGCAAGAAGGGCCTAAGATGGCCATTTCGGCACAAAAATAAAGCATTTTCGACCGGAGCCAAAAATTTCAAAAGAAAAAGTTTCCGTCGAACCGGATTCGAACCAGTGACCTAGAGATAACTGCTAACCCTCTACAGTCTCCCGCTCTGCCAACTGAGCTATCGACGGCTGGGTACCTTTCTTCAAAGATGCAACTATACATCAACCCTTTTTAAATCGGCGTTACTAGTACTGTTATCATTTCATTTTCATCTTCAATGAATCTAAAATTGACCTTTGATCGTGGTCACTTACCGTGATAATTTTGCCCGTGTTGAGTTAAATTTCTCCATTGTTCTGGACTCGGGACTTTTTCCTTCATCATTTCGCATATTCCAGCCACTAGATTTGGGCTAAGCCCAAGCGCTACCGATAATTTCATCCCTCTTCTTCTTGTTTGTACAGTTGTTCTCGTTGTTGCTGTTGTTACAGTAGGCCGATCATCGATTGGAAAAAGCCTGAACTGAAAAAGTGTTAATTACTGGTGTGTGGTTGGATCATCAACCGGATGGTCATTTAAAGAGCTCCTAAGGGTCTGACACTTGAAATATGCGTTGCAGGAATTTCAAAAATAAATGCTAGAAATTCCAAAGAAAACTTGCAAGCTGAGGAATTTGGCAAAACAGGAAATGATTGATAGATAACCTGATCGCCTTAAAATTCTTTTGGCTGCAATATTTTAAGGGACCCCGCCCGGTAAACTAACTGCGGTATAAAAAGTGATAAGTTGGCTGCAATTGGGACCGGAAGGTGGGGACGAATCTGAAGGGAGGTAATAAGGATATAACGCGTTTTATAATTGAGTTCAGGGCAGTTGTAAAATTTAGAAGAAAAAGAAAGAAAGAGCTTATCAATTGGGACAACAGGAGAAACATTTATACACCTGTAGGTTATCAGCTTTACAAAGGACCCCTTGGCCCGCAGTTTTTACAAGAGCTTATAAGTTGGCATGAACTTTTAAGGGGGTAGACACAAGAGCATATATTCAAGCAGAATTTTCACTGAGAATATCATAGTGAGACCCTTATTTTTTCTACTCGAAATAAAGAGAAGACCCTAAAAGGTGTATTTTTAAAATAAGAATCCCCAAAAAAATCGGACAAAAAAATTTTTAAAAGAAAAACGCTTTCTCTTCTTTTGAGTCTTTTTTTAACCTCTTACTCTCTGAATTTTCTTAAATCTGAATCTCGCTCAATCCCCTTCTGTCCTTTTCGTCCTCTCAAATTCCCTTTCCGAGTAATTTCCTCAGAAGGATAAGCAGCCTATTCTCTTTGTCTTGGTTTCGATTTCAATATTTCTTGTTTAATTTTTTTTTCTTGAGTTTGAGTTTTCTGAGTTTCGAAAAGTGTCTATTTCTGGTGAAAATTGGCGCCAAATCTGTCAGTGGAAAATATCCTCTCCGTCATGGTGGAGGGCTGGAGCGGTGCCAACGCGCTCCCGTGTTTTTTCAGCATTACACCGCCGCACCACCGAAAACTATCATCACGTGACAGGCCAGGTACAGAAGGAAGCCCGCACCTGGGAGAAGCTTTCCGAATTATGACATCGTTTACATTGATAACGAAGGAATTTCGCAAGAGCCATAGTTTCCTTCGAGGCCTAGTCAAAATTTTTAAGGGGGTAGACCCCGTTCAACAGGGTTTTCTTAACCCTAATTCTGTCTCAACGAAATCGGATGATATAATCATGAGAGTCGCTAAATTCTCAATCAAAGTCCTATTAAACCATTCCCGGAAGAGCTAATCAAGAAAAGAGAAAAGAGGCTCCGGTTTGCTGAGACGGGATCGTAATTCGGAAGCGCCGATAAGATAATAAGCATTGATCAAAGATCAAATGCCCCCCGATAAACCTCTGAGCTCCTGGTTTTTATCTCGATCTGTCTACACGAAATCATGAAGAATCGGTACTTTTTTTCGGAAAATTAAAAGAAATTGACTTTTTTCTGTTCAATTAATTTTATTCTTTGAAACATGAACTTTTTTCCTTTGAAAGGACTCGCTTTTGAAAGCCCGTCTGGCAAGATCCACGCGGACTGGGGTTAACCCTTTGAAGCGCTGAAAACTTTGACTTGGCTGTTGGTTGAACTTCCGCCCCACTGAATACCCTCCTTTTCATCGAGTTAGCATCTTTTCACGGGAATGGCGTTTCCTTTGGCGATTTCCCGCGATTTTCGTTACTCCCGTTTTAATCCGCAAATACGCCACATAAATGGCCATTTTATGAGTTTAAGGACTTTCTGGGTGGTCTTTCCAGATAGTCTCTCTTTTTTATGATTAAATATTATTTTTTTTTTTCTAACAGAGTTAAGCTAGAGATACCCTTAACTATTTTGCCTATTTTTTAAGCTATTTCCTAACAGAAAAAGCTTTACCAAAATCTAAAAATATTCGAATATTCAAATTGCGCAACATGGAATTTAATGTCTCGACTTTGACCTTGAGGTTCCAGCCCAATTACAGTAATTTCAATTTGCGAAACGAGCCCTTCGTGTTCGGTAATAACCGCCGCCTCTCCAAAAGCGCTTAGTCCCATGTAAATAGCTGTATATTTACGCGAGCTAATGGCGCGTGACTCTTTCCATATTTGAACCCTCGTCAATCTTACCGATTTTTTGACTGAATGTATAATTCGAAAAGGGATCGACCGGGGATAATTAGATTATGCGATCAAAAATAAACCTTTTTTTTCTTGAGAAAAAAAAGGGTTCGAAAATATTATTTTGATTTCAACCCTTTTTTTTCGTCGAGAAAAAAAAAACTGTGAGAAAACAAGGTCGAAATTGTCCTCTCACAGGGCCTTTATTGCAAAATTAAGTAATTTCCGGAACATCTCAGGGCGAAGAAAATCTTGAAGCTCTTGTGAAGCACTCATTATCGCTCATTTTCCGCGTTGAATTTCAGATTGAATCCTTCGCGCTTCTTTTCAGAATTCTCGAAGAATTACTGAATTTCAGATTCTGAAATGGAGCCAGTCTGACGAGGACGGTAATCAAAAGAAAGATTCAACTCGAGTACTGACGCTTTTTTAAACTTCAGAAGAAAAAAGAAAGAAATGCACGATTGATTAATTTTGAATTAGTCTGAAAAAAGCTTGGTGTCAGAGTGCCAAAACAGATCTGTCAAATATTTATTGCTTCCTTCGGTGACCGGTTGGGATACTATTCTCTTTCATTTTAAGGGTGTCAAGAGCAGTTTTTACAGGTCAATCTGAGTAGCGAAATCGGGGCATTTTAGAGTCCAATCAATCGAGCATTTGGCAAAAATCAACAAAAAGAACTGCATTTTTGGAAGACCAATAAGCTTGCTGTATTTTGCTTTCCGGCCAATCAAAATCCAGATGTATGAAATCACTTTCTTTTTTTGTTCTACCCTTAAAATCAACCGAAACTTCTTCCCCTCCTTTAAAAATTCACGAAACAAGACACCTTCAAGTTGTTTTTCAACCCCATTCATCATTCAACCCTTTTTTCCCAACAAAAGTGCCCCCCTCTTTCAAATTCAATCCTCCTCCTAAAGGTACCATACATTCAAGAGCATCATCTTCCAGATTCTCGAAAAAAAATAAGCAAAAGCGATTAATTTCACACCTCATGAATCCTGCCGCTGAGTTTTAGGGTGATAAAATTTTATTTTCACGGATTAGGCTAATGAATCTTATTCAACTTTTTTTTGGCGCGTTTCCTAGCGGAGAAATCAGCGGAATTGCAAGAGGATTTGCTTTTTTTCTACTCAAAAATGCAAACCATAAATCAAAAGTTAACTCAATAAAACTCATAAATAAAATCGAGAAGCCGCTTGCGGCTTCGAGCTTCATAATTGAAAAAGACGCGCGAAGCGCGGCTTTAACTTTTTTTCTCAAAGCCGCGAGCGGCTTTTTCGGGTGAAATTTTCGTTTTAAAACATTATTTTCGAAAATTAATACCCAAAAAAGCCGCTCGCGGCTTCGAGAAAAAAAGTTAAAGCCGCGCTTCGCGCGTCTTTTTCAATTATGAAGCTCGAAGCCGCAAGCGGCTTCTCGATTTTGATTTCTGATCTTCATAAAAAACCATATCATGGACCCCATAAATTGGCCGTGAATGAAAGATGTTAAATGGCGGTCTCCGGAAAACGCGGCCAACCGCGTCGAGTACTCACACGTACGATGTTTCTTCGAAAAAAAGGGATGAAGGGAGGTCGTTTATCTCTTTTATCAAAAAATGGGCCCATTGACGAGCGGGATTTTCAAGGGAAAGATTTAAAAGGGGCGGTACAGATGTACTGAAAGGCGTAAAACAAAAACGGATCCGGCGATACATTTATGACTCTTTTTCTTCTTTTCTGATGCTAATTCACCTCAGAAAAACGACCTTTTTACGTGCCCGTTAGTGATTGATGGGGAAACAAAACTCAATGGAATTCCACAACTTTTGATAATTGAAAAAATGCTTTGTGTATTATGTGTTTTTTTTCTTATCAAATTTATATTATTTTATTTTCATTGAAAAAATTCTTGACAATGAGTTGATACCCTTAATTTAAAGCAACAGGCCTTACTGAAACTTTTTATTTATAATTTAAAAATGATAATAAAATTTTTATATAATAAATATATTATAATTTATAAATTATAAATATGAAGTTGTCAGTACGGGTCGCTGCTTTAAATTAAGGGTATCAACTTATTGCCAACAATTTTTTAAATGAAAAGAAAATTCCAATTTCTGCGCAAAAATGATAATCGCTTTGAAATATTTTGTCCTTTTGAAATATCCGAATTGAACCCAAAATGCTGGCCAGTAAATTGAACATTTGGCACTTGAAATGGGCTGAAACTCAACCCTTGAGCTTCTGAGCTCTAATCCTCTTCCAACTTCTCACTTTTCAAATTTTCATTTTTTCTGTCTTTACCTTTGTTTTTCTTCGTGTTTTTTCGCTTCTTATCTCTCGAGGGCGAAATATAAATGTTTAAAAATGTATAAATTTAAGACTTGGTCAGGGAGTTATCGCGGCAGAGAGCGTTGATAACAGAAAAAAAAATTGAAAGAGGAAGAAAAAAATAAAGCGCGGCGGCGGGCTGTTAGCGCGGCGCAAAGTGCGCTAGAGCGGACCAAGAGCGCCATCACGAGATCAAGAGAACAGACTCTGTCCAACTTGGCTTCCTCAAGCTTCGCAAGGAAGAAAAGGTTGTACTAAAAGAAGATTTGAAAATATAAGAGTATGGTCGATTTTAAGGGGGTCGGCATGATATTTCGGCGTTTTTTCTTGGAATTTATCCCCTAAAGTTTACAAAGTGATACCCTTATTCTAACTCGCAAATAAAAATCTATCGCTTCTATCGAAATTTCAATTGATTTTGACATTATCATTCAGGACCCCCATCAAGAATCATGAAAATGGGGTTAGGGTTAGGAAAACTATCTTAGGTAGACCCTTCTAGTTGCTACCTTAGATCAGACCCTCAACTGCAACTGTTCTTCAATTGATAATCTCTCGATTACCAATTTAAGGATATACAAGCCCTTAAAGCCCTTATTGAATATCTACATTATATTGGCTTTGATCCCTTACATTAACCCTAACCTCAACGAAAATGCTAACCCTAACACCAACCTTATAAGTCGTCACACCTCGATCAAGAAAGAAAATTCTAGCGTCAATAAATTTCAACGCCCTAAAAACTTTGTTGAAAGATTTTTCAATCTCGGAGACCGAGAAATTTTGGCATCCTTCCTGAATGTCGAGTTCTATTGTGTTTTTTCGTGTTTTTCGTCGGCGACGATTGTTGAATTTTTGTCAACTTTTTTTTTGAAATCTCGCTCAAGTGGGGTTACAAGAGCGTGGCTCTGAGTACCACTTGGAATTCAACAAGAAGAATAATTATTGGGAGTAATTTGACATAAGCTGATGTTTTCAAAGAAAAAGGGGCTTTTTGGTTGCTAGAAATCTGTGAATAGTTTTACATCACTGATCCGTTAACTTTTAACACCCGGAAAAAGGTCAGCCCGTCAGAAACTCTGCGTCATGAATCATTATTTACGGCGAAAATATGTTTTATGCGAAAGTCAAGTCTCTCTCTCGTAATTGCTCGTAATGAGCAGTAAAGTTCAATACTATGTAAAAATATAACAAGACAACGCCTTGGCAAAGATGTGCGAATGATGAGGAAAAGGGAAACTTGCCCGCATAAAATGAGCTTCAGTAACGACTTACAGTCATTTTTAGTAGAGAATACTTATGATTAGCGAGAATAGATTGAAGGCTGATCTTTTCGTTCACTGTATCGGCTTGTTAATTCTTTCGGTTTGGCTGATTACGAATGAACAAGTTCTTATTCATTTTTTCAACGATGCAATTGACGCAACCCAAATTTGGGACAATGATGAAAAAATCGACAAAAGTGATTGGGAAAATTGGACAGGAATGATTGTTGGTTGCTTTGGAATCATAACTGCGTTATTTGGATGCTTCATCACAATGAAATCAAATCAGACGAACTTTGCGTTTAATTTTAAACAACTCATGGTAGCAGCAAGTCTCAATCTTCTCTGTACCCTTGCCTCGATGGCGAAAACAATTTTTTTTGATTTCATCGAGCTGTTTGAAAATAAGCATATAAGGGAGGAACTAACTGATTCTTTCGAATTTATTCGAGTTCTCCTTATTGCAACTACTATTTGCTACGTCCTTGTGGCTTGCTTTTCATACCATATTGTTAATAACTTTGGATCAGCATTTCAAGTAAGGGCATAAGAAAATTATGAGCGAATGACAAATCTTTACAGTGTTGCTCTGAAATCTTTTGTTGCATTAAAGAACCAAGTCCTTTTGATCCTCAATCTCTTCGCTCAGAGAATCAACCAGTCGAACTTCAAAATCGACAAAACGAAGGGGTACAAGCTTCACCAGTAGAAAGAAGAAACAGTTATCTCTCTGTTATCCAGGAAGAAAGAGAAGAAGTGGAAATTGTGCGGCAAAATTCGCTTCCTTCAGATATTCAACAACGTCTTGATAATGCAGAGAGCCTTCTGGGCACCTACAAGTCGAAATATTCCAAACGCCGTAAGCACCAAAGTATTTGATTAAGAATAACTACATCATTTTAGCTGGGGAAGCGATCAACGAACAAGACCGAATTAGCGACCTGGAAAATGTCACGAGCCAGATGATGCAGCAAATGACGGAGATGAGCCTCATCGTCAAGCGATTCGAAAAAACCATGATCACCAAAACCATCATCGACAGAAAAAAAAACCGCCAAAGCCAGTTCGAAAACCGCTCTTTACTGAAACCGGGACAATTATTTCTGAGAGTTCAGTCGGAACCTATCGATCCGAAGAGCAAGAATTTTAGCTCAATAAATTGAAAAACCATGATTTATTGGTTGCTCCTGATTCAGCAGTCCTGAATGTTTCGCCCGCTCAATCATCAATTTTGGCAAAAGTACCTCTCGTTCGCGGTGTTCACGAAAGCCGCCTGGGCTTTGGTCGATTAATCATCCGCAGCGACTCGCCAGTGCAAGCTCCGGACGCGTTTCAACTTGAAAGGCCGAGTTGAGCTCGAAGATAACCGGTCGCTTATTTTTAGATGCTTCGTGGCTCATCATTTCAAAATAGAAAAAAACGATTTTCGACTTTTTTTGTATTTTGATGGCAGGAGCGTGTGATAACCTTTGGTTGTTTATGGAACATCAAGGACAAATAGTGGAATTTGTTATCGACGCTAGAATTGTGTAGTCAAAACTTGACCCGTCTTTCGCCCAATTTTTCATGTACCATGTCTTTTTTATTGTTTTTTCAAAATAGAAATTGCAATTTCGACGACTAAAAATAAAATTATAAAATTTTAAATTTTTGACAATTTCGATGAGTCATATTTCTGGGCAGAATCAACTTGATTCTTAGAAAAGAAAGTGATTTAATAGATCAGGATTTTGATTGGCCGGTAGGCCAAATTCAACAAGCTTATTGGTCTTCCAGAAATGCACTTGCTTTTCTAAGGGGTCTACATTCTCGATAATCAAGTCTCAAAACATGATTATAAATTCTTCAAAGATCAAATCAAAGACCAAGCTGATGTCCTCCGATTCTTCCGACTTCGCGGCCCGTCCCATTCTTCCTCCCTTTTTTACTCAGATAGGAAGTGACGAGTTTGAGAAATTGCTCTTGATCCGATTTCCTTTATAATTCACATCCACATTTCAAAAAAGCGGTGAATTGCCCTCGCGTTTCCGGAAAATTTGGAAAGCTTTCAATCAAAAGTTGACTTTTTGAAACTTTCCTTTACAAAAAAAAACAGAATGATTATTAACATGTTCTTGAAACTTTCTGAAGCTTTGTGCTCTTATATTTTCAGAATTCTTTTCAAAGAAATGAGCATAAAAGTTCATTTTGTATGCCAATCAAATAGAAAAAAGGACCTTTCATTGAGCTCTAGAATCGCTTGAAATCTGACTTTGAAAAAAATGAAGGAGAGAATTATTCAAATCGCTTTTTGCGCTGCAATTTTGCTGATTTTTGCATCGCAACTTCTGCTCTTGTTCTTGGTAGGCGCCCAGAAAAGGATCGAAAACCTCATTTTTCTAGCGAGAAAATCGGACAACGCGGATTCTTCCCCTTCTCCGCCAGAAAGTCCAATCCTCCCCGCCGTAATCACAACTTGGGGTTACGTCACCGCAACTAGCGAAGCTTTCGAAGTCATGCGCGTTGGCGGATCGGCGGTAGACGCCATTACCACTGGCACGGCAAGTTGTGAGCGCGACAGATGTCGAGGAACAGTCGGTTGTGGCGGGAGCCCTGATGAAAATGGCGAGACAACCCTCGATGCGATGATAATGGACGGAGAAACGCACAATGTGGGCGCAGTTGGAGGACTGAGAAGATGCAAAAACGCTGCTCAAGTCGCGAGATATGTTTTTGACAACACTGATCACACCTTGCTCGTTGGAGATCAAGCATCAAACTTTGCATTCAACTTCGGCTGCGTCGAAGAATCCCTGACATCCAACGACTCTGCCGCTGATCATCAAACGTGGCTTCAGGGCAACTGCCAGCCGAATTACTGGAATAACGTGACACCTAATCCTGCTTATTCTTGTGGCCCTTATCAATTAGCAACGATGAGAACAGAGATGAATGAAGAACGAGTCAAAGCTTTGAGAGCTGAAATCAACGAGGACAATCACGATACGATCGGAATGGTCGCTCTTGATTTGAATGGAAAACTAGCTGCAGGTATCAAAATAAGCTCAAGCAAGTCAATTTTGAACAGGAACATCGACAAACGGAAAACGTCGAAAAATTGCCGGCCGAGTTGGCGATTCACCGATTCCAGGCTCTGGCAGTTACGCTGGCCCAGCTGGTGGTGCTGCGGCAACTGGCGATGGAGACATAATGATGCGATTCGTGCCTTCCTATCAGGCTCATGAGAACATGAGACTAGGAATGACCCCTGGTGAAGCGACGAAAGATGCGATGCAAAGAATTATCGATGTCTTTCCGAATTTTAAAGGCGCTCTAATAGGCATTGGTCAATAAATCATAAAAATAGAAAATTAAAAGAAAAATCCGCCGACCAAAATAAGCAATGAATAAATACGGTGAATACGGAGCCAACTGCCATGGTGACTACGAAAATGGATACTTTCCGTTCATGATTCAAGTCAGAAAATTACTTCTTGCGTGTTTTCAAATATTTTTCAGCGAAACGACGATAAAGACCCGATTCAAATCCAGATTGCTTGTTCATTGTAAAATTGAACTTTTAATAAATTGTTAAAAACCGTCTAAAACTGTACTTTGATCCTCGAAAAGAAGTGGTTTGATAGTGGTTGCAAAAAGCTTGGTTAATATTTAAAAACTTTTCAGTAGAAGTAGATGCTTTCTCGTGCTCAATTGACAATTGTCATTTGGTTTGTTGAGAATCGAAATGCGACCCTTTTTTCTTTTTCTTGCATTTTTAGCAATTGATCAGGCGAGTGCCGTTTCACACAACGAAGAAATGATAAGGCACCTCAATGACATTGCCCATCATAAGTAGGGGTCAAAAATTGATCAGTTTTTTTCCCTTGAAGACTCTTTCTTGACCCCCAGAAAAGACAACTTTTGAAAAACATGTCGGAAAAGACGGAGTTGTCGAGAAAAATGACGAGATTTTGAATCATTCACTTCGACAAAAAGCAATTGAGAGCAAACTTTTGTCGATGCGGAAAAATCAAAGATTACAAGCATACATAAAAGCTCGAAAGGAAGAAAAGAACCGAATGAAATCAGTTAATTGCAAGTTTGTTCAATCGACGTATTGCAAAAAAAATAATGAGAAATTAAATATTTCTTTCAATAAAGCACCAAAATTCTTTTTGTTGATTTTTATGTTTACCCTCGTACCGATTTCAAATGAGTCAACCATTTTTATGACTGAACAAACTCGCATATTTCAAGTAAAAAAAGAGAAACACTTTTAGGCAATGAGTTTCATAAGCCCAAAAGCATCACCGAGCATACCTTCCGTTTCTGAAAGCGTTGTTAGCTACGACAAAGAAAACGACAATTCCGATAAAACGGGTAGGACCTTCATTTATCTCAAGTGGGCTTGAAGTTTCAGAGTTTTCAGAGCTATCTGGAAATAAAATTGAAGAAATTATCGACTGTCGTTTGGAATCAATCCGGTCTGAGCTTCTTGAACTTCAAAAACTTCCGTGGGAAGTTCGGAAATTAAAAGAGCGTGCTTCGGTACTAGAAAATGAAAATGAGACAAAAAGCTTGACCATCAAGGCATTGGAAGAAAAAATAGACAAGATGGCGTTAGAATTGGAGATAAACCGGCCAAAACAAAAGATGATTGCATTAACAATAACAATTCTGAAAGCTTTACTTGTGATTTACTTGTGAAGATTGCTCTTTCATGGTATTTGTTGCCTGTTATAAACCGTGAATTTAGAGAGACCCGGGAGGTCTTCTACTGGCGTTTTTGGGGTGGTTTTAAATATTTCTTAGAGGACACTTTTTCCCGACTGGTGATCATGCTTATTGCTCTGACAATATCCAACACTTTCATTTCTTCAAAATTCTTTTCTAGGCTTGTTTCTTTTCTAACGGTAGGATACACTGCATATCTTATCATTTTTCATACAAATTTCAAAAGATACGAGGGAATGTCTAACCTTGATCGACAATTTCATTCCTTGCTAAACCCTCAATTTTAAATTCTGAAATAAAGAATTAACTTGCTTTAGAGGGCTTTGCTCATCATGTTCCTACAACACTCAGTTCGCTAATCAAAAACGCATTTTTCACGCACTGATCATTTTACCCCAACAACTCCCAATTTTCTCCATTACTGCGTTGTTTTCAAACTTGGCGCCCTTTTATTCGTTGCGCAATTTACTAAAACTCAACAATCGAGCTCTTCGATTTTTTTCTTTTCTTCTAGAAAAAAGTCGTTTTGAAGAGAGAAATTGAATAAACTTTTTAACCTTTATTTTGTTATTTTTTGGTTGATCTAACCGCTCGCGGCGGCCAAAAAGGTCAAAAAAAAAAAAAGGTCAAAAAATTACCTCAGCCACACCAATTTGGAAAGAACCCCGCCCAGAGATACGAAAACATAAAAAACTACAATTATCAAGAGATTAAAAAGAAGCAAGAAGGAGAAGAAGAGTGATGAATAATGGGCTGCTCATTTGAAGCTAAATTTCTGACGGTTCTTTCGCTATTATGCGCCAGCCAGGTACTTTTTTCGACGCCAATTTGAAACTTCATGAGATCATCAGAAAACCTCACCATATGCTAATTCCCCAAATTTTATCACAGCTGAAAATCGTAGTAAATTTCCTTCAATTGTTCAGGTTTGCGTGACAGTTTACTCAAAAGTCGCCACGACAACTTTTGAACGACGATACGGACTTCCTTCATCCATTTCCGGTTCAATTAGCATCTTTTACAATGTTTCTGCTGCTTTTGGCTTGATTTTCTTTTCGGTGTATGGCAGTTCTTTGCATAGGAAAGGGTCAAGCTAAAAAAAACCATTTCAGTTGATCAAAAATGAACCTACTTTAGACCGAAATTTCTAGCAATCGGGGGTCTCCTTGTGTCACTAGGCGCCTTCACTGCCACCTTACCTCAATTCCTCTCACCTCCTTACGACGCCACTGGAGATTCTAGCCAAGGAATTTTATGCGACGCGGAAAATAAGACATGCACCGAAAGTGCTTCGAAATATTTCTTCTTCCTCCTGATTGGGGAGATCTTCATGGGCCTTGGGTTTTCTGGGTTCATGCCGCTGGGCATGTCGTATTTGCACGACTCGCTGACGAGCACGAGAAAAAGAGGTTACTATCAGGAAATGGGCTTTTCTTGATTCCTTCAACATCGATTCCTGGCACTAGAAAGCCTCTGAAAAGGGAATTCTTCTGGCCATCTTCGTCTGCGGACCATTGATCGCCTTTGCTTTCATTCAGCCAGTTGCTTCCCTGCTTTACGTAGATTTTTACCGCTCCGAAACAATCATGGACCCTTCCGATCCGGAATGGGTGGGAGCTTGGTGGATTGGATACTTGATTAGCGGAATTTTCGCTCTCGCCGCTTCACTGCCAATGCTTTGCTTTCCCAAAGTCCCGCCTTGTCTAACTTCTGTCGAGTTTGATGGACCGAAAGGTTATCATCCTCCCGATTTTCTTTTCAAACTTAATTTTCAGGACCCGCTGCGGCGGCAAAAATGGCAAAACTCGTCCTCACATCTTCCGTCCCAGTCATCCTCATCGTCAATCATGGGATTCTCTCCATCACCACGGCCGCTTTGAATGGCTTCGGCATGAAATATCTCGAACGCCAATTTGGTCTCACAGCGAAAGAAGCAGGAGTTCAGTACGGGATGATCACGATTCTTGGGGCGTTTTTTGGCGCTTTGTTCGGCGGCTGGTTTCACAAAAGATTCAATTTGCAGGAAAAAGGAACTTCTTGGCTGATTCTTTCCTGTACAGTCGTTTCCGTCATTGCCCTTGCGCCGCTCTATTACCTCGGTAAGCATACGATTCAACTTCTTTCCGACAACATGGATGAATTCAGGCTGTGATACTCCGGAAGTTATCGGTCTGAATATCGATGAAAACAATGTTGGCTCTGTTGAACCGAATTCAATTTGCTCCGACTTCAGCGAATCATGTTCTTGTCCGACTCAAGAAATTCAACTCGTAAAGGATGAAGCTGGAAATATCTTCTCAAGCCCTTGTATGGCAGGATGTCAGACGGTCAGCGGACCATCGAACTTTTCTGACTGTAGCTGTTTATCTTCAGTTTCAGGTGAGGTGAAAAAAATCATATTTTCTTCGTTGATTTCAAAAATACTTTTTCATCTTTTATAAAGAATCAAACTCGGATTGGGCTTCAAGTAAATTTCGAACTTGTCCAGACTCGATTCTTCAACAGGTTCTGATCTGCTTCGCGATCAGTTCTTTCTTCCACGGGATAGTTGGTGGTCCTTATGTTTCGCTGTTGCTGTCGCGAGTTCCAGCGAATACGAAAGTTGTGACATTTGGACTCATGCACTTGGGGATGAAGTTGATCGGCTACGCTCCAGGGCCGTTTTTGGCTGGATCCGCGATCGGTAGGACTTACTATTCGATGATTTGAATACAGTTCTCTCAGATACGACCTGCATCTTCTGGAAACAAGATGGCTGTGGCGAGCGAACAAGCTGCCAATTCTACGACAATGAATTATTCCGAGCCGGTTTCACCAATCTCCTCGTTATTCCCGGGCTTGTGACATTTCCAACATACTTCTACATCGTCTACAAAGCTTATTCTAAGAAACCCGACCGATGCCCGATGTATTCGCACAAAGAAATCGAAGAGTCGAAGATCTTGAATAACTAAAAAGATCAAACAAAACTATTTATTAATAAATTTCACAAGGATATTTCTCTATTTGTATTTTATTTTTCACTCAAGCATTGGTTGCAGAGAAAGCTTTCTTCCAAGTTTTTGATGCGCGGCGCAGGTAACGAGGGTTGATCGTCGCCTATTCGAGTAGAAACCCGCCTCCGGTGCTAAAGGAAATGTCATGTCAGTGAATTGGCGACCGGCGGACAACATGGAAAGTCTTCGTTGATTTCCATTGGCCTCGGAAGTGATGGATCGAGCTCTGGAAAGGCGTCGCATCGAGTTGAAGTTGGACTTTTCCGCTTCGCGATCTTTGATGTACTTGCCGATCAGGAAGACGGCGCCGCAGCAGGCGATTCCGAAGAGGAAGGAGAAAATGAGATTGGCAGTTGTTGAGCCTGTGCTTTCATCGTTGGAAGAAGTGACGAGGAATTCATCAACCAAGTCCTCGCAGCATCCTCGTTCGAAGATGTTGGTACAGCGGGTTACGATGCGCAAGTTTTGAATGTATCGCAGGTCGGGAGAGAAGACGTACTTTTGGCAGAGGTTGCAGATTTTCATCGGGCAGAATTTTGGCAGCTCCATATCTTCATCAGCAGAAGCGTTCATCATTTTAGATAACTGTTGGGCAGCTAAATCATCGCCTTGATTATATCTCTTTCATTTGGAGCACTGAAATACCGGAAATACGAGATGGTAAGATGCGTGCGTCATATATGGTCAAGAATGAGATCGCACACCCGTGAATCTCCATATCAAGAGCGCTTAGAAAATTCGTGATCGATACCCATTTTTTCCTATGATTTTGGTTTATTTCGAGGGAATAGCGTCATTTAAAAGGCGCTGGGTCTTCATAAGCATCAGACAGCATCTTCATTTACGGGCGGCGCAAGAAATGAACCATACTTAAGAGGGTTATACCGTCAATATCGACACAAATGGGGGCTGTATAATTTGATCCATTTTCCTTCATCTTTGCCTTACCTTTACGTTTCTGAGGGTTACAGCCGAATCAGAACGAAGTGATTGTTTTCTCGAAGATGCTGAAGAGTAGGCCCCTGTGTAGCCTGACCGGAAGCTGGACCGAGTAGAAGATCGACTTGAGGCGCGACGGGTGCTGGATCGATTCGATCCATTTGCGGAGCGGAATCCGTTGTCCTCTAAGGATTAAGTTTCAAGATGGTGAAGGAGAACTTCCTACTTCTTACCACAGAGAGCGACAAGAGGAGATCGATAAGCAGCAAGCTTGTCAGGCTCATTTAGCATCTTCAAATTCTGCGCAACAGACACAGACACATACAAGATGAATCCAGCGCTCACAAAACAGGAAAAAATCACACTTGTTCCAGGATATGTCTATGCTTTCCATGGCTTGATTTGAATAGACTACTGTAGACAATCCTGTAGCATTCGTCCATCTGGCAATACGAGATTTTTCTAACGGCGAAGCAAAGGAATGCCGAGGAAAAGATGGCACCGAGAATTTGAATGAGCATTTGTGATTTCAGCGTGTAAACTGACTGTTTTTGAATCGTAAAATTTTAGTAGGAGAAACCAATTAATGATGGTGATTCTTTCTCTTGAATAAAGTTATCGCTTCTTCGAGCTCTAGAAGAATGTCTCTCAAAATAATGGACGTTTCTGTTATTTTCACGAACGTCATGAATTTCCAACTTTTGACGGGAAAAAGAAAAACGAGTAAAATTGATGCTAATGGAAAAACGAGAAAAGTTATCAAAAAGCCAAGCTTTCGCATTTTTTTTCTAAAGAAAGAAACTGTAACGAGTAATTTTGGACTGGCGGCTATTGATCACTCGGCCGAAAGCTTGTCAGTTTTCGATTGGAATCCTGACATTTCTGAATGTTGAAATCTTGGGCAAAAATCTCTAATGGGAAAAATCTGATGATGGAGGAATAAAATTGCATCTGAAGGCAGTTTCATGAATTCCCACGAATGCAATTGATGCTCATAAATCTGCCGGAGCTGTCGATTGTGAGAAATGCTTGTAATAACATCGGGTTAATAAGAGTCTTTCTTGAAACTTGGAAAATGATCCTCGTCGTCAGGAAATTTCGGTAGTGAAGGAAAAAAATGATCAACGTTCTCAAAAGCTTCTCAAAAGCGTCATAATCTGGCATGATCAAATTTAACCTGTCGAGCTTTTTCTGAAGTTTGAGCAAAGGCCAGGTGTATTTCGAGGGCTACCCTAGCCCGAGCCACTTTTCAAAAGACGGCTTCTGAAAAGTTTCCCTAACGATAGATGCAAGATAGAGAACCATGAAATTTAAAGATGAATGTCATAAGGAGGGTTTCTAGTGTCCTCAATCAGAAATCATCATTTTTCATTATAAATAAAAATCTTGCGGCATGATTATTAAAAGTGACTAGTCAAAAGTTCCATGAGTGAGTTTCATTACTGCCTATCAAAACAATTCAACCACAACAGTCAAAACTTGCGTTTTTACTGTCCTGAAAGGTCACTTAGTCTCAAATATTTGAGAAAAAAATTATTTTAGGCCACTATCCAGAAATTGCTCGTTGCGGGGAGATCAGATTCAAAGTAAGAGAACGGAACTAAAAGAAGAAACTCACAGTCAAAGAGAGAGAAAAATAAATGGGGAAAGGGAAGGCGCCCCCTCCAGCTCCAGGTGAGAGTTTTAAAGGGCAGAATTGACAGTGTCGAGGGGCAATTTATATTGCTTTCTGACACGTTCTCCCGCAGAAATCATAATTTCCAAAGAGCAAAAAAAAAACTCTTCAATTCAATTTCCAGAGCTTTTTTTTCATGCCAGAGCCAGTGGCTCCAAAAAAGGTTCAATTCGGAAGGCGAAAGTCGAGAATTGAGCCACTTCCTCATGGAGTTCTGAAAAATACCAATGAAGGGAATAGTCCGAATAATGGAAGTTTAGATGGATCACCGCCAGCTTATGATACAGGGTCGAAGCCAAGGAAGAGCGTGAAATTTACAGAAGATGTTGTGGAAAAAGAGCACAGGCACAGTTTTTAATCGAAAAAGAAGATTTTCTTCCATGAAAAATTTTTTAATAACCGAAATTTATTTAAATTTTCGAGTCGATTTTCGATCAATTTTCTTCTTTAAAAACTTCCAAAAGCACGATCCGAAAGACAGTCTATCAACCCGCCCCTCCCGATGAAGTGCCAAAATCAGCCATCAAAGTCGGTCTACCATCAGGTCAAGGTCCCGGCGGAGGACCTCGACCTTCCCAAACGTAAGTCCTATTCAATGATTCGAAAGGAGCATCTTTTGACGCATGGAGTTACTCAATCTGGGCACGCTTGATCTTTATGAATCGTAAATAGCGCTGCCGTTAAAGCCAAAGGCCATCCCATGCAGGGGCGAATGATTGATTCTACGTCAAAGCTCGGATAGCTTCAGCTGGCACCTGAATTTTTCATTTCACGAGCTCATGATCAAAATTCCAGAATCGCCGAAATTTTCATCATCAAAATTCTAGCTCAATGCGCGAGTCAAAGAAAGAAAACGTCGAACCATGGGACAAGGCAATAATCGAGCCAGCAATTACTGATTTTGCTCTGCCAGATCCTTGGCCCCATCGATGGAGAATTTTCTGGCATCACGTCTTTACCGTCGTATTCTTTGTGTTTTCCATGGCTTCAGTCGTCGCGCAATACGTTTCTTCCGCAATGATTGGCGCCATGCTTAATACTAGTTTTACGCATGATACGGACGAGTTTAAAATCGAAAATTTCTTTATAATTAAAATTATTGATGAATTATTTTCGCTATTTTTGGGTAAAAAAGAAGGGAAAATGTCTAGAACCGACATAAAATTTCGACAACTTTTGCGTGGGCGGCTACTGGGCTGCTAATTGGCCGGTTCGCCGAATCGAGGCTTCTGATTGGTTGAAAATTACCACGCAAAATTTGTCGATTTTTTGAAGGTTCTAGACACTTCCCCAAAAAGAAAGAAAAATTAATTCTTTTTATGGTTTTTGAAAAAAATCTTTCAATTTGCGCTCTCTTCCATTTTTCAAATTTGAACTCGAAAAGTGGACCTTGCAAAATGGAGCAGCACGGATCCGCAATCATGTTTCACAATTCTCAAATGGTCTTTTGGGTGCTTCTCGTCCCAGAGTTCTGGTGCTTCTTGTACGCCTTCTATTTCATCACTTTCAAAAAAGCTGACCGCCCGAGCTGGTCTCAGTTCTTCATCATTCTCCTCGTCGAATTTCTCTACACCGCCGGAATGGGAGTTTTCCTCTTCATTGTTGCGCCGGAGGTCTCGAGAACGATGACGATTGCGATGCTTCTTTTCCCGACGATCATGCCCATCATCATGCTCATTTTCGCCCCAACCGAAGAATCCTCCTTTTGCCTCGGCTGTGGACCGACAACACGAAAAATCATCATGTACTTTCTTCGTTTCTCGCTACTGATTCTCTGGTGCGTCGGAGTATTTCTCTTCTTTTTCGGAATCGAAGATCCAGTCATTGCAATTGTGGCGATTATTTGCGTCGCTTTGATGAGTTTGATAAATTGGGTGAATTTTGCGCTTTGCTCTGGGTCGAAGAAGATTTTGAGCTTGTCGGAGAAAGTCAGAGGAATCTCGAAATATAAAGACTGCCTTACAGGAAATGGATAAGAGAAACCATAAGAGAGTTTTAAGGGGGTAGAAACAGCTTTCTCGATTTTGGACTGCAGCTACATAAAAGAAAACATAAGATTTATTTATGTTCACGGAATTTCCTCATAAATGTTCCTAGAAAAAGGGTTGAGCTTAACAAAAATGTGCATGAAATTTGTTTAACTATCAGGGGACTCGAGATATACGTGTTTAAAAATTTGCGAAAATAGTGAATTTCGGAGAGATGAGCTGCTTCTGAGCCCGCTTACTCAAAAATTTGATGACTAAAACAAATTTCGAGGGAGATGCTCCTAGATCTAAGATGTATCTATCTAAACCAGAAGAGAAAATTTGAAAATGTAAGATTCTCTTGACTGTAGCGCCGGTCAAAAATCGCCTTTTTCGGAAAGAAGCTGTTTCTACCCCCTTAAGCAGTGATTAATTGGTTTTTTACTTCTTCGAATTTGCGATAAATAATAATTAGACATCTCATCATAAGTAGAGTGATTGAAGTCATTGAAATCCAAGAAAATAAATATCCACTAAAAGGCCTTCCTCAAAACGCAGATCTCTCCCTTATCGTGGCCTACTTCGGCGTCACCCCCTTCCGAATCGCCGCCATCGTCGGCTGCTGGTACTTCTACACTTTCTTTAACAACCTCGAAGACAACCCGCTAATGAGCAACCAAGATTGGAATGAATACGAGCGGAATTGCGACTGCAACTCTTTCGATGATTTCTGGAATCATAAAAGTCCCAAGTGCTTCACTACGTGGGTCTGGGTTTTTGGAATTTCAAGCGCGGTGACGTCGTATTTTCAAAAAGTTTCCGTCCGGGTTGATCTTCAAATCGCTGGTTTTGCGATTCCTGGCATTGTTGGTCCCATCATAGGTAGGATTGATTCTTAGACCGAATATTGATCACTATTCTAGCGCTGGTCGGAGTCGCTATTGCTGATATGATGAAAGAATCCGCCAACGATGAAAACTTCTCCGTCAGTGTCGAACACATCGTTCCACTCGTGATCGGTGCTGTCGGAGCTTTGAGCTTTGGATTCCTGACTCATTACATTTGGCATCCGGAATCGTGGATTTATCCACTCGAGCGAGATGTGTTCATGCTGCCGAGTTATCGACCCGTCGGTACTTCTACGTTTACCTTGCTGAATAGAAGAACGGTTGACATCGAAGCTGAGTTACAGTCAGAAGCAATGAAGAAATTTCAACCAGATCGGAAATCAAGGAAGAGATTCTAACTAAAGACTTCTCAGTTTTCATGAATTTTTTCAGTAAAATCAATCCTGAATCTTCAAAAAGATCAACGCGAATGACAATGTCTCGAAAATCCGCTCGAACGACGACAGTGAAAGGATCAGCTCCGACATCTGGCAAGAAAACGACTCTTTGGGATAAAGGACAAGAATTCCCAATGATCTTCATTTGCACCACTCTTTGGCACGAAGAAGATTTTGAAATGGCCACGCTCTTGCGATCTGTCTCCAAATTGCTCCGACATGCGAGAAGAAAAGAAAGAAACAACGATCCGAATCAGTATCATCTCGAAATGCACATCTTCTTCGACAATGTCTTCGAGACGAAAAAAGCGGACAAAGACGGGCCAGATGATTTCCTCAACGCCCCGGAGTGGCTCGAGCTCAACGATTGGGTCAAGCAATTCCAGCGTGTTTTCAAAGAAGTCTTGAATATCTATGGAGATGGAACTTACCTTAGCCCGAATCAGCTGAAAGATGGAAAGATCATCAGAACTCCTTATGGAGGAAGAGTCGTTTATGAAATCGCTGGATATCCGTTCGTCATTCACTTGAAAGACGCGAACTTGGTCCAGAGAGGGAAACGATGGTCCCAGGTCATGTATCTTTACTACCTCATCGGTTGGAAAATCGACGCCTGTCGTCAAAAAACTCCATTTTCAAAGAAAACCATCGACAAGAAGAAATCCTTCATTCTCGCTCTCGATGGAGACGTCGATTTCGACCCGCCAGCATTTGAACTTGTCCTGGACAGATGCATGAGGAATGACAAATTGGCTGCTTGTTGCGGTGCTATTCATCCGAAAGGGTCTGGATGGCTTGTTGCTTATCAGAACTTTGAGTATGCCGTCGGTCATTGGCTTCAGAAGTCGGCAGAGCATGTCTTGGGCTGCGTTTTGTGCTCACCAGGTGATTTTTACGGCCTTATGTTTGATTGCAAATTCTGATAAAGATACAATCAGACCATCGCTGCTCTGAATTTTTATCTACTTTATTTTCTTCTGACAGCTGCGCTATGACGGCGCTAGAGAAAAATCTGAATAAAACTGGTGCAAAAACAGAACAACTCGTCAAAAGAAAGAAATGCACAATCCACTTGTCGAAACAATCAAAAAACCATGCGGCTGCCTCGTCAATACCGCCTTCCAGATCCCCTTCTCCCCAGTCGTCATCTTCAGTCCCTGCGACGCGTGCAATAAGAAGATGCACTCGACTATCAAAGACTTCATCTTGTCTTCGACTCTGCGGAGCCAGATTTGCCGATCCAAGCCAATGTCCACCCAGTTTAACCCACCAGTGATCGTCAAGACTGAACCAGCCGTCGAAGAAGAGGAAGAATACGAAATTGTCTCAACAGCATGTGAAGAAATCCAACCGGAAGATAGAGGGAACGCAACGATCATGATCGCGAATTCCGAGAGACACTTCACAATTTCTGTTCCAGATCCACTTTTCGAAGAAAACTGTAAAATCTCTGTTAAAACTGAGCCCCAATAAATTCTAAAATCAAAGCTTTATCGTTTTCATTTCTTTGCCAAAAAAATTTTTTCAAAAAAATTCATTTTTAGGATGCTTTTCTTTGATGAGAGTCAGTTACCTCAACAACCCAAATGTCATGGCCATGTACAAATCTCTCGCTCAAAATCCGATGGAAAAGCTTCAATACGATCAGGGCGAAGATCGTTGGCTCTGTACTCTCATGCTCTTTTCTGGCGGGCGAATCGAGTACGAAGGATCCTCTCACTGCAACACTTATGCTCCAGAAGATCTTGGAACATTCTATAAGCAGCGGCGTCGGTGGGGTCCATCGACCACGGCCAATATCTGGAATCTCGTTGCTGAGCAGAAAATGGCTCGAAAGTCGAACCCGTATATTTCGGTCCCGTACATCATGTATCAGTTCACAGTTTTGGTTTTCTCCCTTATTGGTGTTTCAACGACGATGATGATGGTTGCCGAAGCTTTGGCCCTCGGTCTCGGTGGAGCACTCCCGCGATGGGCGACTTATCTAATTGTCATAACTCCTGTGACCATTTTCACTTTCGCTTGCTACATTTCAAAAGACGGGGAGCTTCAGCTCTCCCTGGCGACTTGGTTCTCTCTTATGTTTTCATTTCTCATGGCACTTGTCCTTATTGGAATCATCATCGAAGGTGTCAATTGCCCTCTTTCCCCGAGTTTCTTGTTTTTCGCCGCCATGGCTTTTATCCATATTTTCGGTGCGCTTCTTCACGGTGACATCTATGCAATCATTTGCGGCGTAATCTACTTTCTTTTCATTCCCTCTTGTTTCATTTTCCTTCAAATCTACTCGATTGCTAACCTGAACGATTGCTCTTGGGGTACTAGGCAGGCGAAAAAAGCAGATACAGGCATCAAAAAGACCTTCTGGCAGCGACTTTGTGGCAAAAGTGACGACGAAATCGCAAAGGAAAACGCCGGAGATGTGGATGGAACAAACTGCACTTGTGTTCTTTGCTTAGATCCAAGATATGAAATCAGAATTAAAGATGAAGTGCTTGATATGATGAAAAATCATGGAAAACCAGTGGTTGAGGAGCAACCAGCGCCTGCATCTCAGCCACCACCGCCACCGCCTCCAGCACCAGAACGAGTTGAAAAAGCAGAGCCACGATTGACCACAGCCTCTGTTGCTTCTAAAGGAACCTTTTTAGCCGTCGACCAAGAGACGAGAAATACAATAAACGATTTCCTTCATGGTGACAGCGCCGTGCCTCAGAGCATGCTCGAGCATTCCGGCTTCATGGGCGCCCGACAAACAGCTATCATCGGCGATGAAACCGGTATGAACGCGCAATACCTTGACCCGCGAGAATTCGACAAAGAAATCAAGAACGAGAGATTATACGGCGGCTTCCAAATCAGAAAACTTCGGCAGATCGGCGCTGATGACTGGCAGAGCTACATGATCAATCCGAAAACGGGAAAAACATGTTATCAAGCAAAACCCATTGGTTATTCGGAAGAATATACTCTTGGAGACGTTCGGGACCGAGAAATTAAGCTTTACAAGGAAGTTGGTGGGACGAATTATTTGAGCTGGATTATTGGCAAAAATGCGCCCTTTGACAAGAGTAAGTTTTGAAATCAAGGAAGAAAATGACTTTTCTTCATCAATTTTTAGGATGCAAAGTCTACACGCTGTCAAATCCCGAGCAAACATTCTGGGAGACTATGCAAGACCCGACAGAAGGTTACATAGGCATCAGAAACAAGGGAAAGAACTTCCAGAAAATCAAGGAGCACGAAGCCTGGCTTGCAGAAGAAATGTCAAACTTCAGAGATGAAAAGTTTATGTACTACATTTTCATCAATGTCATGTGGATCATCATTTCCTGCGTGATTCTGAAGTACTCTTACATGTTGATGTCAATAGAGATTCCGCTTGGGGACATAAGCTTGGTAAGCCATCGATTTTACGATAAATACGCTAAATAACCCCTCAGCCAGGATGCGGAGAAGTCGTAGAAGACGAATCACCAGATGAATTTATGCGAATGCGAGGGGCATATTTCAAAATGATTCCAACCAACCGCTCACGAAGTATGGCCGGACCGTCATTCAAAGATATTGGAATAGGATTTCCTGATTACGGAAACGGCAATTCTGACGATGAAGATCAAAGAGTCCTCGTTCTTCAGCCGTTTTCACTGTTTTTCCTATTCATTTACATTGTCATCATTTTCGTCCAGTTTGGCTGCATGCTATGGCATCGGTAAGAGAATATTTTGATACAGAGTACTCTCAATTTTATTTCATAGTTTGTCGACATTGTACCATTACATTGCCTACATCGATGTCAAAATCGAAAAGTCGCTTGCTGAAGATCAACTCGAGCTGAAAGAAAACATCATTCAGGTTGGCCTTCTTTCATCTTGCATTCATAAAATGGTCTCTAGAAACATCGACAAGAAATGGACCGAATGCTAGAAGAAAGCGAATTCGACGATGATGATGATGAAGATTACGATGACGATTTCCTCGACGCAGATGATGATGAATTCGGCATGCTTGTTGAACAGGTATTTTCTTTGTGAGAAAAGAGCTCATAAAATCGATAGACTAACGAATTCAAATCGCCATACGAAGAGCCAGATGATGAGTCGGACGAGAACTCAACGAAAAATGTGACGGGCATTGGTGTGGCTGCAGCAACAGTTGCCGTGAACTTTTCAGGAGACGGAGGAGGAGGACAGGACTCGATCAGAAGCAATAAGCAGAAGAAACGAGTGACTGGAGTCGCCGTTGCTGCTAAAGGACTCTTATCCGTTCCCGGTATGAAGTCTAATTTGGACTTTTTCTCATCCTTTTCAGACGAAGATGAACAAGGTCTTATCTCGAATCAATCCGCCTTTACGAACTACGAATCAATCAAAAATCCCTACGAGCAAATGGAAGCTGATCGAGCACAGGGCAAGTCAAATCCAGCATTTGACGGTGGCGAGGTCGAAATGCAAGATCTAACTCCAACAGGGTCTGATAAAGGAGAAAATGAAGAGCGAATGGAAGATGACGAAAATGGTCATATTTCTATTCCTCCCATGATTCAGAGTAAGTTCATTAATATTTATTGAGCTTCAAACATTATCTGAACATATTAGTGATGAATCATCACTGATGATACTGTGTCATTTCAGAAATAGGGACAATAATGGAAAAGTATAAGACTAAAAATGTTTCATTTGCTTAAAAAAATTGCTCCATAAATCGTCTGGTACATCTACTTATACAGTCAAATGTGGCGCTTTAGACCGTAAAATTTCAATTTTCTGGGGAATATTATCTACCTTATCTCATCAAGATCTATTTTTTCAGTGAGCATGGAAGATAAGATTCAACAAGATGAAGACTTCAACGCCCAAAATCCTTACCATTCTCCTGGAGGAACTGCCTTCTACTCCGGCGAGCATCAGCAAGTCGAGCAGCCGCCGATCCCCCCGATGCCGATTGGGGTCAGCAATCCGAAAGATTGGGTAGACTTTATGGACCCCGCGGAGATCAGGCGAAAAGTCGAAGCAGATAAATTGGAAGTTCAGAGAAAACTGGAAGAGTTTTCTGCAATGATGCTCGCGAAAGATACAGTCAAAGCTGAGCCAGAAGCAAACTCAGGAAGGTTCCATTAAAATTCTTGATTGTCACTAATTGATCGGAAATTGAACCGAAAAAAGCTCCCGCTGACATGATAACTGGCGATCCAACAATGGAAGACCCCGACGACTTCGACTACCTGATGCGCTCAAGCTCCAACTCCGTCATGGCAGAATCCGATAGTCCTCAGAAAAATGGAATACGAGCTGCTTCTCCGAGCAACATCATGAATCCCTTTGAAATTCCGGGAATGCCTGGTGAACAGGATGCATAATTTCGGTGCTGCTTACTTTACCTTTTTGTATATTTTCTAACTGATAATAAAAATGTGTGTGCAGTGGGCGTTTTTTTCAATGATTTTTCAAATATTAAATAGTAATTTTATTTTCACGAAATTGAAGATTGTAATTATAGCTGACATTTCTTCTCAAAGGCTCCACGTGACCCGGCAATGGCCTAAGAAGAAGGTTCAAAATGAATTAAAAGCAAGTTCAGTCTCACCCAAGGTTGAGAAAAAACCGCGACGGTCGATTATTTTCTGATAAACCAGCTGTTCTTCTTGGCATAATTTCGTTACGGATCTTTGTGGTTAGCCTGGGAAAGCTTTCGAGAAGGATTCTAGAGTTTCGCTGTCGCCAAAGATCGACTGATTTTTCTTTTTGGAAAGAGAATGGGGATGAATGTTTTGTCGACTTTCGCATTCGATCTTTGATTGATCTGAAGACCATAAAATTAGCTTTGATCAGAAAAATAAAAAATTTTCGAATAGGGCCTTCTCGAAAAACATCAAAAATTAATGAAATTTAGCTGATAAATTAGCTCTAGAAATTACCTCATTAAAAGTCTCAGGCCATAGACAACAGAAAATCCACCGCCAGCAAAAATCAGTCCAAGAACCCCAGCGACAATTAAAAATTCTCCATCGAACAAGCCTTCAGATTCTTGACGCCTCGGTGGCTCTTGAGATTGTGCCTCGACCTGAAGTGGGGAGCAGTTTTCTCCACCAAAGCCATCGAGACAACGACAGCGGAAGCTTCCGATTGTGTTCAGACAAACGCTATTTGGAAGTCTACAAGGGCGACTTTTCATGACTCATCTAATTCTGGTTTTTAGCTGTGTTTTGGATTGGAGTCAATTTCCTGATGCACTCATTAACATCAAGCTCGCACGTCAACCCTTCAAATCCCTCATTGCAAATACACTCTTCTAGCTCATCATTACAAACAGCTCCATTTTGACACTCATTCTCATCACAAAAACTCCCAATCGGTTGAGAAACAGAATATCCAAGCACAAAGCCTTGTCCTGTTGTGGACCCATCAGTTGTAAAAACTAGTCTTACAGGTCCCTGGCCAGTATTTCTCCGAGACCAACGGGGGTCATCAAGTTCTCGGCCGCAGATTGTGATGGTAGTTTCGTCGGAAAAAATGAGTTCAAGCTTGTCCCATGCGCATTGAACATGGTTTTCAATGTCAACTGCAAGTATTTCTTTTTTCGAATTTCAAAAGGAAATGGAAGCACTAATTACATTGCAATTTATAAGTTATAATCCGGTACCTAGGGTCACCTCTCCATTAACATCGATCAAATATTCACAAGAAAGTCCATTATCATATCTCAAATTTGGGTAGCCCTGATGGCTTTCAATTTCTCCACTTTGTTCTGAGTACGTTGTCTCTTCCAAACATCTCTGGGCGTAAATAACTCTGAATAATAATAACCAAAACATCGACATTTTTAAGCTACTATGTCCCTGGCTTTTCGACCTATTACTTTCCCCAAGACTCTCGGAAGCACTTAAAAAATCATCCATTGTCGACTTAATTCTCCATCATTGAAAAAGGCAAGGAAATTGCTAGAAGGTTGTCATGTTTTCTTCCTTTTATTCAAGTTTGTTTTGAAGCCGTAATAATTGGCAACATATAAATTGGTGAAATCGTAATCCATTAGCCAGTCATCATATTCATATTCTCTCAGTTCAAATTCGATCATTTTGTGCGTCTCGGGAATCTCACTGATTTTTGAAAAGGGAAAAAATAGCAAAATACCCCCTTACCTGGGAACTTTTAGGACCAGATATATCGAGGTCAACACTAAGGCAGCAACCATAATTATCTGAAGAAAAGTCATCTTTATTTTCTACCGGATTCTTTTTTATCTATACTTACAGGCATATATAAGGAAGGATGAATAATATATCCTCTTGCCAGTCTTTTTCCTGGCGGTTTATCAATCAGAGATCATTAAAAAGGAAAGGAAAACGAAAAAAAATCTCGATAGATCGAAAAAAATAAAGGCGATATCGATGTTGATACCCTTAATGATCCCTTATCTTTCTTGGTCCCTCTTCATCTTCGTCAACTGTTTCTTCAGCTTCTGACTCAATTGATTCTAGAGCAGCCCCAGCTTCTTACTTGGCCTTCTTCCGGATTCGCTGAAATCAAAATAAAAACACAAAAAAAAACAATCTCAAAATGAAGGAAGAACGCTGACAGTCGACCCCCTTTTCATGAATTAAAGATGCCATCTGCTTACGTTCATTTCATTCTCTCTTTCTGTTTATCTTCTTTTTCAGAAGAACGCTGCAAAGATGGAAAGGATTTGTAGGGCACTGACAGTGCATTTTCATTAGGTCAAATTACTTTGCGGCATACTCATTTAAAATTGGACAGGTTTATAATTTTGCGTCTCCTCTTTTTTTGGGGAGAAGAATTGACAGTCTAATTTCATGGTGTCTTCGAGATTTTGTTGTCAATTTCGTGAAATTAAATGAGTCGAAACATTATATCATTTCATTAATATTAATTTATTTAGTCAGCTATTCTTTGCATTTACTCCGACAAAGATGCTTGTTGAGATAATGGCATCGTTGATTATCTTTCTGACGGATAAGGGAGGAGCCGAGCTTCTTTGAATTTCTCACGAGGAATTTTTATTAATTTAAAAGAGCGATGGGCTCTTTGAAATTCTTTTTCCTGCTGCATCATTTTTCGATTTCCCAGGTTTGACTTACAGAGAGATTTTTAAGCAGAGAGATTGTTTCTAGAAAGTTTTGAAGAAGAAGCCCCACGTGATCTTCGTCCTGGTTGATGACCTCGGATTTGACGATGTTGGATACGTCAATAAAGATGTCCACTCGCCAAATATCGACGCTCTTGCAAAAGATGCCCTTCACCTCAAAAATTACTACAACCAGCCTTCATGCACTCCCTCCCGCGCCGCTCTAATGACAGGCCGGTACAATATCCGAATGGGCATGCAAAGCGGCGTGATCAGGCCAGAAGAGCCGGAAGGAATTCCTCTCCAAGAAACACTCCTCTCCGATGCGTTCAAACAGTGTGGCTACAGAACTGGACTTCAGGGAAAGTGGCATTTGGGCTTTTACACGTACCACCATTGTCCGCAAAATCGCGGGTTTGATCGGTTCTATGGCTTTTATCTTGGAGCGCAAGATTACTTTTTCCACGATTCTGGACGAGCAAATGAGCACAAATACAGCTACGAAAATGAGATCTCCGGCGTGCACAATACTCGATTCTCGCAAGGAACTTGGGGCCGACCGTGGGGATATGATTTCAGAGAAGCGTTTCCAGGAGGAGAAGAAAATGACAAGATCTTGGATGATACTTATACAAATGGAACTTATTCGACGAAGCTTTTTGTTGACGATTTTATCAGTCAACTTCAGATTAACAGTCCAGAAGAGCCACTTTTTAATTATGTTTCTTTTCAGGTAAGAATTGAGTGGTCTCCGTTTGCCCAAGTCGCCGTTTGCCCAAGTCGCCGTCTGCCCAAGTCGCCGTTTGCCCAACTTGGGCAGACGGAGATCTTAGGCAAACGGCGATGTGAATTTTTTTTTTTAATTGATTGATCATAAAATAATAGAAGTAAGCTTTCCGAATTATGACATCGTTTAGATAGATCACGAAGAGCCTTCGTAATGGGTGGTCTAATTATGAGAGTCGCTAAATTCTCAATCAAAGTCCTAATAAACTATTCCTGGAAGAGTTAATCAAGAAGAAAAAGAATCCGGTTTACTGAGACTGGATCATTATTCGGTTGTCATAAGATTGTGCATTTGATGTTTGTAAATCAAGCCTGAGTACCCCTCTTCGCTGGGAGGAGGTTTTGGGAAGAGTTTCATCAGTTTTCCCCTTTTTTCTTTTTTTCTCACTTCTCACAATGACTGTTTCCCTGAGTTTCAATCAGAAATAACTCCAAAAATAGAACGAACCGATAATGAATCACAAGAAACAGCAATATGTGACCATCAATTCAACCAAGTTGGGGATTAGCGCTTGTGAGGACTCGGCACATCTATCGTTTCCTCAATCTGTAGGCCTCGGACGTAAAACTAGCGATATAACTTTACCATCTCTATCTATCCTATCCTGCTGGTTTTGATTTCATAATTCAAGATGACTCATCTTAGATGAGAAAATTCCCGATCTTAGTAATTATAAACTGAAATCAAAGTCTTCTTTGCGCTCATAAAGTTCAGAAACCTTGAATTAATTTCTTTAAATAGAATCATGATTATATTTTCAATTTGATCGCCGTCTGCCCAAGATCGCCGTTTGCCCAAGTCTCCGTCTGCCCAAGTTGGGCAAACGGCGATCTTGGGCAGACGGCGACTTGGGCAAACGGCGACTTGGGCAAACGGAGACCACTCGTAAGAATTTTGTGGTTTTCAAGTTTCAAAAAGAAAGACCATAAATCATCAACATTTTTTATCAATATGAATTTCTGTCATTTTAAAAAACGACCGCATTTTCCTATCACCTATATCCAATCCAATCTTGCCCCTGATAAGTTATCAGGATGTCCATGGACCCCTTCAAACAGTCAACCGTTTCAAAAACCTCTACGAAGACAAAACAGACACGTGGACTCATGAGCGAATCGAGTACTCCACAAAAGTCTCCACCCTCGATTTTCACCTTGGCCGAATGGTCGATGCTCTCAAACAATACAACTATTGGGAGAACACCATTCTCATTTTCACATCGGACAACGGGGGTCAGCCTCGCGAAGGCGCTTCGAACTGGCCATTGAGAGGATCGAAGGGCACGATTTTTGATGGAGGGTTGAAATCCAGAGCGTTTATTGTTTCACCTCTCTTGCAAAATCGAATCAAGGTAGAAACAATTTCACGGGGAAATCTATTTTTTTCTAGGGTGAAGAATACAAACCTCTCTTCCATGTCTCCGATTGGTTCCCAACGCTTCTCAAGCTGTCTGGTTGCGAGATTCCAGAGTCGGCCGGGCGACCACTAGATGGAAAAGCTCAAGAACTATTCGTCCACCAGCCAAAAGCAGCTAGAAATAACATTCTCCACTTTCTCGATCCGCTGGTTCAGCATGATTTCAATGACGAAAGAGAATTCTCCTACCTGAATAATCGAGCTTTCAACGTAACCATCAAGGTATTTTAATCAAAAAGACAAAGTAACAGCTGATTAGGCGTCTTATCGAAGCGGAAGATGGAAGATCATAACAGGCAAGCCTTGTGGAAACGGTTGTGGGTACATAAAAAGCTCAAGAAATCCAAGTTATGCGAAGGATAATACGAAATTGACAGATATGAAGAAGGAGAAGAATAAAAATGTGCGACTCTACGACATGTGGGCAGACAGAGGGGAGAAATTCGACAAATCAGGTGGCTAAAACAGCTCCTAAATATTTTTGTTATTCTTGTAGATTCAAAACCGTGGATGACCAAGAAGCTTTTGGAAAAACTCGCTGATTTCTATGATGAACAGGTGATGCCGCAAAAGCGGAAAGAAAGCCCGAATGCTGACCCGGACAACCATGGTGGAGTTTGGATGCCCTGGCGAGACACAGAAGTTTTCGACTACACCCAGCACTCTTACAAAAACAACTTCTCGATGCAGCAGACAAAATGCTTGTTTGAGCAAAAATCTCTTGAACAACTCTTTATCTCGAAACCGACAAAGCAAGAGCTGCTCAGATCCTCTGTCAACCGCAAAAGCTGTCAATAAACCAAACCGTCTTGAATCCAGCTTCCTTTTTTTTCTCGCGCAGAAATTAAAAATTCATCGCGTCGATTTTCAAAATTTATGAATTCACGGGTCTTTTTGCGACTCTCGATTCTAAAATTTGTCGAAAAGAAAGTTGATTGACACCGAATATGCCTCTGATTCCGTCACTACCCGATAGAAAAACGGAAAAGAGAAAAGATCCTCCCAAGTTTCTTCGACAACTTCCAGATTCCGTCAGGTAATACAAATGAAAACGCTCATCACTGATGAGTCATCAGGGTTAGGGTTTGGGTTAGTCTTCCTTGATTTCAACGCAGCAATTTCAGAAATCGGCGGCAATCGTTCGACAACGATATCGACCTTAGTATCTTGATGAGTGTGCTACCAAGTCCCAAAGACGTTTTCGAGCGAGAGCTAGAATGGAACATCTCCGACGAACTCGCAAAACTCGCTATTCAGCAACAATCTTCTGCTTTCTGAAGTTCTGAAAAAAAAATTATTTCTGACCGTTTTATGTCTAAAAGCCTTTACTTTTCCATTGTGACTATTTTAGGCAAATTTGTCAACCCTTTTCTGGAAACAAAGCCACAATTTAAGACATCGATATATTTTCATCAGACGATAAAAGTTTCCGGGGCAGGGCAATTTTCGCGTGAGAAATTCAAATAGGAACCAGAACGATATTTTCTTGATTGATAAATTGGTCGATTCATCATCTTCAGCGAGTCAGAACGAAATCAAAGCGGTCCGCTGGCGGTGGGCGCATCAGGTTGAAAACGGACGAATTACTTGTACTCTTTTTTCTTCGGTTAGTGTCTAAAAATTTCCTTCTTTGAATTAGTTTTCGAAGGGAGAAAAAAAATCTGCATTTTATTTTGTAAAATGGACTTCCAGGTTTTCTTGAACTTGAAGCTCACTTCCCAAAAAATGGCGCTTGGGAAAACCGGATGATCATTTTTTTACTGTTTTCCGGCAAGTTTGCCCCCAAACGTCCACTTACACTCTTTTTGGCTGTTGTGGCTGTCAGTTGAAAGTATGATGGCTGTTTCCTTTTGAAATTTCCGTCGGCGTTTCTAACCACGTGGCTAGCGCGCTCATGTGGATCCGACTCTTTCCCATAAAAAATCACTCTCTTTTTTTACGATCAGGGCGCGTCACTATGCGGTATATACGGCGGCCTATTCAATCAAGGCTGGCGATTCATAGGAGATTCTTGAGCTGTCTCAGGCTTTTTTCTATGAGTCATAGCCAGTCAAAGCTTATTGAGAAGAAATTGGTATGATTGATAATATCGAGGAATAAGCATAAAGACTCATTTTTAATCGTCCTAAAAGTGATGATTTTGGGATCAGGACCAATCAAAATTGCCTTCCAAGAAATATGATGATTCCTCGACACCTGGCCACTTTCAGACTTTTCCCCTCCTTCACGTCTAATCCTCCGCTCTCTCTTCTCCAAAATTATTGATATCAAGTCGATTCCACTCGAGGTAAGAGGATGACTAGCTTCTCCAAGCAACAAAAAAAGCTGGAGTCCACTTGTGGAAAATGGAGGATTTTGGAACAATGACTTGCGCAAATACTCGACTCTTCATCCCCTAAATAGCGTAAAAAAGAAGGAGGGAGCGAGGTTGTTCTCGGTGGGGTGCCAAACAGGTCAATCCGAGGCGCAAATACGGCGACAATGAAAAAGGTAAATATGAAGAAGATCATCAGGGATTAAATTTTAACAAAAGTCGTCAGAATATATTTATGGCAACAGGAAGCCGTAAGATGAATATTCAAACAGCTCTAGAACTCGTTCCAAGTTTCGGGTTAATTTTTTATGAGGAACATTCATCAATTCACGCAACTTCAATTCCCCCTGTTTTTCTTCACAGACGCGGTTGATTTTAAGACCACCCCAAAAAAGAAAGGAGTCAAAAATATGAGTTCATTTCCGAACATCTGAACTTACCAATAGCTCAATCAGAATCTGATCAATCTTAATTTGGAAGAAATTATCAAAGTACTCGCCTGAGGGCAAATTTATCATTGCCCTAAGTTCATTCTATTGACAAAGACGTGGATTTTGCTTGTTCCGTCTCATCTGAATTCAATAGATTTCCTCACAAAAGGGCTCCTTTGAGAGGCGTTTTTTTCTGCTTGAATAAACGGACATCTCTAGTCGTAGTCATACTGTTAGGGAGATTTTTTCTCTTGCTGATAATAATGAAGAAATCATAAATTTCATCGTCCTTTCGCTTCTGATATTAAAAAAAAGGAAATATTGCCAAAAAAATTCGAAAATTCGAATATTATTCGATATTTTGGCCGTTCTTGAATTTTATTTGAAACAGAAAACGCGGTCTTTTAATAGTTAAAAATTTTATTTTGAGTCGAAAAAGATTCGAAGCTGATCTGTCATAATATCTTCTAGTGATACAAATTCGTAAAAATTCTCAATTATCAGTGTATCTAAAAGTTCTTCTTCGTCATTGTCTGACGAGCCCTTCCATATAAGGCAAAATTCTTCAGTAAATGATTAATCGTCTGTCCGGTGATTGGCGGGTGGAACAATTATAGAGCCGCGTAGCTGCCCTTATTGTACGCTTCGGTATCCTTGGTGGCGCAAAAGTGCCGCGCACCTTACCCCCGGTAGCGCACTACCATCTACTCGCGAAAAAAGAGCCTTTTTCTCTCTCTTTTTTTGGAAAAAAATAATTGAAGAAGAAGTCGTAAAAATTGAGAAAGAGACCGTGATTCAGAAAGAAGACGACAAAAAGCTACTAAAACCAGAACCGCCGGAGCAGATCGCAACTCACTTGATCAAGAAATTGAAGCGGCAGCTCGATTACGATTACGATTTTTGAAAAAGAGAAACAGGAGATTCAAGAGACAAGAGCTACAGAAGCATGAAGATATTACAGTACGCCTTGCCGTATTTGGCGTATGGAGCTATCAAGGATAAAAAGAACCGTAAGTTAAATATTTCCCTTTTGAGAAAATTTTCTGCAGATTTTTGAAAGAAATGCCCTTAAGATAAAGGCAGGGGATCCGTGAGAGAGTGTGAGTAAGAGAAAGAGGAGCATCGATGCACTCGAAATTTAAGCCCGTTAATTAGACAGGATTTCAACTCTTTAGCGGAGTCCTCGCTTTGCCACGGCTTTTTATCTTACTTTTTACTTCCGACAGGTTTCATCCCACAGATTTGATTCTTCAAAAAAATCCGACTTCAAAATTTTAATTAATATTTTCGCGTTTTTCCGCGTTTTTTTTTCTGATTGAAAATTTCATTTGATAAATGTTCATTTTCAGGTTATACTGTCACCGAGTACAATGTCAACGACGTCAACTTCATCGAATTGGTCGACACGAATTCCGCCGTCGATTCTTGGAGCTATGACGTCCCCGCCTTCCCCGACACAAATTTCTTCTCAATCGAAGGCTCCGGGCCTTCAATAAAACTACGCGTCACAGAAGAACTTGATCGAGAAATCACCGGTGACCAAATCGAAGTGCATATTACATCCGAAACTGCGGATGGGAAGATTGTAACTGATGAGAGCATTGCTGTCGGGGTTTCTGATGTCAACGATAACAAGCCGGTCTTTGACAAGAAAACGCTGACGATGACGATTGCTGAGAACGCCAAAGCTGATACAATCGTCGGAAAGGTACAGTCATCATTCGTTCATCCTCAGTGAATAAGAATTTTGAAACGGACAAAGGAGGGGGTACAGTCGAAAAGTTTGAATAGAACGCGTCAATTTTCGAAAGAGGCACCTGTTAACAAAACAAAGACTAGAACAATTGGCTAGGCTTCTTGTTGAATAGAGGTCAGGAAGCTTTGAGTAGCCGGCGAAATGCGACCTCCTCTCCAGAGTTGCCTATGAATGGGACTTTTTTTATCAACTGCGATATACAATTTGAAAAATGCGCCGTAAAAATTATGCTTTGGACTCATCAGGGATTACAATTTGTTTATTTGATGCCGAAAAAGCATGAGAAATTTCAACCCTGACCCGGGATTTTCAGAACCGCTTTCGGATCCGAAATAAACATGCCCGGATTGACACATTTTTTTTTCTTCGGCAGGCGGTCGCGTGGAGGTGCGATCTGAAAATTCGGATTATCAAATTTAAAAAAAAAGTACTTTTTGACAAGATAAAAGTTTCTTTCGTCATAGATTTTCGGAGACGGACATTTGAAATTTTAAAATTGTCCAATTATAAAAATAACTGCTTTTATGATGATTGAGAGTCGAAGGCTTGATCGAGGGTGATTAGGTCCAGTTTCTGATCGCACCGCCTTGGTGAAAAAACGCGAAAGGAATACTAAAATGGGCCTCCTTTGATTTCGTTTCGAGCGAGTGGATACGGCCGCAGATTCATTTCTATAGGCCAGTTTTATAAAAAAGGGGTAAAATCCGGAGCCAAAGTTTGTTACAGAAATGCCATATTTTTGAGCCATTTTGAACCCTAATGATTACTTAAAAGATTAAGAAGGTGCTCATTATGAGCTGTTATTTCCGAAAATCAAGAAAGACCACCCATCTTATTAACAAGACGATTGTTGGTTTTTTTTCTGGGTGAGTGCCGCGCCGTAAAATAGACTCATTCTTCGCTGGCACTCGGAGTTGTTTTTACGATTTCACTATTCACTGGGTCGTAACGCGGCGCGGCGCCGAACTTGCTCGGTTTGTTTTGTCCTCCTTGTTTTCAAGGTTCATTTTTAGCTCGAAGCATCGGACGCTGATACCGGAAAATTTGCTAAAATTGTCTATTCCCTTGCAGCTGATATTGCCGAATTCAAATCTCGGGACCTCAACCAGGGTTCCACCTTTGGACGTGCTTTTTCTGTCGACAAGTATGGTACAGTCAAATACCTCGGTGGTTTTGATGACCTCCTGGATGCTGAGAAGAGCTCTAGAATCGTCCTTCAAGTGGTTGCTGAAGATGATATTGATAATGACGTTCATGGAAGGACTCAGGAAGAATTAGGAAAGGATTTCAATTCATTTTTTATCAAATTTTGAAGAAAAAAAGATTGTTAAAGAGTCTTTTTTCCTTAATTTACATTTCGATTAGATTTGAAACCCTCAAAAAGTCATCAGAATCACAGACATCAACGACCAAGCACCAGTTATCGATTTCGACGGTGTACCTCGCAAAATTTCTGAAGGAGCCGACATCGGAACAGTTGTTTTGAGCCTGAGTGCGACGGATGCTGACATTGACGAGGAAAACAACCACGTCGCCTTTCGAGTTGACAATTCGGACTTTGCTTTTGATGGAAATAACCTCGTTGTCAACAGTAAGAAAGTTGAAAATCTAACTGTATCTCATTTCTTTTTAGACAAACTGGACTACGAAACTAGACCCAGATACGTCCTTTCCGTCACTGCTTTCAACCCAAATGCTGCCGATCCTGATTCGAATACCAACTCAATTACGGTCATCGTCGATGTTGAAGATGCCAATGATCCTCCAGCTTTCGTTGACTTCGACCAAACGATTGTGCCTAAAGAAGGAGAGAACATCGACAATCTTCTGGTAATTAAAACCGATCTCTTTTCTTCCTAACGCCTATTCAAGATCGGCCTGGTGATCGCTACTGACGGAGACACGGGAACTCAATCCGTCACCTGCTCTCTCAACGACCCTGCTGGTATCTTCAGCATTGATGAAACTACCTGTGAAGTTTATGCGACCGGAATTCTTGACCGAGAATACGATGTAAAAAACACCGATGATTTGGAGCACTTTGGACCCATTCTCGGACACAGCTTTGAAGTCACTTTGGAAGATGACGGGCTTCCTCCAGGTTTGATCCGCTCATTTTTTCATTCTTTTACTCCTTTTTGTAGCAAGAACAGTTCAAAAAGTCACCGTCGAAATCGAAGACATCGCCGATGAAACCATTCTCTGGGAACCTAACACTGCTAGTCTTTGCGACAATACCAACGTCCTCGGCCTCAACCGACTTTTCTACGCTATCCAGCCCGATTCCGGCGATGATATCGTCTCCATTGAAGTCACAAATGTCGAAGGATTGAGAATCCAGGAGTCTAAAAAGGGTCATTTCTTCCTTGAATACAGTGGAAGCCAAGATTCGACCACGGAATTGCTCACTGGACTCGAGTTCATCCAGCTTTCGGTAATATTTATTTTCAATCATCAATGGACTTACATTTTCTTTTCAAGGTTCAAACTACAATGGGAGTCGAATCCATTAGTCTTCCATTTTTGATCTGCAGCTGTAACGAAGACGGCGAATTCCAAGGAGCATGTCACAACAATTTCGCCGGCACCAATGTCGCCAACGGTTTCCCCTGGTGGATTATTGTTGTCATCGTCATCATTGTCACTATCATCGTCGTCCTTGCCCTCTTTGTCCGAAGAAAGCCAGAAGGAAAGCTTGAAGGTAAGAATCTTCAAATTTCTCGCCCGCGATTTTTTGAAATGATTCACTCGCTTTACCGCAAAAAATCGTAACTCATCAATCTGGAATCCAGATCAGAGTAACTCACACTTTAAGAAGGTCTCCAAGACGAAGAAGCCCTCAACGATCACGACCGTCTCCTCTCCCCAGACGATCCAGGATGCGAGCAGAAAGCCCCTCTCCCTCGAATCGTCGAAGAACCAACTGACAACTTGGGCAACATCATCCGCGACGCTAAGCAACAGGCCGACAACGAGGAACAAGTTCCCAACACGCTTCTCCAATTCGAATACGAAGGTCGAAATTCGATGATTTCAAACATGTCCGATCTCAGCGACGACGACGATACAGAACAAGATATTGACCTGGAAAAATTGCCAGAATCTGTGAAAAGAAATTTCGAAGCATCAACTTATGGATCGATGTAAAAAACGATAAAAATCTAAATTATGAGAAACGATCAAAATTGAAAAATATTTTTTCCTGTACATTTGAGCTGTAAAATTTCATTGAAACTTTAAAATTTCCTTCAATATGCTGTTTTCAGCATATCGATAATATTAGTCTAAGACAATCTTTACCCGGAATTGCCCTTCAACTTCAAAACTTACTGCAACTTTTACTGTCATTTCGAAGTTGGCGAAAACTCAGTTCAATTATTCCCAACTTCAACAAATACAATATCTCAAATCAACAAAAAACTTTATTAACAATAAATGTTAAAAACTTTAAGCCTCGCTCTCATCCTTGATATCAAAGAAACACTCGAGGGGATTTAGTGAAAGGGACTTAGAAAAACTTACTTTGAAAGATACCGACAAAGAAACAATGCGTGAATTATTCAGGACTTTGATTCGGAAAAAACGTAAATCAATTGTATTACTAATTGTGAAGAAAGCGTCACATCAGCGAAATAACACCGTTAAAAAGGGAAAGTTTTCGCGTAAACTTATCAATGCCCGAACAATTATTGACCTGCAAAATAAGAGATGTAACTAGCATGCTTGACGATGTATTTTAGCTCAGAGAAGAAAGAGATAAAAAGTTCTTCATTACCAAATATAGCAGAGAATAAAAAGCGAAAATTCTAGCTTTCGCCGCTGTATTTTTCAAACCCTCTTCTAGTCACAAAACCAATCAGAATTTCTCGATCAAAGCGGGTTTTTCCGGAATTTTTGTTGAAAAAATCCCGATTGTTGTCAAGGGATTAAGAAAAACTTACTTTGAAAACTACCGAAAGCTGGCAATAGAAGACTTTAAGAACGAAAAACTACCCATTAAATTTGAAAGCCGACTAAGATAAAGCATTCTGTCAATAAAGCGTTTTGCTTTTACTGATAATCAAATAAGAAAAGGAAAGCTAGGAGGGCGCATCGAATTCTCTCCACACAATTTTTATTCCAAGTTGAGAATTCCAACTTACAGAGAAACATCGACGAGAATTCTTTCCGGGGTGATCGTATTTACACATAGTCTGGATATGAAACCTTAATTTTTGGAGTCAACAAATTTTTCCTAATCTGTTTAACCTCAAATCAGGGTCTCGAAAAAATCGTTGCGCGCCCGTTGTTTGAGCGCCCCCACTCATTTTCAACCCCCGCGCTTTCGTTGTTGGCGCGAAAAAACACCCGCAGGCCCGTTGTAGCGCCATCATCCGAGGCGCGTTGCCCACAACCACAACGCGATGAAACAACGAGCGACCCGTTGTTCGGTGAATGAGGCTCGATGTATTTTGCCGCCCTCCGCGAGTGCCGCGCTTATTTCTTTAGAATCTGAACTTCAATGTCCGAGCTTTTATGATAAAAATACTATATTAAATATTGTAAATAATATTTTAAAATCATAATATTAATAAATACTAGCTATTTATTGCCTTAAAAGAATCTTAACAAATTAAAAAAAATCATTCGTAAAAACCTTTTTCTTTTAAAAAGAAATTAACTTCAAAGGATTGAAATTACGTGCAGCTGAAGCTTTGAACTAGTGGAGTGAAGATCGACACTGATAACTAATCAGGAAGCTAATCATGATGATGGTTATCAGCGATATCTGGTCTCCAGCAGGGCGAAGGATGCTCACGTAGCTCCCTCTTTTCACATAAATCTGATATAAAAGCAAATGTCACTTGTCATTAAATTGAAAAAAGTAAAAATGGCTCCAGCTCCAAGCACCTTGAGAACGCCAAGTAAGCCAGTTATTCTGAGAACGCCAAAAAGGCCAGTGCTAAAACGAAAGAGAGATGAGGCAGTCCCGATCGTGCCAGTCGTTCTAGATATTCCATTGACTCCCCAGAAAACTCCCGGAAAAAAGGAAGAAGACGTCAAAGTAAAGCTCAAGGAACTTCTCGAAGATGAAACATTACGCGATACCGTCATCAAGGAGAAATCAAGCCATAGGAAAGACTTAGATTATGATATTTTTGCACTTTCCTACAGAGAAGCCGGAGAAACACGACCAACCTTCTTTGTCTACTGCGATCACGAGTATTGCCGGAACGATCTTAACAAAGCTCTCTACCGGGCAGTTGGAGCGAAATCGAAAAACAGAAAATTGGACGCGGGTGCGGTGACTCGACATGAGAATACACGACACTTCAACAAGACCAAAGCACTCTACTCGGCTGTTGCAGAAGCTGTCGTTGGAATCGGCCTTCCTCTCGACGTCTTTGACCATCCGTTGATGAAAAAGTCTTGGAAATTCTCGACGAGAAGTACAAGAACGGCGTCTCGCGGCACATCATCGAAAAACATATTCGGTAAGTTTGAACTTGGAATAAGACTCAAAAAATAAGCGATGAGAAATCAAAAACAAGGGAGTTATAAAATCTCTTTTCAGTATTCTTGAAGGCGAAATCACGGATCGAATCAAGAAACGAGCACTCCAACTTGCAAACGAAGGCCGAGTGGCCATCTGCCTGGATAACTACGATCATCAAAGCGCGAAGTACTGCGGCATCCTCCTCTGCACGTTCGGCACAGAAGGAACAAAATGCCTTCGATGGTTCATCTCTTTTCGACGAGTGCTCGACTGCTCAGATAAAGGGATGCGCACTCATCTTCGCGATATCCTTGCAGAATATGGACTTATATCGGTATCATTCCGAAATCTCAATTTCTAGCTTTTTCAATACAAGCCGATGCTCGAAAACAAGTACATTCTGTGGGGGCTGCGGCTATGTTTCGAAGGCGTGTGCTGTATGCACTGAAAGTATCAGACAAGATACATGTTCCATGTGTGATATGGACCAGTGGAAGGAGCATATTTGGGGTTGCGCTGGTGGGATTTTGGCCGAAAATGGTCTGTTTTCAAAAATGCTGAAACCACGTGACCATGTGTAAAAATTGGTGGAGATTCCATAAAAATAGTTAAAATTAAAAATTTTGGCTTTTGGACGGAAAATGGCGATTTTATTCAAAAAATAGCAAGTTTTTCGCACGTTTTGCCCATTTTCTCACGTGGACAACCTTGGCCAACCAAACTGACACCACGAAAAGAAAGCTCAGACGATGCTTTCCATGGAACCACTCGAATCTCGTCCGGCAACGCCCGGCAACGAAAATGCGGCCCGTTTGAAAATTTTCGTTTTTGCGTCAAAATCGCCGATTTTAAAAAATTAAAGATAAAAATAACAAAAAGGTGCAAAAGGGGGCCGTCTCAGCCCCGTTCCTTGATTATTAAATTTAAGGGCTTGACGGCCCTTCGGGCCGTCTCAGCCCCGTTCCTTGATTATTAAATTTAAGGGGCTTGAGATCGGCGTTGGACTCTGAGGTGATCAATCTCAGTTATGTCTCCAACCCCACCCACACCCATTCGGGATAAAAATACAAATTATTCGTGTTTTCCGCTTAATTATGGTTTTTATCTTAATTTTTTAAAATTAAAATTTCTTTATTTGCGGATTCATTAATTTGCTCTGACTTTTTCGACTCGAAAAAATCATTTTTGAGCTTTCAAAATGATAGTCTAGGTTTTCTCAGGCTTAATTTTGCAAAAATAAAAAAATCGATTTTTCGACCCCTATACCCTTAATTTTTCGAGGTTTTTTGATTTTTTCTTGATTAGGACCTCAGATATATGTCCACAAAATTTCATCCCTTCAGGTCAAGTGCAAAAAGTCCGTTTTCCCACTGGCGCAACCCCAAGCATATTCTAATTCGACTAGGTCAAGATGAAGACAAGCTCAAAGATCTGGCGGACAAGATTAGAGCCATACCAAAATATTAATCTTCTTTTCTTTTTAATAATATATATTCCTATTTTCACAAAAATACATAACTTTACTAATCCCATCTTACTCTCAAATGGACTAGTAAAGTTATTTTAGTCTTATTCGACTTTTTTGAATAGTGGCTTCTTCGTTTTTCACTTTGGATCTTCAATCGGAACGAACTGTGTAGTGGTTCGGATTGCGCAGCGCGGGCGTCGCTTGACCTGATTCCCCTCTAGCGCAAGCCTTATTTTGGACAACGAGCCCGCGTTGTTTTCGAAATTGAACAACGGGCGAAGCGATGTCCGGCGTGAGTGGGGGCGCTAAAACAACGGGCGCACAACGATTTTTCGAGCCCCTGCCTCAAATCGTTTGATAAAATGAGATTTAGGGAATCAAGTTAAGTTCTTGGACGTTTTTTTGACTGTTTTTTCTTCCCAATTTTTTAAATTCTCGCTGGTTAATTTTCTCAGCCCTTTTTATTGGCAAAAGTCAATTTCAGGAGTTAAGAAGATTTGGAGTAACAAAATCTGGAGCAACCAAAATTTTCAAACCGATTTTTAAGGGTGTTAATGTCATAATTAAGGGTATCTGACTCGGTCAAAAGAAAGCCCGGGCCCAAAGCCGGGTTTTCGCCAGGGTTTGAGAGGGCCGGGAGGCCCTCAACACCCTTAAAAATCGGTTTGAAAATTTCGGTTGCTCCAGGTTTTGTTACTCCAAATCTTCATAACTCCAAAAATTGTGTCGAGCCTTTTTATTCGCAAGTTGATTCAAATTTTGGGTGACAACGGATTCGGTTGGCCCAACTCCCGCTGAGTGAGAACGTGCAGGAGGTGTCGAGGCGAGTGAAGGAGATGCAAGGGACCACGCCGCCGGTGTGCACTCCTGCAGAGACTGCTCCTGGGCCCAAGTTGGAGCAAGTCTCGGTGTGGCTCCTTGAGTAAACATAAACTGGAGGCATCTTGAGCCGGGAATTGTGATCAAGCACGACCTATATGATCTTCAAAACTGAAAATATGGAAGACTAAGAATTAGAATTCTCTGAAAACTTCCATGACAGGGTAAAATTTGATACTGATTCTGATGGCGCTATCGTTAAAGTCTTTTGATGATAAATTTTCGAAATAGATCACTTCCAATTATTATTAGCTACTTGAATCAAAGTAACAATCTTCGAAAAAGATTGTGGTTAACAAACGATTTCTTCTAGCTGAATTTACGAACAAGAAGGGCCTGTCTGTATTTGCTGTTTTCCAAATCTTCATTCTTGAAGATCATCCAGGCTGAGCTTGATCATGATCTCTGGCTCAAGATGCCCCGACTTTATGTTTACTCAAGGAGTCACACCGAGACTTGCTCCAACTTTGGCCCAGGAGCAGTCTCTGCAGCGTAGTATGATCTCAAAATTCGGCCACCTATAGCCGAATTATTCGTCTGAATTTTCAATCATTCTGAATGAAAAATTCGGCCAAACTGGCCGAATTATTGGGCAGATTTCACAAAGTATTCTGGTGAAAAATTCGGTCAGCGAAATTCTGGGTGGACACTCATTATTCTTTTTTGAGGGCTCTTTCAATCGCTATGAATGCTTGTTATCAATTCTGATAATTCGAATATCTAGGAATGTAACTCGACTTTTCATTACCACGAAAATTCCGATCGACCTCGTTATAATAATAACTGATTTGCCCTAGATGGCTAGGAGAAAGTTGCAGCTCCCCCAAGACTATTTTTTCGTCAAGAAAATTAAAATTGTAGTATTGCTAGTATAAAGGTTAGGGTTAGGGGGCACCTGCAAAAATGACGGAACAAATTACCCGAGGGGGATAGGCTAGGGTTAGTTAGGGTTACCGAAGGAAACCCTAAGTAACCCGAGACTAGACCCCGGCATCTTAGGCCCGAAGGGGCGGAGCCCCGAGGTTAGGACCATTTGATTAGATTATTTTCTTCTGATAAAATGGAGACTCTGAATAAATTAGTGGGTTTAGGACGCGGCCTTTATTCTTGGGGACCGAATTTTTCATTCAAAAATCGTTCAATTTCGGTCGAAAAATTCGGCCAACCTGGCCGAATTATTCATTCAAAATATGAGTTTATGAAAATTCGGCATTTGGCCGAATTTTGAGATCATACTACCCTCTGCAGGAGTTCACACCGGCGGCGTGGTCCCTTGCATCTCTTTTACTTGGCTTGACACCTCGGAGGTGACATTCATACTCGGCGGGAGTTGGGCCAACCGAATCCGTTCTCCCCCTCAAATTTTGCCTATCTTTTCAGGTTTACTCGTATTTTTGGTCAAGGAAATCCCGATTCTTGTCGACCCCCTAAAGACAAAAAAAGTCTCTTTTAAAGTCTGACGTATGTTTTCTCAATCACATCTGTTGAAATCCATTTTTTTTAGAAAAAAGATTTTTCGGACGGTTCTTAGGATCATTGAATTATGGCTGATATCGAAAGGCGGAATATTTTTTCTTCTGATACGGTTTGATGATTCTGAAATTTTTGTATTTAACGATTTATTTTTTCGAAGGTGCAACTGGGAGTCGTCTTCGCCGCAAGTTATTTTACATATGACAAAGCACCTTTTCTGGTAATCAAATATACTACGAGAAATAAAATATACAGTTTGGTTTGCATTTTTGAATAGAAAGTAAGCTAATACGCCGTTTAACTGTCTATTTATGGCTCAAATTTTTAATTTATTTTCAGGCCTTTGCCATTATAATTCTTTTCTTTATGGCAAAATATGCGATCGAACAGGAAATTACATTCAGACAGCAATCAGCTGAAGACATCAAAGTAAATTTAAAAAAAAGAATTAAAGAGCTAATGTTTTTTAAGAAACAATTAAAAGAAATAGAAGGACGTCAAACTCATGAGAAAGCTATTCTTGAAGCAGAATCAAGAAAACGAGATCAAGAACTAGCCAAGTTTACAACAGAAGAGGAGACGAAACGCATTCAAGCTGAGTTGAAATTTCAAGACACCAACAGAAAACGCGAATTAGAGCAGCGTCGTTTTGATCAAGAAGAGGAGACTCGTCGAATTCAATTCGAGTTGAATAAAGATCTTGAATATAAAAAACTTAAAGAAACAACAGCAAGAATCGAGATTGAGAATAATAAAATCTGCCAGGATAAAGGTGATTTTCTTTTCCTAATCTCGAAGATAATAAATACGAAGCTTATCATGTTTTCAGATCGAGAAGCGAAACTCTCTTTGGACAAAATGCAAGTCAAGGCCGACGTTGCAAAGCATGAAAACTCTCTCGCATTGAAGGAAAGACGGGAAGCTCTAGACAGGGAGTCAAAGGAAAAGATGCACGCTTATGAAATGACACTTCAAGAACAAAGAATCCGAAATCAACATGAAATTGACGAACGAAAAGTTAAGGACGCACGAGCGATTGATGACGCAAAAGTTTACAATGAATCGAAAGGATTTTTTAGAAAGTTTTGGTAGTTCCGCTATGTTGTCTTTGAAATGCTTTTATTGGAAAGCAGTCAAACATTGATAAAAATCATCTTACTGAAAATTAAATTCTCGAATTACTGCAGAAATAAAAATTTGACTTGTTGATGTTCCTCCACGTTAGATTTCCGTTGTTTAATTCTGCGTTTGTTGAACGTTAAAAAAATATGACGCGCTGATCGCTTCTTCTCCCGTCGGAAGGTTTACAAACATCGCGGCTTTCGAAAAGAATCCCTGCTCTTCTCCCTTGCTATTTAAGAAACGCATTATTTTTCAAAATCATTCATTTCGGATTCTTCCGCCGAGATAAAAAAAAACTTTCTTTTTCAACCACAGACAAGCGCAAGCCTTGAGTTAAAAATATTTTAACTCTTCAAATCGCCGAGAACTAAAAGAAACAGACAATCTTAAAACGCTAAAATGAAGATTGGACTTCTCTTGGCAGGCGTTTCTTGCGCACTTTCTGTGAGCGATGAGCTCAAAGAACTGGTAAACTTCGATGAATGGGCACACGAGGCATTGGCAGAAGCACCCATAAGCGGAAAACAAGTCAAAATGGTAAGCAGTTTTCAAGGGTGCGGATTTTTTATAAAAAATATTTTTTGACTCGAAATCATGGATGACTTTCGTTTATCCTTAACAGAGAGAACACTGATAAAAAAGCCGCTGCGCGGCTTACCCTTTGCGGTCGGATAAAAGCCGCTGCGCGGCTTTTTTTTTTTGGAGTTTTTGCTTCGCAAAAACTTTGATCAAAATCTGGTGAAGAGGACCACTGGCGATTCCAAGTTAAAACAATTTTGCTTGTAGCCAGTCGGTGTCTCACACGAAGATTTGCCGTTTGTGGTTGATCGATTGTTGCGCCGCTCGAATACTTGGGCGAGCGGTTACATGCTCCGCTTAGCGGATGAACGTTGGCGGGCACATGTTGCAGAGCAAAAGGCCCGCACGGTCATGCTCATGGCGGATCTGATCGAGTCGCGGGCGACTGCTGGGCGCGTGCAACGTTCGTTGACGCGGCTAGCCGCGCTCAGCAAGAAGGGCGCCGAGTTGAGCGAGTTGATCAGCGCCTGGGCCTGGGCGGTCGACGCGGGCGGCAACGCGCCTATCGTTAAAAGAGTTAATCTTGATTATCAGGAAACTGCGCGTGCTGCCACCCGCCTGCGCGGCCTCAGGACAGACTTGCTCTCGCTCCTGGCGAATTTACCCGAACGAGCTGATGATGATGAGTCATCTGGAGACAACGAGGAGACGATCGACAAAGGAGGAAGTGGAGATTGGATGGTTGATACTGAGGAGTTGCTGACAAGCGGCGAGTTTAATGATGATATCAGCATGCTCGTCAGACATGGTCTCATTGATGACGTCATCGCCAATGATGATGTTGTCTTCTCCGATGAAATTGAAGATGATGGAAGCTTGGAGGTCAATATGCTTGAGGAGAATTCAAAATCCAAAGTCAAACAGGTACTTTCATCAATCGCTCACTCTTTTCAATACGATCTAAAGGTCCCCTACGCAAATCTTGACGATCTCCCGTCTTTCGAAAAGTACGAGTCTCGACGAAACCCGCGACTCATTACTGGCGAAAATCGAGATAATGGCAAATCTCAGTGGCTGACTTTGAGCGTAGTTGGCTCCTTGGCCGCTATCGTTCTTACAGTCACGCTCACTGTATTTGCCAGAAGGATCAAAAAGGGACCAAATGTGAACTCCGGAACACCAATTCAGCAGATGCGACGATTCAACGTAAGAAAGGCCATTTTTCCGCTTTAAAATATATTCTAGATGCAAAATGGTAACGGTAACGTCAATTACAAGCCAAATCCTCAATGGCAAAATTTCAACCAGTTCCAAAATTTCAACACCAAGCACGGTTACGACTCTGGCGTCCACGGATATTCCAGCCAATCGACGAATTCTTCAGAAATTGGCTCCGATCTCTCGTCCGGACGACACTCTGGCTCTCGACAAGTCAACTTCTCCATCCAGCAAAATCGACCAACCAGAGGCTATCCAAACCGAAACCGAGCTCTTCCTCCACCACCATACTCTAAGATCGACTACTAGATCTTTCAGTAATGATTCTGAATAATTTGTAAATACTCCTCTCGACCTCGACAGATGAAGATCATCATCGCTTGTACAAAAACACATCTCAATGGAAGAATCTGCTTTTTATACGCTAACCTCTCTGTAACACACAATGTAATGACAGTACATTGTGAAATTTATTACATTGAATACTCAAACTGACACAGTTGTCTTAAGATAAACGATAAGATGACTTAAAAATGTGAATAAAATCAAGAAATGCAATGATAATGCGAGGCATGTTTATTGGAAAAACTAAAAAAGATTTTTAATAGAATTCGGAACGAAAAAAATTTTAAAATTTTTCATTAACTCATGAGTTGTCTCTTTCCTCGTCCAGTGAAAATTCATTTTCTTCGGGAATACGGGTAAGATCCATTTCGGCGTTCCATCTGCTCATCTGGCGATGCGGAGGAAAAAATCTTTCACGTAATGACAAAATCTTCTTGGAGACTGTTCCCAAAAGCAGAATCTCCTCATTGTGATACTTTTCCCAATAAATGAACATAAAAAGGGCGACAAGAAAAATGATGATGCGGAGGAGCCATGTCGGAAATATGATGCTAATCGTCATAAAAACAATACAAATGATCAAGAAAATCAGATCGGGAAGGTAATCCACCGCCTCTTGGTAGATTCTCCGAAATTGATCGACAATAAATTTTTTCACCAAATCGTGCGGAATGCTTGTCAAAACCCAAATTTGAAGCGACCTTAGTTTGCCAAAAATCAACTGTTTCATCGCTTCAAAGTTGAAAGTGATAACTTTCGATTGCTCTTGAAGTTTGTTCAGTTTCAAAATCAACTCATCATTCATCTTCATTTTTTCCTCAATTTCAAGGATGTTTTCTTTCGCTTGTTGATCTCGTTTTTGTTCATTTTGCTCGTTTTCGATTTGAATGAATTCAATTTTTTCTTCAAGTTCCTTGATATTCAGATCTTTATTTTCAAGCTGGTTTTTAAGTTCTTCAAATTTCTCCAGCCAGATTTTCTCAAGATCGAAAAACTTGAATGAGAACAATCTCTCCAAGTTGCGGATCAGCTCTTCAATTTGTACTCTTTGAAGCGTTGAATTGCTGTTTTCTTCAGACAAAAGGATACTTTTCCAATCAACCACGCTTTCGGACGGCGCGATTGAGGAACCCTCGGTGATAGTTTCGATGCTGTTTGACCGTTCCATTCTCTTTCTTGAATGTATATGTAAGACCAGCTATCTAAAAATGGCGCGTTGGAGGTGATAAAAGAAGGAAAGATCTTCTAATAATCATGTCGTTAATTATCCTCTTAGGCGAAACGAATGATTTCCCTTTTTTATATGTATTTTTTGTTTATTGGTTTTTCATCTTCTGTTTGACTTATTTGACTTTAAAACATTTTCGCTTTTCCGTTTTTTTCTTAGTGTTCTAAAATGAAAAATTTCTCATAAAAATTGACCTTCACCACGTTATTCTTGTCGCTGTAACCGCTTAATTTTCAAAATATCACCTTTCCACTTCTCATATAAAGCGCCTGTAATCTCGTGATATTTCAATAATTCAATATCATGAAAATTTTCAAGAGTCTTCTTTTTATAACTCAGATTTCTGCGCAGAAAAAAGTCATCACAAAAGCAAAACTGCGAAAATGGGAAAAGGCCGTGGCCGCAAGAAGGGCAGAAAAAGAGCTCGAAAAGAGCCAGAAAATTGAAGCTACTAAGGACCCTCTTGGAGAAATCATCCTTCCCGAGATCCCTCCAGAGTCGGATATTGAATATGAGCTGGCAGAGACGTTCGATTATTCGCCAAATAAGCTTCCCGAAGAGCAGGTACCAGATTACGCCGCTTTCTGGTACGGCGACATTTCTCCGGAAATCGATGTCGAAGGCATTCCAGTCGAATACGAAATGTTCAATGACATTGGGCTGCAACGAACGATGGACGAAGTCGGGATTTCAGCGGATGAATTTGACGAAATCGTGGAAAAACAGTTTTTAGGTACTCACAATTCGAATTTTTTCTCTAAACCGTTTCAGATGATATTGATGAGCGAACAATTGAAAAAGAGAAAACAAAATCATCTCTCAGCTCTCGAATGTCCGCCCAATTCGAAGATGGAATCAAAGAAGAAAAATCCGTTTCATCTTTGGTCAAAAACTTGCTACGAAGCAAGAAGAAGTTGAGTCCCAAGGAAAAGAAAGAACTCGCGGAAATACGAGCAGAGCGAAAGAAAAAGTAAGTCTCCGCCAATTTCGTTTCGTGAAATTTTATTAGAAAAGAGGCAAAAGAAGCAAAAAAGAAGAAGGCAAAAACGTCAACTCAGGAAATAACGACAACTGAAGCTGGGATAACAACAACCTCTACGACTTCGATAACTACAACTTCGACGACAACAAGTCAGACAACAAGAAGAAAGCGGCCAAAAGGCAGACCAACTAAAAGGCCTCTTCGAACTAAGAAAACAACTACTTCCACAACAACAACATCAACAACTACGACTTCAACAATGACTTCAACAACGAGCACAACATCCACAACGTCAACTACATCAACTTCAACCACATCTACAACTACAACACAAAAACCACTCCAGTCCGCAAATCATAACAGAGAGTCCTTCATGTTGTCAAAGAATGAAATCCCAAAGTAAGACCGACTTTCTTTCTCATTTCCTATTTTCATCACAGTTTCGACGATCTCTTCTGCTGGAAATGCTCTGCTCAAAACTTCGAGCAGTGCAATAAAATTGGTACTGCTCAAAAATGCCCAGCTGATCAAAGAACTTGCGCGATCGAATTGAGAAAGAGGGACGGAAGGGTTGTTGGTGTTCAAATGGGATGCCAGAGCTCGTGGACGTGCGAAGCGAATAAGAAGCAGAACTTCATTCATCCCTACCCAAGGTTCGAATTGCTCTAGAAATCGTTTGTAAAGGGCTTAAGACTGACGCAATGCCGACCAGAGTGGATCATGCCGTATTCCGTCTGTCGCCAATGCTGCCACAGTAATTGGTGCAACCGAGGAAATGATCCTCTTGAAAGTAAGCTCTTCGAAAATCCCCATTTCTAACAAATTCTAGCGCCGTATTGGTTCAAACCTGTAGATCGATACGAATGGGAAATGATTCGAGATTGATTTCCTGGACGAAAATGACCACTGTAGATAAATTTTTTTAATAAAATTTGAGACTTGAAGTGATTTTAAAGTTTTTGTTTATTCACAGTAAAATATTTCATATTTACAAGTTGCTTTTTCTTCGCATAACGCACTTCTGGAAATTGTTGATTTGGACTTTTTTTCCAAAAACGCATCATTTTTTCAATTTGATTCTGAATGTGTTAGTATTTGCTACTCACAAAACGGGGCCACTGTACAAAAAATTAGTTGTCTATCAAAAGAGGTTCTTTTTGAGAGGTAGGGTTTGGAAGCATATTTTTTATCTTGTATCAGACATTGAGATTATGCTGGTTTTGGATTACCTGGACGGCAAGTTTGATGATTTATGTATAAAAAGGTCTATGTTAGACTATTTACAGAAAGGGTTGGTTGTTTCATAGAAGCTTAATTAAGCTTTTTCTATAGTAAAACATGACGACTTCGAGTCATCTTGGAGGCTTGATTCTAAAAAAAATCATGCCAGTATTTCGAAAAAAAATTTGATTTTAGAGGGTGCCGTTTTGATTATTTTGCTGAAGCGAAAAGCTCAAATTCCTTCTCGGAGCCGGAAAAGCCCTCATTGGCCTTGAATAATTATTCGCTTCCATATTCATTTGATTTGGGAGGGTAAATTCAGGGACATAATTAGCTGGCCGGGGACCAAAACTCGGCGCCACTTGAGTCGAATCCTCAATGATCGTGGCTTCCTTGTTGATGTTGGAGAAGCGGACGTTGTGGCCGGACGAGTTGGGCTTGCTCTTCACTGAAAGCTCGGAAATCTGATCCTGAAAACGAGTTAGAGAGGGGTTCAAGAAAGAAGAAGGAGAAAGTAGAGGCGGGGTATTTACAGATTGGTCTTCGGAAATTTTCGGCAGCGGTCGATTTGGGAGCATCATTTGCTGGCGGGCCGTGATTTGCTGCTGGAAGAAGGGTTTGAAATGGATAAAAAGGAGTTCCTTACCTGTAAGAACTGAAATTTTTGCATAGGATGAAGCATCGCCAATTGCGCCTGAAGAATCGGGTCTGGCGAAACGCTTCGATTCCTTGGTAAATAACCAGTTGGTCGTCTGACTGGCAATCGGCGCTGTTGATAAATTTCTTCCAGATTTTCTTTTCCGTTCATGCTCATTACATCCTGATAGTTGCCCTCCCCGATTGTCGGGGAAACGGAGGACTCGTACGCGGACTAGGGGAGTATTTGAAATCAAGGAAGAGTATGTTGTTTCTCTTACCATGTCAGAAATCCTATCAGAAACGGTAATCTGCGACTGCAAATCGCTCTCGACTTGTCTTATTCTTCTTTTTGCGTAGAGAGACTCCATTTTCTTCTTTGCCATGCGCTTCAAAACGGCGGAGTAGGAGATGAGAATCACTAGAATAATATTGATACTTCAGTAGATAGCCGCCCCGCGATATCCCGAATATAGAAGGGGACACTGCCAAAATTAAAGAAACAAGGAATTATGTGGCGAGGAAATAAAAGCCCGGAATTTGCGGTTTGATTAGCGCTGTTTCTGCTAAGATGGCAAATTTTTTCAAGTAAAAATGATAAAAAATTTCACTTTCGAATCGAAATTCAAGAGATTTTGCTTCGTGAATACAAACCTATCATGAAGAAATAAGCAAAAATGTATCCCACAGTAAATATCCAAGTCACTGCAATAGCAACTCCGCCCACAACTTCGTCCACTCCTAAAACATTGTAAGAAAGCAGAACGAGCGATTAATTTCAAATTTGTTTTCAACTGGAATCGCTATTTATTGATATCAAACCTATCCCGGGGAGGGAGACAAAGAACTCGGAATCGTCGCGTGGCATCGTGTTGAAAAGACTTTCGACTGCTTGGAAAAGGGCATTCAGACCTGAAATTAAGGATTAAGGGTGTCTCCTTGCTATTTTGTGAGTTAAACTTGCTAATAATTGTGTCATTTTCTATAACTTTGATTCTAGTCTCGAGAAAAAGGTTTGTAAAAAAGTCTCTTACAATTTGATGAATAATTTTAAGAAAAGCCGCACAGCGGCTTTAAAAAAACAAAGCCGCGAAGCGGCTTCGCCAAAAGAACTGTCACACTCTTATTCAAATTTAACCTACCGATTTGGAAGGCCCAGTATCTGGAGACGATCCCCATAGTTTTCTTCTTATCAGGTGATCCACAAACACAGACAGAAACCAGCAAAATGAAGCTCGCCAAAACCGCGAACGCTTAAAAAAATCCGTTAAAAATTAGTTTTCTGAAAAAGTAAGTTTTTCCAAGCAGAAAAATGAGCTAAAGTTTTGTGAAAGAATGTACTCCACGTCGTAAAACGGTACGACCTTGTACGTGTGGAATTTTCTTCGAATTTTTACGAAACCTCATTAGTAAAAAACACGAGGGAGGGGAGGAAAAGGGAAGAAAAGGGGGGAAGAAGAAGCTCAAATAGGCAGTTATTTGGATTTGTTGAAATAAGAAAGATAGAGCAACAAATCTTGTGTTCGGATCTTGTTGGATTATTTTTCATGCTCAGGACATGTAAAACATGCGTCATTTGACTCTTTGTCTGTTGTCGATCAAATGATTTTTGACGATTTTGGTTGAGTCAGAGTTGATTCAAAAGTTCAACCAGAAATATCAAAATTGATGGCAGAATTTCTGCCACAGAATCAAAAATGGAAGTGTTTCTATAAATCAGGGTTTTGATTGGCCGATTGGCCAAATACAGTAATCTTATTGGTTATCCAAAAACTTTGATTCTGTAGTTTAGTCCGAAATTGATCTTTTTCGAAGCCATATTCAGCCAAAAAGTGGCCAAAATTGGAGCGAAAATGGCCAGATCTTGTCCTAGTTATAAACCTCAAAATTTTGTTCAATCTTTTATGCAATTTTTACCTGAAAAGATTGTGCTGATAATCTCCATAGCCGTCGTTATCTTGTTTTCTTCAATTTCAAAGACAGTATCGACCAGTTCCGTATAAAACATATTCTTCGTCTTTCGCACCAAAAATACAACATCGAAAATCTAAAAGTACAAATGAATCAATTGAAGTCTTTTTCATTCTAATTTTGACCGCAAAAGCGGGCGCTGATCTTGACCGGCCACCTGGAATCCTGGATTTGGGGGGAGTTAAAACTGTACTTGGGATTTACGTTTCTTCTTGTTTCGTGCTTTTTTGCTGATTGTATGCTCGCTGGTTTTGCATGCGAAAAGAAAGTGACGCCCATATTTTGACAAGATGTTAAAAGATGCTTTGAAAATAGATTCTCGAAAAGAGGTTAAGAGAACGGTAGCAAAATTCATTTTTTGGGAACCGAGAACACGTAGAATCGCGTTTCCGCTAGAATCTTTTAAGCCTGTGAAATCGGTAAAGATAGGCAGCGAAGAAAAGGGGATGAAGAGCAGTGTGGAAGGGATTGTTACGTTCACCCAAGATTTCCAAGAAAAAGATTCAGAGGCGAAAAAAGGAGTGATTTCCTGGATGAGGATTTTGATTGGCTGGTCGGCCAAATACAGCAATCTTATTGGTCATCCAATGAATCATTGGCAATGATGCACTTCCATTTTTGGTTTTGGTGAAAAAAAAGTGTCAAAAAACAGCTTCGAGTCGAAAATTTTTTTAACTTTGAAATTCTGACTCTTTAGGAGCAAAAATGCGGTTTCTGTTCCAAGTGTCCCTTTCGTGTTGAATACCATTACTCGCAAGTGCTTTCTTTTTTCATCCCTCTTTTTTCCTAGCTCAAGTGCTTCGAGTTTCAATTGGAACTTTTCAAATCACTCGAAAAAGGAGCTCTAAAAAGGTGCACAAGAGAGAAGAAAAAAACTGAAACCGGCAGGGCTTAGTAACGGCCAGTTATGAGCATAATTTCTTGCATAAGCAAAAGTCACGTTTTTGAAAGTAACGTGATCTGAGGTGGCGCATCTAAGTTTATATTGATTGTAAATAAATGGTTTCTCAACCGACTCAAAGGACCTGGATAAAAATTGAAATCTGGATTAATGACGAAATCAGAATATCGAAAAAATCCGAACATGTTTGAAATTTGCTAAAAGTTTGTTCAGATTTTGGACCAATCAGATTCTATATTCGACCGTTAGGCCAATCAGATTTCTAGAAAATACCAAGAAAAATCGAATTTTGTCCATTCAAGCCATGAACCCTAGAATTCTTCAATGAAATTTCAGGAAAATTTTCAACCAATAAGAAGCCTGTATTTGATCTATCCGCCAATGAAAGACTAAAAAATGGGTTGGCGTCAGGAACTGACAAAAAATTTCGGCAAATTTTTCATGAGCAACTACTCGGCTTCTGATTGGTCGGTTAGCCGAATCCATGCTTCTGATTTGTCGAAAGTTGTGGAAAAGATCTTTTTGACTTGTTTTTGACTTAATGTTTTCAATAACTTTTTTTCCAGGTTTTATTCAAATAAGCTCTTTTCAACCCCGGGTTAATAAAAAACCATGTAATATATTTTTCTTAGAACAAGTCGATTATCCAATGTTATGCAAATTGGCCCCGCTTGTGAGATTGATTCTCGAGTACGGATGAGCTCAAACAATTGAGACACCTTTGCGAAAATAAACCGGGCGGGCTTCTGTCGACTCTCAAAATAAATTCCAGTTATATCCTTACGCGCATGTTTTCAATCAACGTGAAAGCTCCCTTCTTGACAGCTTCAGGAAATGGCACAAAGACAAATCAGAACCGGGAAGATAACGATAATGCACCCATCAGCAGATTTCAAGAAGTGATGCTGTTAGAACAAGAAATGGATTGTAGCCCTGGGAACCTGCAATGAAAATCTGAGTACGGCTCTGAAAAGCTTCAATGAAAAGCCGCGTAGCGGCTTTTTAAAAGGCAGCCGCGAAGCGGCTGTTCCAATTCTAATAAATATATTAAAAGGCTAATATTGCGAAACTACCATATTATTACCGATATTTCTACAATTTCGCCCTAAATATTTGTCAGATTTTAGACCAATCATAATTCCGTGTTTGGCTTGAATTTCCAGAAATTTTCGTTACTAGGAAATCAATTTCTAATACTCTTTGGATGATCTTTCTCGCCGAAAAGTATCTCTAACCACGTTCCAACGCGGAAAACTACCGTATTCCATCCTCGTCGCACCTGGCTAATAACTGTACTTTCCCTTCTCCGCGCTTCCCATCCAAGTATATATTACAATATCAACTCCGGATGTTCAATATCTAGGGAAACTCGATGAAAAATGAGCTTTTTTCTGGGCTTAGTAGGGGGGACATATAATACAGTTTCAGAAAGCCCAGAAGCTGGGGATCATTTTTACTATTTACAGTAAGGGGTTTGACTCATGCCCTGGGGCGTTAAGGGACGTCTAAAGTCCCAAAAATTGGGCAATCTCGGAAAAATGGCCATAACTTTTTTTCTGTCGAGCTTCAGAAAATGCGAGTACTTCCTACTTGTAGAGGAGGCTCTGACGATTCAGAATCAGTATAGAAACCCTTTGTCACCCCCCTATTTTAGGGGCTCTAGAAGCTCTAGAAGTTGAGGAAGTCATCCGAAAATCGGAACTTTTAGGAAAATTGGGTAAAAGTTTAATTTTTGTCGGAAATCGATTTAGCCAAGTAAGAATCGACTTCTCGCCGAAAAAATACAGTTTAGGGTCATTCGCGGTCACTTGGGGTCATCAAATGAGAAAAACTAGAATTTCGACGAAATTAAGTCCGAAGCGTATCAAAATGACCCTAAACTGCATTTTTGTCGGCGTGAAGTCGATTCTAACTTGGCTTAGTTGATTTCCGACAAAAATTAAACTTTTACCCAATTTTCCTAAAAAGTACCGATTTTCGGATGACTTCCTCAACTTCTAGAGCTTCTAGAGCCCCTAAAATAGGGGGGTGACAAAGGGTTTCTATACTGATTCTGAATCGTCAGAGCCTCCTCTACAAGTAGGAAGTACTTGCATTCTCTGAAGCTCGACAGAAAAAAAGTTGTGGCCATTTTTCCGAGATTGCCCAATTTTGGGACTTTAGACGTCCCTTAACGCCCCAGGGCATGAGTCAAACCCCTTACTGTAAATAGTAAAAATGATCCCCAGCTTCTTGGCTTTCTGAAACTGTATTACATGTCCCCCCTACTAAGCCCAGAAAAAAGCTCATTTTTCATCGAGTTTCCCTATCAATATCTCCTCAAGCTCGCGGAAGTTCGCACCTGTCAAAGTCGCTCACGTCAAAATAAATTGCTCGCGGTCATCATCATTTAGATGTACTCCTCGCAGCTGCAAAAACTCTACGTGCCAGTCAAAAATTTACTGGGCTGATCATTTTCAAAATTTTTAAACATACACTTGCGGTGTTCTCGCGTGAGCTCTTACAAAAAAAAAGAGAGCATGGAACAGTTCTAAAAACATAACAAAATAAATCTCTAGAAGATCGATATCGAACACCATAAAGATTATAATAATAAAGAATCTTATATTTAAGATTAAAATTACCGATGATTTTTGATGATTGCCCGGAAAACTAAAGCCCGAATAAGCGACACCTAGCAAGCATATTTCTCTTTCGTTCCTGCCTGGAGGACCCCTCCTACTGGAAAAATTTCAAAGTGAAAGAAGAACTATCTCCGGAGTTCAAATCAATTCTCTTGAGATTTTTTTCGTTATCGCTCATTTTAAAAGTATGAGAACCAAATTAAAATGTACGAATATTTCAAACTGTCCTTATCAACTCATTCAAACATGAATTCTCTTCCAGCTCAATTTCCCAGCATCAATTTTTTCCAATTGATAAGAAAGGGTTTTTGGGAGAGAGAGTACTCAACGCAGAATGGACCACTCGAAAGATCTGAAAATTCACGTTGTCTGCCGCATCCCGGTATACGCAATCGAGTGATTCACGATTGAAAGCATTCAGGAGGATTTTAAGGGTGTAAACATCAATGACGGAACTTTTGTCTTCGAAGAATTCAAATAAATAATCTCTCTCAGGGAAAAAAAATTGGAATTCTCATCCAACAATTCTGATTTTCTTTATGAAAATTAACATAGTGACACCCTTAATTCAAACCAAAAAGATAGCGTTGCCCTTATTCATGTCAAGCTTAATGGTCTGAAGGAGAAATTAAGGGTGTCACTATGCAAAATCGACTCACAAATCAAGTTCAGTTATGAGCAGATTCTTAAGGGTATCTCATCCATAAGTTTCAAAACATGAATTTCCATGCTTTTTCAAAGTTTATCGAAAATTGGCTTTTTGCGTCGACGGGTTAAAATTTTTTCTTAGTCGTCAAAATGGTTGTTTATCCCAAATTTGATTCCCAGTCCTTAATTTCGTTTAAAACGTCTCTTAGCTGGGCGCTCCAGTCAGCCGCCTAACGAGCTTAAATCGTTGGTTCGACCCTTAATCGTCGCCCGAGCTTGAATTCTAGCGGATTGGTAAAGAGATAATTAGTGAGAAACCAAACTAACGCAAATTAGCGCTGCCGAATATTTTTGCGAAAACGTACGCGCCCAGGATTTAGAAGCTAATTAAATCAGTGCTTGTTTTTTTCGGGGGATTCTTAAGAAGCTAAGTAGCCAGGAAATTTAAACAGATAGATAAGGATTTCGCCTTCTGGTTCAATTCAGCGGATTTTTTATTTTGTTGGAGATAAATTCTCATTTGTATGAAAAATGATGAATAAAAATCATTTTTTATTCATTTTTTAAAATAATTATTTTATAAATAAATTAAACAGTAATTATCTTAATAATAAAAGTTATAAAAGAAAATATTATAAATAAATTATTTTATTTTTAAATTAATTATTTTAATAATTTAAAGAATAAAATTCCTAAGTTTAAAAAATTTTTTTCATTACTTTATTTGTTTTTTTATATTCATTAGAAAAATAATTATTTAATTAATTATTTGATTAATTTTTCAAAATAATCATTTTAATGTTTTTTAGTGAAACTCCCAAATCTTGCATAAAAACCGCCTGGGCAAGCATTAATACAACGTGCGTAAAATCCTGATCCCGCGGAATGATGCGTTTTTAACTT